TATATATGAATCTTAATTATTGATTAACTTGAGCTCAACGTGAAATTTTACATACATCAAATAATAAACAGTTATTACACAATGTATAATCACTTTTACATTCAAGATAATTTTAACTAAATTAATGCTTTATCATTTCTTAGCTTTTAACAACGGTATTCTTTTGAGAACTCATCAACCAGTTAAATTTTACATTTAAATTAATTCATTAAGAAATTAGTTTAAATTTATATTAAATAATTCAGAGATTAAATAAAACGAAATAAGGATTTACAAATTTGTATTGTAAACAATATCCATAAATGAAAGTCGTAATACTTTAATTTTCACCTCTATTAATGAATTAATCCCCTCTAATATTAGATTAATTGGATAAGAAATCTATTGAACTAACTTAATATATAAAAAATGATATTTATTATTCAAAAATTATAAATCTTTGATTATTCTATAATTGGTAATTTTATAATATCATTAATAATTAAGGTTAATAATTATTTTTTAATCCTTTATTAATAGAAATTTAGTTTTATAAACATGATTTGATCTAAATACTTCTTTGTTGGGAGCTAATTTTGTTAGGTTTAATTTTAGTGGATCCTAATTTAATAATTTTAGTTTAAGTGGAATAAATATAAATGAAGCATTATTATTGAATTGTAATTGGAAGAATTTAAGAATCCATGTTTAAGTAAAATAAATGGTCATAATGGATCTGTAAAATCAGTCTGCTTTTACCTGATGGAAACACGTTAGCTTCTGATACTCAGGATCCGTCTATGGGATGTAAAGACAGGATAAGAAATTAAATCATCTGATAAAAACTACAAAGATATTCTTGCGTAATTTAAGAATCCACTCCAATAACATAGCCATATCACCGAAGGTAGTATTTATGCCCTATCATATATTTGGCTACCTATTACATCACTACACTCCTTATATTCTATTCTGCAATATTTATAACCATAAGGAGCTCTAGTTCTCAAAGGAGAATTCATCAATCATCAAGGCATTGATTTGAGATCTAGATTGAAATCCAAAGGTAGCTGTATTTTTGGAAATCTAATTAGAATCAAAGTTGAAGAGTGAAATCAACTTCTATGTTAACTGAGTATTATCAATATCGAATATATTATTATTGTTTTACAATATCATTATTTTTCATTCATAAATGATCAAGGTCTCAATTCTGCTCAATATATCTATCATTAAATCATATTTTTACTCACATAATAAGTTATTTCAAAATAATAAATTTGCCTATAGTTAAGTTTTAAATCCTCAAATTGTTAATAAATGTGTGTATGTTTTTTTTTTCAAATTTTTTTTTGACTGGGAGAAACAGATTTTAAATAAAATCTTGGATGAGAGTAAATGTATTTAATTTAAAAAAACAATTTTTTTTTCAATATTCAATTTTTTTCAGATTGATAAAGCACTGAAAGGCAGTATTTTTCATTGTCCTATTCATTGATTCCATTAAAAAACTAGTGTCTGAGGTAATGCACATTGGGTGATTAAAAGTTTCTATTTGTTATAAGAAATCTCTTTAAGTTATTCCAAACTTTTTCAATCGGATTTAGCTATGGAGTGTCTAGTGGCAAAAATAAACATTAAACTGGACTCATCACTTTCAGAATACGTTTGCTTCTATGCACAGGGCTATTATCAAGAATCAACACAAACTCTTATTTTTCATTATGATGTTTGAATGCTCTTATTAGCTGCTAAAGATGATAACAATAAATTTGAGAATTCACATCTCCTTACACCACTTGATATGCAATAAAATTTTTCGTACCTATCGCAAGCAAAATCCAAATACTTCCTTTTTCTGATTGGTATGTTGAAAACTTTTTGTTATCTTCTCAATTTTCAGCATTATTATTATGATCTCTTTGAATACCCCCAATTCTGATAGTTAACAATTCATTAATATAATTTATATTCATTCATAAATGATAATTATAAATTATGAACCATTTTTTTTATATTTTTTAAGGTTTTTCTTTAGGCATACAGCTTCTAACTCTTAAAATAGTTTAATTTTAGAAAATTTTTTAAACAATTAACCTATTTTCACTTAATCTTTTTCTATCCTAAAGCACTTTCCCAAAGCAACACTCAAAAGATAATCACATGTATACCAAATCAGGCATATAGCAATTCTTTAAGACCTATGCTACATGCATAGATTAAACTCTTCCAACTAACTGATTTGCTTCTTGAAATTTAATTTCTTTAAAATAATAAAAATTGATTAGAGCCATTCTGCAAAAAAATACATGTAAATTTTTTCAAGCTTTTTAGCCTAATTTTTCTAATTTCAATGGAATAATAACAAGTTCTTTTTTTTGATTAAAAAAATAAAATCTTGTTTCAAGAAAAATCGAGTTGATCATATTTATCATTAGTAATGTGTTTTCACGTTATCGATTTTTTTTTTAAATTATTTTTTATTTTTTGAGTCGAAAAAAAAAAAATTAATAATTCATTTATAATTGCTTCCACATTGTTTCATTTATTCTCTGATAATGAAAATGTGAATCCTCTAAATATTTATAAATGTAGCAGAATACCAATTCAAACCAAGCGAAAGTTCAAAGTAAAAGATGAAATAGCTGAAAATCTAATAATTAAATTAATGACATTTTTAATGATCTAATCAATTCAAATTATTCTAATTATTTGAAAAATCCCATAAAAGGCTATTTTATCAAAAGAAAAAAATAAATGTATAATCACAATTTTGAAGAATGTAAAAAGAGTACGAAAGCAGAAACATATTGAATTAAAAGAGAAAATTTTGGAGAAGAAAAAAAAAAAAGTGTAGAGTATTTAAATAGAATGCAATTACGAATTTGTCTACTTTAATAATGCAATAGCTGCATTTACATGTCTGACTCCAAGATAAGTCCTGTATCTCGAGTTGAACTAAAATTTGCAATAAGATAGTAAGAATTACTTCATCCTCAATGCGATTCATATAAACTGGGTTAAAATTATAAAAGAAGCCATGCATCTAATGATCTTTAGAAATCAATTGATATATTCCAAAACTTTATTTAAGAATTTCAAATAGCTCCACAAGCAATAAATTTAAGAAATTTTAGTTGATTTTAAAGAAATGTTGTTTTGCATCCTATCTACTCACCTATAAAAAAGATTTAAGGAGCTAAAATGACGATTTAAATACTAATGCACTTTTTTACTTTTAAGTATAAGGGAGGATTAATTCTTTTATATTGATGATACAGCATTGGGGGTATTCAAAGAGATCATAATAATAATGCTGAAAATTGAGAAGATAACAAAAAGTTTTCAACATACCAATCAGAAAAAGGAAGTATTTGGATTTTGCTTGCGATAGGTACGAAAAATTTTATTGCATATCAAGTGGTGTAAGGAGATGTGAATTCTCAAATTTATTGTTATCATCTTTAGCAGCTAATAAGAGCATTCAAACATCATAATGAAAAATAAGAGTTTGTGTTGATTCTTGATAATAGCCCTGTGCATAGAAGCAAACGTATTCTGAAAGTGATGAGTCCAGTTTAATGTTTATTTTTGCCACTAGACACTCCATAGCTAAATCCGATTGAAAAAGTTTGGAATAACTTAAAGAGATTTCTTATAACAAATAGAAACTTTTAATCACCCAATGTGCATTACCTCAGACACTAGTTTTTTAACAGAACCTAATTATTAATCATAACAGATGAGCTTTTCATGAACTAAAAAATCAGTCAACATTGTTATTAGATGAATTCATAAAAAATTACCTGGAGATGATTGTTAAATTTAAGGTTAATTTACTAAACTGGTTGAAGAAGAGATTTAAGAATATAAAAATTTTTTCATTTTGCTTATTATTTATTTTAATGTTATAGTAATCTGGTATCTTTTTGTTTACATTACTAATAGCTTTATCCACTGGTCTTGTATTGCACAATTTTGCATTTCTCTTTGATTCATTTTTCTAGTCTCCAAAGTTTTACATTATAATTTTGATGTTGTGAAATCCATAAGAATAGCTATTTTATTCTTTTAAAAACATATATAATAACCAAGACGATATATAGTTTTTTCAAGCATTTATACCCAAAAAACACATAGTAGTAAGAATAAAAAAATATTTCATTCAAAGTCGCTGGTAACAAATATGGGCGTAAGAATTATTTTTTATAATGGATAATGCATCTATACATAAAGAGTAATCTATTAAAAAAAAATTCCTTGAATATGAAGAGCATTTATTAGTTCAAATGTGTTTGGGCTAAGAAAAGTTGTAGAACAGGAATTAAGCTAAATTAAGAAATTCATAATAGATTTAAAAACATTACAGATAATGAATTGTTGCAACTCAACTTATAAGGTATTAAATAATGCTTGATGAAATAAGAATTGTGAAATGATTAAAAATAAATAGAGTATAATCAGTAAAATTAAAGGTACAATTTTGAGTATGTTATATCTAAACGTGATATTCAGTTCAAGATTTTTTGAATTAAGAATTATTTAGAGTATAAAGTTCTCATAACCAATAGTTTAAATACAATCATCCGATATTTATTAGATTATCCAAATATTGCTCCAGAAGTAAATTCAGTGAAAGTATTAATTTATTTTAAAGTTAATCAAAATAAACATTTGAAACCTAATATAATTTTTCTATAAATTTTTATTAAAAAAATATAAATTAGGAGGAAGGTAATGAATAAAACATTTTTCTAATATGAATAAAATAATTTAATAGCAATAAACTAGTTAATCAAATAACATAATTCAATTTAAATAGATCAATATTTCATAAACATTAATATTACATCATTACCGTTATAAATATTTATATATGTTTTAGTAAATTAAAAGAATGTATTTAAAGTAGTTATTTTATTCTAACAATATCACTTTTGTAGTCTGGGCATCCTAAATTTTCTTTTTAATGACATTTATATATATTGTAATTAATTTCAATAAATTATACCTTTTGAGTTTAACAATATTATCAATAAGATCAAATTGACGAATAATTATTCAATAAATTTTTTAAGAAATTAATCAATAATCAAAAGTTTTAACATAACCTAAATAGGATATATTTTTAACTCAAAAATTTCTATATGTTTTGCTAATTGAACTCTATATGATGATATTCCCTTCTGAAAGTATCTTTACATTTCAAAAATGATATTTTATTGAGAAAATTTTGAGGATGAGAGTTTGATATGAAAAATAATTGAAAAAAACAGAAAGAAATCTTACACTCTTTTATTTGAAATATTCATAAATACTGAATATTAATAATTGTGTTGAAATATGACAATATAAAATATTAGATGACTGATTCATATTCTAACAATGATATTAATTTCTTGTATTTCTAAATTTATTCAGTAATATTATTTATTTAGTTTTAACTAATAACAAGACCTAAAAATTGAGATAATTAGAAGTAAACCTTAGTATTTAAATTTAATCAATCATTTTCCTGTAATATTCAGAAAATTTTAAAATTTGATTAAATGAATGACACTTATTTTTTTTAATTTAAGATTATAAACTATCCAATTTTATGATTACTTTTCTATGCTTTCTATAAATACTTAAAATAATCTTTGCAATTGAGATTTAAGAAATGGATTAATATTACTAAATATACAAATAATTGATTGACATTAATGATATAAATTTTGATCTAGAGGATTACTATTTTTATGGAGTGTGGTCGAAATATATTCCTTTAAGTCCAATATCTTAAGTGGGTAATATTGGATTATTTGATAGCAATTGCTTCAATATCCATAATATTATTGATCAAACAAGCTAAAGTGTAAATCTTATCTATTATGATTGTCTTGATTTTAATCAGAAATTAATTACAAAAACGATAATATTTTCTGATAATGAGAGAAATCAACACAAATTTGTCATTCAAATAGATCCTTTTGAATATGAGAATGTTTGGTATTTTTATTATATTTTTGGATAGCCTTAAAAAAATAAATTAGAATTAATTGTAACATAATTACAAAAGAAACTACTTCATGAAATTATTTTAATAAAATTTCCTTTCAAAATTATTGTTTAATAATTTACTTTCGGAGGAGATTTGACTGTAAAAGATTCAATGATCTCTTCGATCGAGAGAGGAAAATAATTATGTTATTTTCCAGGTAAAATAATTTTAGAAAAATTTATGACTGAAAATTTGATGGCACCACAAAACTTAACATAACAAGCAATAGAGAATTTTAATTCCTATACAATTTGTAATTGCAAGCTAAATAATAACTATTTAATATCTGATACAGATATTAAATGGTTAGATAAAAATACATACTCATCAGAAAATATGATTTGCAACTCATTCGCTCTATAAGGATGGATTAAAATTATTGAAATTTTTTAATCATCTGAAGAATTCACATATTACCTAATAAAATTATCCGCAAATTTTGATAACTCTTTATCTAATTAAAATCTATCACCTTTGCAATTTGGTTATAAAATTTCACCAACATAAAATTTTATTGTTCTAACAACATACAAATATTCTTTTCCTTAAGTTACCATTGATTTTTAATAAAATCCATTTCTAATAGAAGAAATGATTGAAATTCAAAATAATATTAACTTATGGCATTATTTATATGTAAAATTATTGGAAGATCAACTATTTATTAATATAATATTTTATTAAGAATCAAATGTATTTGAATTTAAAAAATCAATAGAAGTAAGACAGTTTCATTATCCGTAATTGAAATTGCAATATGGAAATTATCTTTAATAGCATAAAAATTACTTAAATGTACAAATCAGAAATTTGGCATTTTTAAATTGTGACTAATATTTATAATCTTTAACTTGCCATTTTAGCTGTTATGATTGTGATGGTCCAACTAAAAGAGACTGTTTGTCTTGCTCCTAAGAATCAAATCGAATTTATTATCCAGAATTTAAGATGTGCTTATGTCCATTGAATACTACTGATGAATCAAAATGTTAATCATATGAAGATTCTAAATTGAATTTAATATCAAATAGTATAACTATTAAATGTTAATATGGATATTTTGAATTTGAAGATGAATGTTTAAAATGGTATTATACATTATATATTGATATTTAGTCCTTCAATAATATATTAAAATTTTGTGAGTTGTGTTGAATGCTTATAAAATACTTTAACTTGGAGTGAATAACCATATTGCTCTTATGAAATCTATTTAAATGAAGATGGAACTACTCAAGATGAATTCCTCTTATTACAATAATACTTTCTCTTTGATGGTTCGGAGATTTATGTTTGCCAAATTTGCGAATAAACAAATTTATATAGTATTGAGGAATAATATTTAGATTTTTATTTGCAATCTTTAGTATTTAAATAGTTCTGTAAATCTTATGATTATTTGAAGTGTTATGAATGTTCAATTACATTCTGTTTAATTTGTTAAGTAACATTAGAAGGTTTAAGATGTGCTTAATGTATATTCAATTACAAATTAGTTGATGGGTATTGTATTTCTCAATATACTTTTCCTAAGACTTAATTTTGTATTTCTCCAAATTATTTAACATCTAATAAGATATGCAAATTATGTCCAATAAGTAATTGTAAATATTGTTTTGAATATTCGATGGATGATATAAGTAAATCTACTTTATATCGTAATTTTGAGAAATTTGATTAGGATGAACATGTTCGAATCGGTTGTTCTTTATGTAATGAAGGTTATACATTTAATTTCAATCTTGAAAAATGTGAATTTATCAAACCATAAATCTAATATTGTTTGAGATCTTTTATTAATTTCAACAATCAAGAAATTTGTACACTCTCCTCTCTTGATTTTAATATAGCTCCAGAAATAATTAATTGCTAGAAATATAAACCAAATTGTTTATAATGTGTTTTATCACCTGAATCTATTATTAAATGTGTTCAATGTAAGATTGGCTATTCTAGTTCAGTAATAAGTGGAGATTGTTACGAACATTTATTAGAACAAGCATTAATTACAATTGATGGAGATTGGACAATAGGAGATGGTTGGGTTTAAAGGATTTAAAGTTTTATGATGTAGTTTCTACCAAATAAATATTTTTATCCTTAGTCTTAATTTAATACTTAAATAGCAGCTATGATAATCGAATGTAATTAAGGTTATTAAATTTCTGACTAAAGTTTAACTTGCTAAAAATATTGCTCATCTGAATGTTTATAATGTGAAGAATTCTAATATAGTTTTAAATGTACTAAATGTCCATTAAATTATTATTAATTTCCTATCAGAGATTAAATAAATGGATAATGTTCTGAATGTCCATAACTTTGTAATATTTGCAAGTCTCGTTCCTTAGAAGATATATATGTAATTATTATTATATTCTTAGAGATTATAACCAAATTATATTTTGACTAAAGATAATTTAATTTACACAAAAAATTGTATTCAACCAATAAATGATATTAATGTTATACTTGATCCCTATTATAATATTGCTAAATACTGTTTTAATCAAGATTGTACATATAAAACATAATTTGATGTACTATTTAGTCATTGTGAAATCTCAAGAGGTTTTTGGCCTTTTGGATATGAATATGATATAAACACAAACTATTGTAATTAAATGGGTATTGATACAATTACAATAAACTTTAACTTTTAGATTGATGATGATTATTGTGGTTTGTTATAATGGTTAAGCGCTGATACAGAATTAAAATAGAAAATATTCTCCTTGAAAAAAACTATTTTCAAATTAAGCTCACCTAATAAATTAACAATATCAACCAATTTTCCCATTTCAATAAAAAATTTTGATTGTGTTGAAATTCTCAACATAGGTTTAATTTTTGGCGATAGTTAATACTTCTAAATAAATAATAATCGATCCTTAGTTGAAATAAAATTAATTAATTTTTCTCTCTCTAATAGTAGTATTAATAATATCAATTCTTTATTGGAAACTCAAACGTTTGGGAATTTAACTCTCATTAATGTTACAATATTGAACACTATTTTTGTTAACTCTTCATTCATTAATCTAAAATCATAGATTTTAAAATTAGGAATCGAAATGATATCATTAAATATTACAAACTGTACATTTATTGATACAAATTTATTTCAATTTACAAATAATTTTATCTTACTAATAGACAACTTACATGTCAAAAATTGCAAATTCATAAATTCTTCAATTTTTAGATTTCTTACAAATAAACTTGATTTCAATAAGTTTATACTGAAAAACTCTAAATTATAAAAAAATTCATTTGTTCAATCCAATTTTATAAATAGTACAAATTAAATGGAAATCAAATTTTTTAATTTAATTTTTAAAGAAAACCGCTTATCTAAAAGCATAGTAATTGGATTTAATTCTAATTTTACTATAAATCTTATGGATGTGATATCAAACAACTTTGAAGATTCAACATTCTTATCAACGCTATTGATTTTAACATAAGAAAGAATTTTTATATAATTTTCAAATTTGCAGTTCAGCCTTAATATTATGAAAGAAGCAGAATTAGTATATATCTTTGCAAACCAATAAGTTAATAACTTAATATTATCCATATTTAATTTATATTTAAATGGTAGTATAACTTATCCTAGATTTGATAGAAATCATTATTTATTTAACATTTATTGCTTTTAATTTTCTTTATTAAATGTAATGATATCGAATGTTAGTGATCCTTTTTTATTTTATATTGCTGACAACTATTAGATCGATATTAAATAATTTAATTTCATAAATTCATAGGTTTAGAATAAAATTCCGTTATAAAATACATGCAAAAACTAATATGAATTAAATAATAATCTCTTTTTAATTGAAGGATTTTTCTTAATTTCTTTAGAAAATATATTAATTAAATATTAGTCAAGTATTGATAAATCAATAATTGGAATAAGATCAAGCTAAAGTTACTTAAGAGATCTAGAAGGATAAATAAGGATTAAAGATTTAGAATTTAATGCAAATATTCTTTTATAGCAGAATTAATCATAATTCTTTTCTTTACTTGCAATAGAATCACAAGGAGTGACAAAAATAATATTTGAAAATCTAAGATTTTTGTCAAATTGTCTTCATTCATTCGCTAATAATCAATTTTAAACTTTTGCAAGTTTACTTTATATTAGTTGTAAGACTGGCTTTGTTGAAATAATAAATATGAATAGTATTTCAAATTCTGCTACAAATACTTCTAATTCGTTTATATATATGCTATCAAATACAATAATTTTTAGTAATATTACAATCTCAAATAATAATATTTTACCGCAATCATTCTGGAGTGAATACTATAATATTGAATTTGATGAATAATATTCTTAAGAATAAATAAATTAGATTGTTTAATAAGTATTAAACGTTGAAAATATTGGAGGAGTGGCTGTGATAAGAGCTTAAAATTTTATCTGCAACTTTTGCTTCTTTAATAATATCCTCGTCTTTAAAAGTTCTATCTTTGAGATAACAACTTTAGGAGATGGCATTATTGAATTAAATTTCATTGTAATTAATTCAACTTTGAATAATAGAAAACTGAATACAAACGGTTCAGGATGCATTAGCATAAATTCTTAAAATAGCAAATTAAACCTTAAAATTTAGAATGCCATATTTTTCGATGTCATAAACAGAATGGCCCCCTCTATCCTTTCAGTTATTCCATCTAATATTTAGAATAATATTCTACTTTTTAATGTTTCAATTGAAAATTGTATTTCTTTGTATAATCAAATTTTAAAAGCAACCTTTTCAAGTCAAATTATGTAAAACAATACCATTACTTTTCATAATATAAAGCTAGTTCAAAAAGAAATGGCCTGGAAATAATATTTTTAGAAATTAGGAATATTGACTTAAAGTGAAATTAATTAAATCATAGATGATAATAATGCTGTTTTGAATATAGCTGGAAGCTCTGTTCTTATTCAGAATATTATTGTTGAAGGCCTATATTTTGCTCCTCTGTTTAAAATATAAGATGCTCAAAAGTTCTTTATTTTGAACTGTTAAATACAAGATATCTAAATTATATACCCTTTTGACCTAATTCATTATTATGAAATCTACCATATTAAATCTTAGATCTCATTTTAATATTTAAGTATACTCAATATTTCAATTTACACTGAAAATTAGATCTATGTTTATAGTGAATAAATTGATAAATATTAAATTTAAGAGTGCAATCATTTATTAAGATAACCTTAAAAAGATCAGACAACTTTTAATTTTGAAACAATAACCTAAATACTTTAAGAAAAAATTTAATTAGGAAAATCATTACTTTACTTTAGTAGTAGTTCAAACCAAAGTTAATTTTTTTTATCTTCTGTTTAAGTAAATTTAAATAATTGTTCATATTGTTCAAATGGGCTAATCTTTTTTTAATAAGAATCATTTCATACTTTATAAATCCAAAATTTTGAATGTAATTTTAATAATATTTTATCTAATGGTTGCTTAAAATTCATTCTTAAAAATAAATCTTTAAATTATGTCAAAATTAAAAATTCAAATTTTCTTTATAATAATGGTACGTAAGGAATAGCAGTTTAGGGAATAAATACTTCTATCTCTATGAAATACTGCTTCATTATGCACAATAAAGCTAGTTTACAAGGTGGAGGATTGTACCTAGAATAATATAATGAAAAAATTTTCATTAGCTAATCATTATTATTATACAATATTGCAAAAGAAGGAGGAGGAATATATTTATATGGTGATAATAATCTATATTTATAAAATTTGAATAATTCATACTTACAATTCAATAAGGCAGAATCATACGGCAATAATTTAGTTGAAAGTCCTACACATTTGGCTTTAAATATCAATGATATGGAAATGATGTCAAAGTTTTCAGTTAATTAAAGCCAAATAAGATTTTTGAAGCTTGATCCATATTTAATTTTAGATTAAGAAATCAAAACATCAACTCAGTATTTAATGATTCCAAGTAATCAATAGTTGAAATAATATAAAATTTATTTGCCGAAAGAATAAGAATCTATACCCTATATAAATTCTATTTACTTAACGCTGAAAAATAGTAGAGATGAACTTCAACTGAACTTTAATAAACTAACATGTAGTATAAGTTAAACAACGGTATTAAATACATCAAATAAAATTGTTGATGCTCCATCAAATATAACTTTAGAATATGATTCAAATAATCATTATTTTGATTTGAAGGAACTAATCTTTCGATTTGATCCGTATAATATAATGAATAACTATTTGCAAATAAAATTCAACTGTTCATCTGATATTTAACATAAATAATTAATATATTTGATTAAGGCAAGAAGTTTTAAGTGCCAATTAGGAGAAATTTATTAAAACAATGGATGTTAGCTATGCCAATCATAATAAGGATTTTATTCTGTTTAATATGATTAATAAAAATGTTCCATTTTTGATAAGCAAAAATTTGCTGATATAACTTCAAATAATATCAACTTATTAGAGGGATATTGGAGACCCCACTACTTATCCGATTACTCTAATCTCTGTTTTAAGAATTTTTAATTTTGTTTAGGAGGATGGGGAGTTGGAAATTAATTATGTAGTATGGGGCATATAGGAGCTTTATGCGAAGAATGCGATACTTATAATATTAAAGGATAAGGCTAATATTTTAAAAATTTATAAAACTCAGAATGTTTAGCTTGTTTTGGAGTTGAAGATAGTATTATTCCTTTTATAATCACTTCACTTTGGTATATCAATATTTAATTTTAGGGCCTGTTTCTCAATAATATTAACATTAAAAAGTATAGCCACATCTAATAGATTATTTGTAACTTTAAAATTAAGGGAAAAGTAAAGTAAAATAATATATAAATTAAGTTAAGGTAAATATTGATTCTGATTTAGATCATTAAAGTATTTTAATTAAAATGCTATTAAATTATTTATGGATTTATTCAGTGATTTTTACTTTTAATATTAACTTCTCGTTTTCATTTAATGTTATAGATAATGCAAGTAATACCTCATATTTTATGGCTAATAATTTAGACTGTTACTTATCAGAATATTTAAAAATACAATTAGTTTATTCTAAAGTTATTACAATTAAGATTTTAATTCTATATTAATTTATAATTATTCTTTTAGGATCATATGTATATTCTAAAATAAAAAAATCAAAATATCACAGCAATACTATTTCACATATTTCGCTTTGTCTCTATATATTTAATTACGCAGGATTAATCAAAATGTAAGAAAAATTTATATATTTAGGTTGAGTTCCATAGTATCTTTGAGGGTAGTGTCTAATCATAAGTATATTTAAGGTGATGTATCTTTAAGATATGACACTGATTCTCATTATAGATGGATTACTTATTTTTTTATTCCAGATCTATTATTTTTTGGTTATTTAATTCCATTATGCTTATTCGTATTGTTATATGCTTAAAGAAACAAATTAGATTCTATTAGACTAAGAGGACATATTTGTTATTTATTTAATGAATATAATTAAAATTGTTACTTTTGGGAATTGATTAAACTTTCAAAAAAAGCAATAATGATTTTTATAATGACATATTTTGAAACTAATATTTCACTAAAAGCTATTTTGTTAGGTTTGTGTTTGGTATTTTATTAATTGATAGCAATTAAAAATAGGCCATATATTATTTCCAAATTTAATTCTTTAGATTTATATTCTGGATAATTATGCTCTATTTCAATATTTTTAGCTGCCGCAAAGTATCATAATGAATAATCGAATGATTATGTGTCATCAATCGCACTTTAGGTGTTGCTAATTATCTTTAGCTTTCGACTATGCCAACCATATTTGGTAGATATTATTAGAATATATTATAAAAAATATAAGGTTCTATTTTTTATGAAATTAAACAAAATCTTAAGATTAATAAAATTAGACTTTATTGTATCATTTCTGGATAATAAGTTAATTTAAATGTAATATTAAGAATTACAATTATAACGCAACTTCAATAGATTAAGATCCATAGCAAAAAGTTAAGTAGCAAATAGAAGGTAAGAAAGATCATCAAGGTTAAGACTAATGACTTCTTAATTTAATTCTCAATGGACTTATAGATTTAGATAGAATAGTCCAGATATGGAACACAAATCATTAGTACCTCTTGTTACAGATTGATATTCATTAAATTATATTATTCATTATTAAATTTTTAAGTTTAATCGAATATTTTGATTTTTTCAAAAGGTTTTTATTCTTAAATTAAAATAAAACATTTATTTATATATGTCGAATTTAAAAAATATTTAATTTATGATATATAATCTAGAGTTTATCCTCAGCTTTTTGAAATTTTAGCTTTAAATAAAAAATTATTATATTTTATGTAAATTGTGAAATTTCACTTCTTCTATCCATTTCAAAAATTCATAAGTTTGAATTTTAACTCACCACTTTTATTAAGGGATAAGGTTGGAACACAAATTTGTTATCGCCTTGAATAACATAATATATTTACTCAATTTTATCTTTACGCTTTTATTAAATTGTCATTTATTTCAACTTTTTGAAATTTCTTTCTATTCTAATACTCTTTTATCTCCATTAATCTAGTTTATATGTAAGTTTGCATATTAAATTTGATTAAGGGTTTAATGTTTTTAAAGCAATTACTAAGAGTTTCAATAATTTTTCTTTATATTTATAATAATAGGCTGAAATAATATCAAAAATATATGGAAAACTAAATTTAAAGCATATTAGAATTATCAGAATTTACAAAATTTTTGCATATACTTAATCTTCTTATTATTCACAAAGATATTATACTGCTGCTAAGAAAATTGCTATTGAACATAATTGTGCTGATTTCAAATCTAAATTATTTAATTTTGAATAAATGTAAGGTAGATATTATGCTGTGATTATTTAATAGATCATTAAACACACTCCAATTAAAAACCCTTTATAAAATATATTTGTTTCAAAGTAAATCAAAATAATAATAATGATTGTTTTTTTCCATAATTTAATCCATTCCCAAAAAGAGCTATTATTGCTATATTCATTAAATAGATAGCCGATATGTTTTCTGAATTATATTTTATCAAATAAGTTTCTTTTTTGGTACAAAAACCAAAGTAATGACATGGGTAAAATTAATCCTATTAGTAATGAAACTGGTAATGCAAACCTATACATCCATGTCTAATGATTTGATGATTCAAAGAGGAGGGACACGTCTCCTTAAACATAATTAATTTATGAGATTTCCCTATTGGCCATAATAGAGAAGAGCCTTAATAATTAAAAAAATTATACTGATTGATTAAGGCAGTATAGTTTTAAATATACATGTAAATTAACGTGATTGAAATTATGTTTTTTCTGAATCTTACTCTTGCTAACATAAAAAATATATTGACTCCTAATTAAATGAGGAAGATTTATAAGGCGATTAAAATCAACATCACTAACACTCTCATATATATTAATTCAATTTCAAATGATTAGGAAAGTTCACAATCTAGATTACGAGTTAGAAAATATGATGTATCACTCATTTAGTTAACAAAAATAAATGAAAAAGAGAATTTAATGTTAAAAGTAAAAATCACAGAAAATATCCAAATATAATTAAGAAATAATTTTAACAATATGCTTTCTTAATCTAAAAAGGATAATATATATATTTACTTAAATTCATTTTAAACAAAATATGAGCAAATTTTTAAGTGAGTTTGAATAAAGCAAACAANATCTCCATTAATCTAGTTTATATGTAAGTTTGCATATTAAATTTGATTAAGGGTTTAATGTTTTTAAAGCAATTACTAAGAGTTTCAATAATTTTTCTTTATATTTATAATAATAGGCTGAAATAATATCAAAAATATATGGAAAACTAAATTTAAAGCATATTAGAATTATCAGAATTTACAAAATTTTTGCATATACTTAATCTTCTTATTATTCACAAAGATATTATACTGCTGCTAAGAAAATTGCTATTGAACATAATTGTGCTGATTTCAAATCTAAATTATTTAATTTTGAATAAATGTAAGGTAGATATTATGCTGTGATTATTTAATAGATCATTAAACACACTCCAATTAAAAACCCTTTATAAAATATATTTGTTTCAAAGTAAATCAAAATAATAATAATGATTGTTTTTTTCCATAATTTAATCCATTCCCAAAAAGAGCTATTATTGCTATATTCATTAAATAGATAGCCGATATGTTTTCTGAATTATATTTTATCAAATAAGTTTCTTTTTTGGTACAAAAACCAAAGTAATGACATGGGTAAAATTAATCCTATTAGTAATGAAACTGGTAATGCAAACCTATACATCCATGTCTAATGATTTGATGATTCAAAGAGGAGGGACACGTCTCCTTAAACATAATTAATTTATGAGATTTCCCTATTGGCCATAATAGAGAAGAGCCTTAATAATTAAAAAAATTATACTGATTGATTAAGGCAGTATAGTTTTAAATATACATGTAAATTAACGTGATTGAAATTATGTTTTTTCTGAATCTTACTCTTGCTAACATAAAAAATATATTGACTCCTAATTAAATGAGGAAGATTTATAAGGCGATTAAAATCAACATCACTAACACTCTCATATATATTAATTCAATTTCAAATGATTAGGAAAGTTCACAATCTAGATTACGAGTTAGAAAATATGATGTATCACTCATTTAGTTAACAAAAATAAATGAAAAAGAGAATTTAATGTTAAAAGTAAAAATCACAGAAAATATCCAAATATAATTAAGAAATAATTTTAACAATATGCTTTCTTAATCTAAAAAGGATAATATATATATTTACTTAAATTCATTTTAAACAAAATATGAGCAAATTTTTAAGTGAGTTTGAATAAAGCAAACAATTAATTTGTTTTCTCTACACTAGTTAATGTTATAAAAGTTGAAAGAAAGACCCTAGATTCAATTATTATATTACCAAACCATTATCAAAATTATAGATAGTATGCTGATAGAAAAATCTCTACAATTCCAACAAGTATATTGATCATTTTAAAAAAAATATCCATCTCCTCTAATATTATGTTTATCACACTCCTCACATAATCCTCCAATGTGCCCAACTTTACAAATATCATCTCCAACAACCCATCCCCCTTTACATGATTCAATATTTTTGAAGCAATCATTTACTAAATCTGACTCTGGATGAGGTCTCCAAAATCCAGGTTTCAAGTTTATATTGTTAGAATTGATTGCTTCAAATTTTGTTTTATCAAATATTGAACACTTTGTGGCATTGTATGTAACTGAATAAAATCCTTAATTTGATTCGCAAGTCAAACAACCATCTAAAACATAAAATTCTCCTAGTTAACAATAAAGGCTTTTTACTTTTATATTATATGATAATTCTTAACTCTAATTTTTGGTTTTACAATTAATTTTAATTTCATATTATTTATTAGTTTGATTATATGGATCAAAGATGAAAATTAAGGTTCCCATATCAAATTTGTTTGTGGTTTAATTAAATTATATTAAAGACACATTGTATGATTCCAGTATTGTTTATTTTTTAATATCTAATATAGATTCAATAATTTAGCAAGTTGAATTAGTAAAATTAAGCAATTATTCATTAAATCTATTTTTAAATTAAATGGATAATTCATTTATATATGATGTAAACTTCTTTTATTTGGGATTGTATAATTCATATTTGGCCATTTCTTAATTACTTGGAACCATTAATATATTTGCCATAAGTATTTTACCTTATTACATCATTCTGTAAGGCTATAATTTTAAAGACTTTTAGGATATTTAATCAAATTTAAACTCTGAAGGCATAATTTGATGATTGATTGATAAGTCTAAATGAGAAGGTTATTCGTGTAGATTATTTGTTGTTAATTCAGCTAGATTAAAATTTAACAATGAATTCATAAAATTAATTTCACTCAGAAAGCTATTTTCACTAAAATAAATCCCTCCACCTTCACTTGCTTTATTCTATTAAATATTTGTTGATTTTATTGAAAAATCTTAATTATTCAGATCAATATATAATCCACCTCCTAATAAAGTTGCAGTATTATTGAAAATCTTGATTTTGAACAAAAATATCTTAACATTTAATGAAGATACTGCAATTCCTTAGGTACCTATATTATTAATAAAAAGAGAATTTCTAATTTTTAACTTACCTTACAGTTTTTTTTCTGATTAAGCAGTAATACATCCAAATTGTTATATAATATTTCCCATACAATAAAGTTCTTCAATATTTATTTGTTAAAAATCAATTAATTCAAAGAAGATAAGACCATGCTTACAAGTCCTGCAATTATTCTATAAGAGAAATATTGATTGTAAAGATATTTTTGTTAGATTGTTTGAACATTTGATGTATAAAATTGATCCATTTTAAGTGGAATATTATAAAATCTATTCGAAATTATTTAATTTTTTGTCTAGTTATTGTATCTTTATTGGAAGCAATACAGCCATTAATATTTAACATTTTTTATATTCTAAAAATAAATTAGGGTAATCTAAAGGACTTAATTATTAATTGTGACTGTTAAACATCTTAATCTCAATTGTGGTTAAGTTTTATATTTAAATTATTGATTTAATTTAAACGACTGATTCAATATGTAGCAAATTCAAACTATGAAACATAATAATTTTATCAAATAAAATATTCATTAATTATATTTTTTTGCAATTTATTAAATTAAAAATACCAGATAATATAAATCCTTCAAATTAAAAATTATGAACCTTTAATAAGCATCCTTAAATATTAAAAATAGCATTGTCTTTAGTTATTTATGATATTATTATTGGTTCCAAAATATTAAGCTATCTGTTAAATTCCACTGAAGCTTATTAACTTTATGATATAATGATGTTATCTATAGTTATTAAATTTTAATCAACATTTTCTTAAGGAAATGATAATGCTAAAAACACATTTGTTAAAGAGAAACAATTTGAGACTTAAACATTTTTTATAAGAATATAATTTGATACTTCTGATGGAATAAGGGATAAGATTGCTGGGGATAATGTATTATAAACGTCTGTGAAATTAAAATTTTCTAGTCTTAAAGTTAAATAACTATTTTATGAACTAATACTGATTGATCCTTCTTATTTTGAATTTTAAAGCAAATTATTTTGAGAATAAGCAATACTACAATTATATAGGTTGATAATTCCAGCTCCCTTGGTGACAATATCCAAAACAGAGCTGCTTTTTGCTATTAGATATGAAAATTATCCATTTTCTAAAGTGAAATTATCAGTGATTATTTTAATAACTCCACCTTTGTTTTTAATTGATAGAATTTATTCAATCATATAATTAATTTCAATTTAATTAATATTATTTTACAGCAAAATTTGATAATACCTATTCCAAAATTCTACTCTCAGATAATTGTGATGAAAAACTTAAATTTATTTTATTTTAACTTCATTAGAGTTGATAGTAATAAAGGAATTAGTTGAGTTTGTTAGGGAATTTTCAAAACACTATATATTCTAAAGAAGAATAAAACTATTAATTGAGTTGATAAAAAGCAAACTAGCAGAACTTTATGTAGGATCTTCATAATATTAATGATAAGAATTTTCCTAATACAATATATTCTAAAAGTGGATTGACTATATTTTATCCGAATATATTGATATGATTGAAAACATATATCTTTGGTTGATCTTCATCAATCTATTTTTAGTAAAAGTAACGTTTTAAATTATTATAGTTTCAGGTTCTTTATTTAAGGTTTAATCATTGGACTGAATTTCAATAAAAGATTAATCTATAGTAATCTAATTAAACAATTTAATAAAACCCAAATAAAGACTAGAAAATCCTTTCAAAAATAGAAATTTTGAATGCTAATAACTATTAATAATACAATCTTAATTAAGGGGAATCCTATATTCTTAGATTTCATTTTAAACAGAAATATTCTTAATATTAATTTAAGAAATGTTGAATAAATAAAAGTAGCGTAGATAAGAAGTATTTATAATAGACACATTCTAAATTAAAATATTTGAGCAACTGAGTTTAAATATATAATCTTGTATTTCTTTTTAAGCATTAGTATTATCTTTAAAAACAATGTTTGTTAATTCTATTTTAATAGGTTGCATTTGGTTTTAATCATTGACAAAAACTTAAAAACTCTGAAAAATATTCGAAATTATATTAATATCAACTATTTTTATTTCTTATTGATAGATTACAGAGAATTACTTTTCAAACAAAATTGATTCTTTAAACTAATTTTATTTAAGTACTAAATTAAAGCTAAAAAGATCTTTACTAAATTTTATTAATTTTGAATTTAAAATTAAGTTTTCAATCATCTAAAAAGAATAGATAAAAAGAATTTTGGTATTATAACTTTCTAAAAATGAAGAATTAGTAAAAATAGAATTCTTAATGATAATGGATCTAAGACTTATTTTTGTTTCTGAAGTTTGTTGAAAATTAAGTAGTGTAAATTTGTTGAATTCACATCGATCAATAAAAAGGTTTCCAATTACAATATTTTGTGAAGTAGTATTGAAATTGAACAAAACTGTGTTGCTAATTATAGTATCCGTCAAAAAAAAGTAATCTATAAAAATAGTTTCATTCTATTTAGTTGAATGTATGTTAAACATAATAGAATTATCAATAACAAAATTAGAAATTGATAAATTGTAAATATTACAAATCTGATTGATATTCATAGGAATCTCAAATTTTATTTATTCTAATTTATTTGAAATAAATGTAGTATTTAATATTTGATAATCTATTGCTTCTTCATTATTATAAAACTCAAAAGTAATGTTTTATTCTAAATTTACATACAAATTTATTAATTCTACTTAATTAAAATTATATATTTAATAATTTTTAATTATTGGTAGATTTCCTTTTAATTAAAGTTTAACAAATCTGATTGAAAATATTTTTGTGTAAAATGAATTTTTAATTATCCGATATTCAGGTATTTAGAATTTGGGAACATCACAACTGAGTTTAAATTAGAGAATTAAAATAAATTATCTCAGACCAATCTCATTAAAATAGAAAAAGTCAAAATCATTCTCAAAATTTTCAGATGAATCTGCATTTACATCAAATGGACCAGAATTCATTTTGCAAAACCAGTTCATCTTGAATTATAATTAATGATTACTGAATACTCAAAAGCTGTTTTACTAGGATCATATATATACTGAGCTACTTACAATTATGGGTCTATTTTTATATTGACGTTTGATATAGTTTTTATGCATTATGTAGTATATTAGGCATTTTTTTCATTTATTATGTAATACGGATTTATATTCTATAATACATTTCATTAAAAATACCTTAATGCTTTCGTTAGATCTTGTATGGCAAACCAAACATAATGAAGGACAAATTACGCATTTACCATATTCTTAAACTCTATATGGTTCCTAATAGGGGTTTAAGGAACATAAAGAGCAAGTAAATCTCTTTGATATTTCATCCTTTTAACATTGCCTACAATTTTAATCACAATATTATGAACATCTTTATTTAAATAATTAATATCCATCTATACATTCAATATTATAATTATTAAATTATTCTAATAAATAGGAATAATTTATTTTAGCAAATAGCATAGTGAAAGATTAGACAATATACCTCCAAATATTTTAATCATAAAAATAAACACTAGATTTTTCATTTTATTATTAGAAACCAATCTAGCATAATCCAGTTGTATAGGATGCCACATATCCTACTTCACAAATTAGACACTTTAAAATAGTTTGAATGTTTTGAAAACATTATTCACAATGAAAAATATACTTTTAACAATTAATTATTTAAGGAGCAACTTTAAAATCATCTATTGATGACAAAATACACATCTCTTTCCCTTCTTAATTCACAAATGATCTTAGACAATTTTATATTTATGATTATTTATAAATGCATTATCCAGTAATGAAATCATAAATATATCCTTCTAGACATTATGCACAACCTACCAATACTTATTAATCATTTGCATTAATCCTCTCAGTTGAATATTTGTAAAATATGGTATTCTTTTAAACATCATCCTTTAAATAATCAAAACAATAAAGACAGTTAACAATAGGACATAAGATACATATATTATAATAGGTTTAATAATAAGGAGTTTCACAGACTATAACTTTTGCAGTTTAAATCAATTTTTATATTTAACAAACTCCATCTTTTAATAAAAAATTCATAACACATTTGGTACAAATAGGTTTAAATAATTGAATTTCACATTACATACAATGTTCAAAAACGAAACAGAATTCTTTATCTAAATCTCTTTGGCAGTTCTAACAGAAATTTGAAAATTATTCAAAAGTCTATATGTAATCAGAATAAATATCTTTATATTATTCTTAATTTTCTTTGAACTTTATATCTGCTCCATCAAAGAATAAATCACTTACCCCATCGTCTAGTTTTGTAAAAGGCCTTAAATTATCATCAGTTACAAAGTTGTATTAACAATATGGATTTATAATCCAAGTTTTTGGATTTGTGATACATTCTATACAAGTTATTAATTTCTCTCTTATTTTAGAAGGACTAATAAAGTTAGATATAAATACCATTTCCAGCATTCATTATCAAATTCAAAATATCCATAGGAACACTTGAACTCATTACCATTTTCTTAAGAGAGAATTAGTTAAAATGAGGAATAGTCTTTGCATTCATTATCTATTTCAATTTTTCCATAGACACAAACACAAGCTTTCTATTTTTTATTATAAATTCTATTTGTAGATGGATCACATGATAAACAATCAGATTTAGTTGGACCATCACATTCCAAGCATGATATATGACATAGTTTCGAAATAATCTCTTTGTCACAATTAGAAAACATCATATTTATAAATTAGATTGTTAAATAGTTGTAAGTTTACAATATATTTCCATAAGTTATTTTAAATCTAATCATATTAAAATGATTAACAATACTCTCAAAAGAATATTCTTGAATTGTTGTTACTTCATAAAATAATATTTTCACTTATATAGAATTCTTGGTTTTCCTGATTCTTAAAAAATGCCATAATTATATATTTATATCAATAGAGAAAGTTTTTTTAATTAAAAAAGGATCATCTGAAAAGTCAATATTTACTATTGGGAAAGTGTAACTATATGTTGTTATTATGATTTAATTTAGGCTTTAAGTTAATTTATAATATAGTTAAAATGCACATAGATTATCGTCCAATAATTTTGTATTTATATAATGCGCAGATATTTTAATTAATTAATAATCCATTTCTTTAACATAATTATTTCTTTCTTTTATTCTAATCCATGTTTAGAAACTAAAGGAATCACAATTTAAATTTTCTGATATGAAATATTCTTGATTTAGTTAAGAGATAAGGGAATCAGGAATATTTTGAACTTTATTCAATGTACATTTGCAACTTAATAAAGGAACAGTTAATTGATCTTCAAAATTTTTCAACTAACATTATCCCTCTCTACTTTAATAACTTAAACTATATCTTATATAATTTCCTGGAAAATAGGAAAGCTTAGATATTTATTCATTAAAAAGTGTTTAATCAATATTTATCTATAAATCTCCCCCATAGATATATTATAAATTTGCATCATAATTTGGATATATGAGATTATATATTTGTGTATCTAATATCTTGTTATTTAAGATAAGACATATAACAACTTATTTTTCTGCTAGATTAGCAATAATACCTAAAAAGTACCAAAATGATTCATATTCATGTATGTTCAGATAATATGATTTTTTATAAATATTACCATCATCTCCAATAAATGTATATGTTTTTTCTATCTATTATTTCTCGTAATCAATACAATCATAATACAAAAAGTTTATATTTTACTTTCTATTATCTATGGTATGATGTATATGGAAACAATTGCTGTCTAAAATTCCAATTTCTCCTAATTATTGAATATCAATTAGAGGATTATATCTAGTAGATATTCCATATTTATAACAGTAAGGATCATCAATTTAGAATACTGATTATGCAAACGATTCATTATAAAATTAGTATAATGGGTTAAATAATGATATAGACTACCCTTCAACATGCGTTAATCTAGAGTAAAATAGCAAAATATTTAAAATCACAATAATCATTTATAATAAATTATGAATTTAGATATTATATACTATTAATAAACTGAAGTTAAGCTAAAAACACTAAGAATAAAACTTAGAATAGTATCACCATATCTAAAAATGAATATTATAATGCTAATAATATTTATCTAAGTGGGCTTAAAATCATCTTATAAAATAATTTATATTATTAATTGATTTTATTTATATGAGTAAATGGTTATTAAATAATATTTATTTATTCTCATAAATAGCTACTGTTAGAAATACTTATTATTATTTCAGACTCCTTAAGTTAATTCTTTATTTTGAGCAATATTAATTAGTTCCCAATTTTTCATTTAAATGTCTCTTTTTTACTCTTTCTAATCCTTTTAAGAATACATGCAAAGAAATTCAACTCTTTCTTTTTTAAATTCTATTTAAAATGAAAGAATTTCAATCAATAATATCATATTTTTCGTTTTTGTATTCTACTATTGAAATTTCAGATCTGATCTATGTTGAATTTTTTTTATAAATTCGATCGAGTAATTTATTTTTATTCCTCATATAAATCTAAATATATAGCAAATATTTTTTGACTAAAGAAGCAATTCTTCTATTAATATCAAATCATTTAATATGAAGATTCCATCTAATTACTATTTTACATATATAATATTGATAAGAAACAAAAACAATATCTTATTAAAAGTAAAGATCAAAATAAAGAATGCAAATTTTATAAATGATTATTGAAATAAGTTTAAATAAATTTCAACAAATTAATAACGTTTTCCAATTATAAGTTAAAAACACTATAATTCTCATATAGATCAATACAATAAATTAATAATTCTTAACTTTTTCCTTACAATTTTTTCATGTTTTTCTTTAATTTATTTCATTATTTTTAGAGAATCATAAAAAAGAAAATAATTCCTATATTTAACTTAGAATATAAAACACAACTTTTTATTCTAATGATGATTTTAAGTCTCAGTTTTTGAAATGTCTAGTTTTGGATTTATATAATCAACTTTTTGAAAAATTCTTAAATCAATTGATTTAGAATTTGGAAAATATTGTTTTAATAAATCATATAATTTATTATATATCATCCAGATCCAGTTGTTGTAGTTGAATTTGTGGTACTACTACTATCGGATGCTAAAGAACCTTTAACTTAATCTGGAGTATTGAATTTTCCATCATCCAATCCTAATGCTGATAATACTATTAAAACAATAATGGCTATAAAAATTAGACCTATTAAGCACATTAACAATTTGTCAGTATAAACTTATCTATTCATTAGTTTTAAAATGAAACCTTGCAAAATATTTAATATATTTGGCTGATCTTTTCAAAACAGATTAAGTATCCATTACTGTATCATACATCCTATCTAATTATGCTATTTGCTTATCTAATTCCATGTTGATTTAATCTGCTAATTCATTACCCTGTTAAACTGTTTTAGTAATCTCATTTAATTTAACGATAGCTAAAATATTATTGGTTCTATAAAGTACCATTCTGCTGTACTTAATTTCCCACATCAATAACTTATTATCTATTCATATCCTCCAATCTTTAAGGTTACTATTCTGACCTTCCTTTAAATAGATTCTCCTAGTTTTGCCCTTCATTTTTTTTAAACTCTAATTCATTTTTCAATCTTTAAAATCTTTAATTGATTGACCTTAATGAGTCATTATACCTAAAGTAAAACATTAAAATACTTTGCACTTTAAGCTTTATCGAGATTACTAATCTCCAAATCATAACTCTCAATCAGAGTGGAAATGCTTTTAACTTGAGCATAACATTTCTTAATTGCAGCATTTTTTTAATTATATTCCTTTTTGCTTAGTGAATCTATTTCTTTTTACAATTTATCTAATTCTGCATTCAAATTAGAATCAAATTCATCCAATTCAGTCATTTTAATTGATTTATTTTATATTTTAATTTTCAAAAAAAAATTTTCATTGAAAAATAGAAGTATTCTGATTCATACTTAGTTGAATACTTTTGAAATATACCTATAGAATTATAATTAAATTAATATAAATGGAATAGAATAAGAAGTATTAAAATTTATTAAAATGCTTCTATTAATTATAAATATTATAATAATCAGTTAATGCTAAATAAAAGCCAAAACTCTATGCAGATTTGCTAATTATGTAAAATGACTAGTTAAAATCCTATACAGCTAATCTGTTCTCATTCACTTTGTTTAAAATGTGGATTAAAGATATAGATATAAGAAAATACTAGGTAATTAATAGATCAACAATTAGTCAAATACAAAATAAGTTTCGCATTTAATGTCCAAAATGCAATAAAATGACACATACTTATGATATTAAAAATTTATTATTGGAGAGTAACGAATTATATTTGATAACTGATTCTAGTGAAATGGAAAAGGAGGTCTTGAATGAAGTAAATATTTTAGCAAATATAAAACAGAGCTAGTTTTCTTTGTAAAAAAATTAATAGGAGGCAATTTTTGGGAGAAGAGAATCTAATGCTTATCAAATTTAAGAAGTCTTTTCAAAGAACTCATAAATGTTAAATGTATAAGCTATAAACAACAATGCCCAAACTGCTTTTAATCATAATCACTCCAATAAAAAGAAAGCAATTATTACAAATGAGAAAACATCCCCAACAAAATAATTCTAGAAGCCTGCTTAATAGAATCACTAAAAAAAATAATCATACTAGATGCCTCATCCAGAAATTGCTTTAGAATGTAATAAAAAAATTATTTTACAGGTAAGGCCAAAACTTAAGCAAACACATCTAATGTTTAATAGTAAAAATTAAATGATTTTTTAAAGCCCAATTCGAATACTCCTGTTGCTACTCCAACCACTCTCTCTTCCTAATTATTATTCTAATAAACTGATAATAAAAAGTAGATTGCTTAAGTTTAAGCTGTTTAGCAATATAAGCAAAAGTAAAAGACTTAAAATACAAATATATATGTTCAGGAACATCTATAAAATGCTATAAATTAAAATCAATCCGATATAGTATTCCCTCAATAAATAAAAAAAAATAACAACCAAAATAATTTAGAGAGTGTCTATCATTAACAAGTGTAACATTAGATTAGTATTTTTGACAAGTATAATGAGAATAACAAATAAATGTTATTTGATGACAAATAAAAATGTACAATAGAGTATAACAAAGAAAAAGAAAATCAATTTTTGAAAGAAATCTCTAAAGATTGTTAAAACTCATCTAATTAAACTTCAGACAATTCAAGACACAAGCGAAGTTCTACTGGTTTAATATAAGAGGTTGAAGAGAATGCATCTGTTTAAATAATCTAATCATATTTTTAAATGGTTCAAAAGAATGTTTAAAAATTGGAAAGAGATGTAATAAATGCTGCAAATGGCAAATAAATTGATCCATAAATAGTATATTCTAAACTTAAGGTATTGACATCTAGAATTGGAGATAATGATGGTGAATTAGTCTAATCTATTAAAGTGATGCAGAAATTACAATAAGAAATTTTAGGACTCTCTACTCCATCTTAACATAGAAAAACAAGTTCTCATTAAAATACTAGTCATAGATATACTAATTCTAGCAATTATGGAAAAAATATTGAGAAAAGTGATTAGAGTATAGGAGCAATGCCTTAAGAGTTAAAAATATATAAGAAATTTTTATGATTTAATATTTATATAGATATTTCTGTTACTTCATAAGTCTAATTTAAAATGTTTCAGTTCACACGGATCGTTGATTTCTATGGCGGCTTTTTAAGATTACTTAATAAAGTCCTTAACAGGCTTTTCATTCTTTCCATATTGAATTAAGCTCTAAAATTAAAATAGTGCGTACTTTGAGGTATTAATTGATTTCAATTTTTCTTTTTAAAACAAAGTTCTGATCCATGTTACCAAAGAGTCGTTTTTCAGGGAATTTGGTAAGTCTATGGATCACATCTTTATTTAATTTTGAATGGAGTCCTTCTAGAAGACTATATCTGGTTTAAAATATCCAATAAAGTGATCCATAAGTCACTTTAATTTAATAGATAGTGAATTGTTTTTCTACAATTTTGTGGTTAATCACTTCGATTTGATATTCACAGTTCTAAATTATAATAAATGATTACTTATTATTCATATTGTTTACTATTCAGTGATTTTTTAGGATTAGTATTTTTTGGTCTCTTCAGGAAGGACAAGATGGGTAATTGATTATCAAGACCGTTCAGGTTTTCTGAGATTGATATATTGATTTGTTATTCAGTTTAGTTAGCCATTTTTGATGGTTATTAAATATGTGAAAATGGGAAAGGTTAGACAGATCTAAACTTTTTATTTTATTTAATGTAATTGAAAAAAAATTTTTTAGTATTTAAAGTGATAATATTGTCAGATTTTTTTAGTGCGATTAAAGTAAAAATTAACAATTAAAACATAAATACTAGAAAAAAATGTTGATAAAGAGAAAATGTATAAACTGAAGTTAACAATATATTTTAATTTATTGGAATTAAAATTATTGATATATTTTACATAATGATAAATGTTAAAATTCACAAATTTAAAATTTAGGTTCCAAATGAAAAAATTATTATTGCATATCTTTCAATATTATTATTATTATTATTATTGATAGAATTGAAATGATGAAATTTATAATTGATTTAACTCAATGTATTGAATTTTAATGAACCCAACTATAAAATATATGGATTATATAAATCAAGTTTTGTATTTCTAATATTTATCATGCTTAAAATCGTCTATTATTGATCCAAAAAAAAAATAATTTAGCTAATATGATCTTAATAATAATATGTATGATATTTTATAATAAGAATATTTAGAGTCAAATTGCTAACATTGTAAATTTTTAAGGTGAAAAAGAAATGGAATTCAAATTCTCTATAGTATTTATATCTATTGCAGAATATATGCAAATTACAATTCTTAATATCACTTAATAGATCGACTTAATGATGAAAGGAATTAAGTAAAATAAGAAAGGACAAATTAATTCTACATATTTGATTATTTGGATTACATTGCCAATTATAAAATAAAGAAATCAATAATATAAATACTATGCTAAACTTATATTGAAAAAGCAAACAATAGATAATTTAGTGTAATTAAAAGACAGAAAGAGATGATAAATTAGTACGGACATATAAAAACAGATTCAATTTATAAAACTACGAAATGATGAGATATCAAATAAGCACATTAAATTAGATTATAAGATAAATCACTAACATTCTAAGAAGGAATTTTGATAAGTTTATGTTAAAAAAATAAAAAAAATTTTCCTTTAGTTTTCTTATTTATTGACTTATTTAAAATTACTTTAATGATTCACTATAGAAATCTTCCAACTACATACAGAAATGATATGGAGAACTATCAAATTCGTCGATTTGAGAAAGCCACCCGTTTCAACCTTTCCTAGTAAAATTAGATTGGGAGAAGAAGAACACTTAGAATACAACCATAATTATTAATGACTTCTTAAAAGAAATTCTTTGTAGAATTGGTAGCATTAAATGAAGAGAAATCAAAATATTTATTGTACAAAAGTGATATAAAAAAGGTTCAAATTTAACTAAAGAGGAAAAAGTTCTGAATCAACAATTGAAGGTACATTAAATAATACTGCTTAATTGATTATGTTATCACTTCCTTACTTTTGTACGAATCATAATAAAAGATAAACCATATTGAAAAAATGGANTATCTTTCAATATTATTATTATTATTATTATTGATAGAATTGAAATGATGAAATTTATAATTGATTTAACTCAATGTATTGAATTTTAATGAACCCAACTATAAAATATATGGATTATATAAATCAAGTTTTGTATTTCTAATATTTATCATGCTTAAAATCGTCTATTATTGATCCAAAAAAAAAATAATTTAGCTAATATGATCTTAATAATAATATGTATGATATTTTATAATAAGAATATTTAGAGTCAAATTGCTAACATTGTAAATTTTTAAGGTGAAAAAGAAATGGAATTCAAATTCTCTATAGTATTTATATCTATTGCAGAATATATGCAAATTACAATTCTTAATATCACTTAATAGATCGACTTAATGATGAAAGGAATTAAGTAAAATAAGAAAGGACAAATTAATTCTACATATTTGATTATTTGGATTACATTGCCAATTATAAAATAAAGAAATCAATAATATAAATACTATGCTAAACTTATATTGAAAAAGCAAACAATAGATAATTTAGTGTAATTAAAAGACAGAAAGAGATGATAAATTAGTACGGACATATAAAAACAGATTCAATTTATAAAACTACGAAATGATGAGATATCAAATAAGCACATTAAATTAGATTATAAGATAAATCACTAACATTCTAAGAAGGAATTTTGATAAGTTTATGTTAAAAAAATAAAAAAAATTTTCCTTTAGTTTTCTTATTTATTGACTTATTTAAAATTACTTTAATGATTCACTATAGAAATCTTCCAACTACATACAGAAATGATATGGAGAACTATCAAATTCGTCGATTTGAGAAAGCCACCCGTTTCAACCTTTCCTAGTAAAATTAGATTGGGAGAAGAAGAACACTTAGAATACAACCATAATTATTAATGACTTCTTAAAAGAAATTCTTTGTAGAATTGGTAGCATTAAATGAAGAGAAATCAAAATATTTATTGTACAAAAGTGATATAAAAAAGGTTCAAATTTAACTAAAGAGGAAAAAGTTCTGAATCAACAATTGAAGGTACATTAAATAATACTGCTTAATTGATTATGTTATCACTTCCTTACTTTTGTACGAATCATAATAAAAGATAAACCATATTGAAAAAATGGAAATAAATTATATGGGGAGTTAGAATCATATTAAGATATAAGAAGATATTCAAAGAATAAGCATTTTTTGATTAGTTATCCAAATTGCCAAAAAGAAGAAAACTTTCATCTCCAACATCTGGACATAGAAGTCCAAAGAAGAGGAGAATACCAGCACCTTCAAGTGACAACTTTAATTTTACTATTATTACTAAAGACTTGCCAGAGGACACAAGTCGTAGTAAGACAAGTCGAAAAATGAAAAATCAACTCTCAGAAAATTTCTAAAAATCTATTTACTATTAAAATTAGAAATAGTAGGAGTTAAGATTAGAAAGATTAAGAAATAATAGTTTACATCAGTTGCTAAATTCTTAATAAAATCAATCATTAGCCACAGCTAGAACATAATCTGTTTTAATAAGAAAGATAAGAATAAAAAGACAATCAATATAATGATATTTAAATGTTTTCCATAGATTTCATAAGTGATATCACCATATATATATATTAATTTTCTGAAATGAAAAATTCCATTTGTTAACGAAATCTTGTACAAAATTTTATTATCGATGGTGGAGCTTATCGAGCGAATGTAAACTAATCTATTTTAACATCTCGATAATCAAGACTACCCTCTTTTAAGAATCCTCCTCCTATTTCAACTCCATCATCTCCAAAAGAGTAGAAAATGATGTGGAAAACAAATATTGGTTTTTAAAATGATTTATCTTTTATTTCCAATAGGAATAAAAGTCCTGATTAATCAAGTTAAAAGAAAAGTTATAGTCCTTAATTATATTCGATAACTCGCAAGCCTTTTTAATTGTAATTAGGAGGAGAGTAATAAATGTTGAATCATCATTCTAAATCAAGGGAGAAGAGACCTATGAGGAACTCTATATATTCTCGACCTACGTCCAGATTAATTGAAGAGTCTCAAACAAAATGTATGCCATCAACAGATTCTGAAATTAATAAAAATAGTTTTAAATTTCACTATATACTTGGAAAAGGAGGATTTGGTAAAGTTTGGAGAGTTGAATTGATGAAATCAAGGAAGCTGTATGCTATGAAAGAGATGAGTAAAGCTAAGTAAGAGAAATAAATCTATTAGGATTATGGCTAAAAAGTCAGTCAATTCTGTAATGAATGAAAGAATTCTCTTATCATAATTAAAACACCCTTTTATAGCAAATATTCATTATGCTTTTTAGGATCGTGAACATTTATATTTGATTATGGATTTATTATCTGGTGGAGATCTTAGATTTCATATTGGTAAGATGAAAAGATTCAGTGAATAACATACAAGTAATAAAAAAGTTTGATAATTTAGAATTTGTAATTGCTAGTATACTTTTAGCTCTTGATTATTTACATTAGAATGGAATTATTCATAGAGACATAAAACCTGAAAATATTGTATTGGACAAAAATGGTTATCCAAGATTGACTGATTTTGGAATAGCAAGAATAATCAAATAAGACAATGCTTAAGAGACAAGTGGAACTCCTGGTTATATGGGTACATATATATATTAAATATATTTTCATAGCACCAGAAGTTATGTTCAGATTAAATCATGGTATAGGAGTTGATCATTTTGCTTTAGGAGTAATGATGTACGAATTTATGTTTGGTAGACGACCATATTTGGGTAAGACAAGGAAAGATATAAGAGATGCTATTATTGCAAAATAGATACAATTAAAGAAAGGTGATCTTCCTTTAGGATGGTCTTTAGAAGCAGCAGATCTTATAAATTAATTACTTTCAAGGAAACCTTAGAATAGATTAGGATTTAATGGTACTTAGGACATTTATGGTCATTAATGGTTTGCAGGATTTCCTTGGAAGAGTTTGCATGAGAAATAATTAGCTTCTCCATTTAAATTATCTAAATGTAGTGAGGAAAACTATATAAGAGAGATATCATCAGAACATGATTCATTGGAAAAAGAGATTTAAGAGAATTCAATTTTATTAAGACAAGAAACTATTCAGAATTAGTTTTAAAATTACTCATATATAAAAGAATAGCAAGTCACAATTAAGAGATTTTGAATAAATTATATTTTTTATATATTATTTTCACTAATGTAATAGCATAGAAAGGTTAGTACTGATTCAAAATATCTTGATTTAGATATTGTTTAAGAATATATTAAATAGGATTTAGATTAGAATGAGTATTTTCGTTATGAACATGATATTGATTTTGATATTCCAGAGCAAGATGAATTTTTTGATTGTTTAGATTCTATTGATGAGCCACCTTAAATTGAACGTTTCAATTAAATAAAATTACATACAATGAGGATTAGTAGAAAATAAAGAGTAGAAGATGAGTTGACTTAGCCTCCAGAGAAAGAAGATTAATTACAGTTGTCAATAGAATCAATGGAAGAGGAATTTTAATATTAAGATGAAATGTATGATATAAAGCAAATTGAGATTGATAAACGTAAGGTTATTTCTATTTTTACACTTAAATAAGACTTTTTTGATAATAAACATAATCATACTTAGTTTCTTAAAAATGTTGAATTGCTTAGATAAAAAAATATTCATTTAGAAGAATTTTATACTTATATAAAGGAATTAGGATTAGGCTGTGGATTTAGTTTAGATTAGATTAGATATGAGTTACTTTAATAATTTATTTCTGGTTTGGTTGAAATTGTGAAGTATATAGATGATGTATAAATTATAAATTAATATTAGATGTTTAGATTTTAAAGTAGATGGTTAGAAAGAGAACCAATAATTACATTATAAAATATATTCTAAGCATTTTCATTTTAATGGGAACGATTTTAAGATTATACAACTGCATTGATAGATAAATCAGCAATTAGTAAAATTAGAAGTAACAATAAGATTATAGATTATGATTCATTATAATTTAAAAAAGGAATAGACTTTTGTTTAACATAAATAGATGAATAATAAAATGATGGTGCTGATTTTAATATTCAATAAAGTAATTAAGAAAGTTTGATTCTTTTCAAAGTTTTTGAATTATTAAGATTGAATGAACATTTTTTACATATAAGTAAATAGAATCAAAAAGCAAAGAGAATCAAAAATTATTTTGCTAAATGTAGATCTCGTATTAAATTATATTTATTATTAAAAAATAAGGTTAAGTTTCAATTCAAAAATAAACGAAAATCTTAGATGTCTTTACATCATAATATAACTGAAAAATATCTCTTTATAGATCCAAATTCTATTTAATTGGAAAATACAGTACATATATTTGAAGAAGTTTTGTAACCTAATTTGATAAAAGTCAGAATGTAAAGATTTGCTATTAAAAATTTAAATTCTAATTTTAATACTATAAAAGATTATGATTACTATTAATGATTATTATATAAATATATATTTATAAATGATAGCTCCAAAATACATTGAACAAAATATAATTAACTCAGTTTGTCAATATGAAAGATTCAAATCACATAGAGAAAGAGTATAAATGATAGCTAGTGACAGAAGTTCATCTAAAAAGGTACATTTTTACAATATTAGTAATTTCATATGGATTCAAATAAACTATAGAAAATTAAAACGAATCAGTATAACAGTAAAGCATCTATTCAATAGATGAGAGATAAAATTTTGTATTAAGAAAATAGCAAAATATTGGATAGAATTATTAAAATTAAACCATCTACAAGATAACATTCTGCTAGTTCAATTAGATCTTTGAATTTACCAAAAAGAAAAAAAGAAGCTATGAAAATCGTTGATGAAAACTAGAAGCTGATGAAGAGATTGTAATCCACTCAAGGAACATTCAAGAACAAAGATACTTTAATGCGTGATTTTAGGAGGTACCCAAGAAAATGATTAAGAGAACTCAAGAACTTAAGTTTCGTATTTCCAGAACAGACAACAAATAGAGAATTTCGAAGATTGTATAAAGTCTCTCACAAAAAAAGACTAAAACTAATGGCCTCACTTAGCTAACTTAATTATAGAGATTGCGTATTGAACCATAAAGAAAGACGATGCCAAAATTATAATAAAATCATTTATTCGGTTTTTCATAGTGACTAACATAATTTATCTAAATACCCAAATTCTGAAGGTAATCTATAAGCCCCAGGTCCTGGAGATTCTGCTCTAATTTTAGTCAATTCTCTCTTAGTTCTTGTAAATATTGTAGATTTTGTATCTGCAAATTTGGAACAATAATACAATCCTTTTGGATCAATATCTCCTAAATGAGCATAATCTCCAGGTCCAGGTGATGGATCCTTTGCTGGTGAAAAACGAAAACTTTTAGATTTTTAAGGTGAAAGAATAATTGCTCCAGAACTAGATAAAATAAATTATTTTACTCTCTAAATTTGCTAATTTTATATTTTCCTGTTTCATTGAGTGCTGATGGCAAATTATATTATCCTCTAAAATATAAAGAAGACTTACGGTCCTGGTTTTCTATCCTTATCTTTTTGACTTTCAGTTCTCATTCTTATAGTATACTTGATAGGAGATTTAGTATCCTTTTATTCATATTCTCCAGGTCCAGGAGTTTTTTAAATAAGTCCAATAAAGATACCTTCATATTTATTACCTTTCTAAGATTAAATTTATTATCAATACATCTCTACCAACTGGCATTGTCCAACCGTTACTAACATTAAGAGTAGTCTTGATTTCATAATTATTTGGTCCTGGAGTTATGCTTTCTTAAATAAAATTTGATTTTTATCCATATCCTATTCCAGCACTACGTTTGCTCATCATAGATGGAATATTATAAATATTGGGACATCTAATGATAGACCAAATATTGTTACGGTTTATCCTTGAACTCTTTGAAACGATTAGCTTTTGGAAATGAATAGAGAGCTTTTGATACTGATCTATTTAAAGGTGATCGATTAATTTATTCAAAAGAGGTATTCATATATATTTAATAAAAATATTTATTATGTGTTTTTTTGTACATTTGTTAATAATAATAATTATCATTATCATTCAACTTTATAGTTAGATAAGGTACATAATGTTAGAGTATCGAAATCACTTCTATAAACTAATTATGTTTCTGATGTAAAATATAAAATTAAGTTTTCTATTGAAGCTGAAATCAATAAATCTGTTGGTTCTTACTTTAAGTTAGTTTATTAATCATTCAATCTAAATCCAATATTAAACAAATTAATGACAACTGTTTTTTGATAATTCTAATAAGGAACAGCAACTATGTTATTATTAGTTCTAATTGATGAAAATGGATTCCAATCTTTATATCTATTTAAAGTTGTCAATAATTAGAGATAGGAATTATTAATTGAATATTCAATTTAAAAACTACTATCAACATAGGTTTATATAATAAATTAAGTAATATTCTAAGATACTTTAACAGTGGTAACTTATCTGAATCTAGAAGAATATGGAATATAGAAACTTTATTTTACATTAATAAATCCATTATTAAATGGAATCAAATTATTTGATCTAGATATTGCATCAGCCCAAAAAACACCATTTTCATAATCTAAAGTTAATATTCTGTAATAGGTTTGTTGATCTAATTCGTATGATGATAAACTAAAATCAGTAATATTCAAGCTTGATGTATTAAAAAATTAAGCATCCAAAGTATATGCAGTTGTACGAATGTACCAAGAGGTGGCTTGAATTACTGTTGTGAAAAAAACTAATTTATTTTTTTATGGGATAATTAATGTGTTTCCAACAATTGCAAATTTATTAAAAACTTCTGATATTGTTGGAACACCTTAATATTCACCAAATACTGAATATGAATTATTTGAAGTTTATTTGTAAGCTACAAAGAATGGTGATCTTCCTTCTGATTAACAGGCTAACAAGAACAAACTCTAAAGTGAATGACCTGAGACTAGATTACAGATATGTGTTCCATTATTAGGAGTTGTGTATGTATTCAAAATATTTAATCCATCATCCAACAAAAAGAATTTTGATGTTGTTAATACTATATCAGTACCATTTTGTTTGGCATGATCGACTATTTCTTCATCAACATCAAGATCTAAGTATATTTCTTAATTGCAGATAGCTTATTCCCTTTAAGAATATGCCATATAGATAATGGACAATAAAAGCACATTTATCATTATTGTGTATTATTAATAATTATTTGAATAATCCCATATCCAAATAAAAAGATGTTATTTTTCTGAATAAAATCTGATTGATTTTAAAATCTCCAAAAAATTCAATATAGAATATGGAAAAAAACGAAAAAATAATTAATTGTATATTAATAGTCACTTCATAAATATATATTATTATATAAATATCTTACATATTAAGAAAAATAAAAATGTTTATGAAGATGTTATAGTAAACAATTTAATAAAATAGATAAATTATCTTTAATTCTTTTTGAAATAATTAGAAATATTATAATTATATCTTAATTTAACTGTTTTAATCTTATAAGATAACCTAAAGAAGATATAAATAATTATTATTTCTAAATATTTTCATATATATATAAATATTTTAATGTTTTCATTCTAATTATTAGATCATCTAAATTAATTCTTAATCCATTCCAGTCTTAATATGCTCTTTTAAGTATTATTCAGATTAAGGACTAAGATTTATATTACAAGAATTACAATTTAATTCCTTTTTTATTTAATTCTTAGATATAATTGACACTAGCATATTATAATTCTATATCAGATCCATAATCTTTCAATTTAAATAATATTAACATATCTAAATATAAATATAAATGATAAATACCAAGATCTTTCTTATGAATCTATTAAATTAATTACTAAAGTAATATTTAATTCTAATTTAAATAATAATTAATGATACATCTATTCTTAAATCTTAAGTAATATTATTTAAAGCATAGATAATATTATCTTTAGTAAAGGACAGAATCAAAATAAGAATGACACAATTTAATCTTTCGAATAACACATGTTTCTATTTAAGTTATTAATAAAAATTCAAATGGGGAATTTAATTATTGTCTCTAATAACTTTAGTATAAGTAGATTCTAATTTTTATTTTGCAGCTTTGATAATATAATTTTATATGATTGTGCTTTATGTTAATTATAAAGTATGAGGTTAGACAATAGGTTTATCAATTTCTTTTTCTAAAATCTTTTTTTTCCATTCTTCTGTTTAAGGATTGAAACAAATTTCAAAATTTTAATGACATCCACCACAAAACATAATTTCATTAACATGTTATTCTATACTTTTTAATTTGATTCTATCTTCCTATAATTATTTATCTTTAATATATAGTTAATATATAATACTGTGAGGAATTGCTAAAAAGTTATGATAAAATTTTGTTTTAAAGAGTAAAAAGGTCATGTCTGACAATAAACTAAGTGAAGTAGGTAAGATTTCAATTAAATTGGGTATGAGACTATCTATTTATGGGTATAGAAATTAAGGATATTCAAAATTATTTCCCAATTGTTTAAATACGGAATCTAATACACTCAAAAATACTTCTTATGGTGCTTAAGATTCAGTTGATTTTTAATCTGATCGATGTAATATATTGTCTCTAGATTCTAATTGTTATAATTATTTTTCTAATGAGAATATTTTTGCTTTCAATTTTACTTTTTCTAAATCTTCTGATTTTTAATGTTTTCCAGCTTCAAGTAATTTTATCTTTTATTTCAAAGAGGTTTCCATTACATGATACCTTTTGTTAAGTTATGATAATTTCTCTTCAAATTTCTTTTCTAATTCTTTGATTAGTTAATCATAAAAAGATTATATAGTCTGCAATTATTCCATTAAATGTTTAAGTATTATTATATTTTTAATAATATCAATAAATCTAATTGTTTGTTGAAAATGTTAAAGAGAATTAAAAATAGAAACTAAATTAACAAATCAAATAAGAATTTGTCAAAAATAAAATGATAAAATTATTTAAAAAAGTTTTCTAAAATAATATTTTTTTTAATGAGTTCATAATAAAAGTTCTTTGTAGTAAGAATCAAATGCTATGAGTTAATTCCAATTCAAAATGTAAGTGAAATAAATTCTGTTGTTATTGTTAAAGAATAAGCTGATAACAAATGTAAGAATTACAAACTTATTTTATAGGGAATGAAAAGGGTAAAACAGAGATTTAATTAAATTAAAGAAACCCTTAATTTAGTACATCTATCTAATTGAATTATTAATTCGAAATATCATATAAAGTCTTATTTGAGGTTTATAACTGTCAATAAGAAAAGAGACATGTAAATAATTTAAAAATATTCCAGTTAATTGGGTACACAGAAGTGAACATTTAAACTTTATTAGCAGCTAAGGATCAGATCTATTATACAGATATTTGTAATAAAAATAAGAAAGTTGGAAGAATAGTAATCATTGGAGAATATTAGAAGTATAAAAATGATATGGTTGAGTTGATATTATGTAAAACTAATCTATTATCTTTAGCTGCTGAATCATTAAGTAGGAAGTGTTGCATCTTCAATCTATCCCCCTCTTAACCATATATTAAAATCTCAAGAACCTTTCAAGACACTAATGAATCTAATTTAGTATATCAATCTGAACCTATTAAATATCCTGAAAGAAGAACTTGGTATCAATTTTAAATATATATGATAGGCCTGAGATTAAAAAAATGGCTAGAGATATTTGTAATAATGATAGTGATGCTGTATTATAAATAGATATTTATGATAAAGGAAGAAGCAATGATATTTATATAGGATCTGTCAATTTATCAATATCTTAAATGTTAGACAAGAAGGGTTATAGAAATTTATAACATAAGGGAAATTAATCTATAATAGGATAATTAAGCATTTAAAAATGTCTATTTAGAGAAATACCTACTTTTGAATAATATTTGTAGGAAGGTTTATAATTGAATCTTATGATATCTATTGATTTTACTGATTCTAATTTAGAACCTACAAATCCTTAAAGTTTACATTATTTTGATGTAACTAACAAAAGACTTAGTTAATATGAATAAGCTTTAAGAAATGTCTCAGAAATTTTGATTTAATATGATCATGATAAAAGAGTTCCTTTATTTGGTTTTGGATTTGAAATGAATGGTAAAGCACATCATTGTTATCCTTTGAATCATAATTTAGAAGATCCAGAGTAAAATATTAAATATAATATAATAGAGTTGTAAATATATTAGGATTATTTCAAACTTATAGAAATTTTGTTGGAACAGTTAAATTTTCTGGACCTACATTATTTAGACCAACATTAAAAGAAGCAATGAAAACAGCTAAAGGATTTAAAGATTCAGGAAGTGAGAAATATGTTGTATTAGCTATTTTAACAGATGGTATTATAAGTGATTTTGATGGTTCATTTGAAATGATAGTAGATTGTTGTGAATTACCAATTTCAATTATTATTATTGGTATTGGAGATGCTGATTTTACATTAATGGAAAGATTGAATAATAATGAATTAAATGAAATTGATTCATAAGGTAGAAAGGCAACTAGAGATTTAGTTAAATTTGTAGTTTTTAATAATTATAAAAATGAATAAAAGAAATTTGCTTAAGAAGTGTTATCTGAATTACCAGATTAAGTTGTTAATTATATGTCAACTATTGGAAAAATGCCAGGAACTCGAGAATAGAAATAATAACCTTTTATTGTTTAAAACTATTAATTTGATTAATACTATTAACCTAAAGGAATATAAAGATAGAATACATTAAAACGTCTTTTGGGAGAGCCAGATGAAGAATATCAACCAGATGAAAGAACTATTGTAACTTAGAATTAGTAATAATTTATGCAACCATAACCCTATTTATATTAATAATAATAAGATTAAGGTAAGGGGCAATAAGTATTTGGATAACATCTCTATCATCAAATTTATAATAATGTGTAGAATCCATTATAAACTGAATAAGAGAATTTTAAGTAACCATATACTTCTCAAAATCTATATAATCTTAATTAAGATTAATAAACTAAGAATATTAATCAATAAAGCACATTTTTAAATGGATTGATGTCTAATCATAATAATACATAAATAATTTAAGGAACTAATATATAACCAATATAATCGATATCTCATATAATTGAACATCCAGATATAAATAAATAAAGATAACATTCAGATGTATCCTTTCCTCTTATTGATAATGATGATTAATAATAAGAACATATTTAAAGAGATGAAGAAAGGGCCTAATATAATTCAAATTAAAAAGAAAATCATTGACATTCATTATATATTAATAATTTATTCTACATACTTTCATCTTAGTTTTTATATAATATTATTACCAATGAATCAGAATGAATGTTTTGGAATAAATGAAAAATTAGAAATGTTTATAAGTTGTAGATAATTAGATGATCTAGACACTGTATCAGACTATGATCCTTATGTTATAATCTATAAAAAAAACAATAATTATTGTAAGAATATAGAAATTTATAAAGGGACTTAAATTGGATAAACAGAATTGATTAAAAATACTATGAATCCTAATTTTACAACATCAATATTATTGGAATATTATTTTGAAGTTTAATAACATTTAAAGCTAGAAGTACATCATTTCATCAATTCAACTTAATCTAAAGTAAATTATTTTTCAATATTATAGATTATTGGTATTGCAGAAACTACAGTTGCTATAATAGTTGGTTCAAGAGATTAAATTTTGATAGGAGATTTAGTTACTATTTCTGGAAGAAGGAGTGGCAATTTTATTATTTAAGCAAATATAGTTAAATAAATAAAAGAAGAATTAAATCTTACTTTATCAAGTTATGGTATACCAGAAACTAGATTTTGGTTTTGGCATGGAACATCTCCATTTTTAAGATTCTATAGATTAGTATAGGATGATAATATTCCTGTTTTAGTTTATGAAACTGAGTTTGTTAAAGATACAAAAGAACCAACATGGAAAGAAATAAATTTTAAATCTTTACATTTATGCGATGGTGATTATAAAATGCAAATAAAAGTTGAATTATGGGATCATAGAAAAAATGGTAAGCATTTATATTTAGGAGAAACATCATTTTGTGTAGATGAATTATTAGAGTATAATATATAGAATAAGATATTGAATAAGGAGTTTAAAAATAAAATGAAAAAATAAGAATCATCAGGAATTCTATAATTTAATAGATTTTTATATAATCATAATTATACATTTTTAGACTATTGTAGTGGAGGATAATAATTAAAATTTATTATAGCAATTGATTATACAGAATCAAATGGTAAATAAAATGATCCATAATCATTACATTATATACCAAAAAATGGAGTACCTAATCAATATTTGTAAGCCATAACTAGTTTAGTGGAAATTCTAATTAATTATGATAATACTAAGAAGATATCACTTTATGGTTTTGGATGCAAACCTAAAATGAATTTGATTAACACTAATCAAACTTTACATTTATTCCCTCTTAATGATAATCCAGATGATCATGAGTAATATTTTTATAATTTATAATTTATAATTTTTTTAGAGTATATGGTTTAGATGAAATAGTTTAATGCTATAAAAAATCATTGCCTTATTTACTTTTCGATGGTCCAGCCTAATTAACTCCAAACTTGAAAAATGCCATGAATATGGCTTATTAATATAAAGAAAATTAGGGTAATTAAAACTATTTGATTTTGATGATCCTCACAGATGGACAAGTAAGTGATATGTAAGTATTTATTGATGATATAATTGCTTCTTCCAATTTACCATTATCAATTATAATAATCGGTATCGGTAATGGCAATTTTGATAATATGTCGGTATTAAATAATTAATTCAATCAAATTCTAGATAGTAAAGGAAATTTACTAGTTAGAGATTTAGTTTAATTTGTTCCTTTCAATTAAGTGAAAAATGATCCTGTTCTCTTAGCTAAGTAAGTCTTGGCTAAGTTACATAATTAAATAATACAGTATATGAAATTATAGAATATATCTCCAAAGCCAACTGATCGTAAAAAATTATTATTATAGTAATAAAACCCATAATCATCAAAACAATAACAACTTTCACAACCATAAAAATCATAGTAATAACAACTCCCTCCTCAACTGTTGTATCCTCCTTAATTAATATATCCTCCTTAATTATAATATCCTAATTAACCATCTCCGATACAATAAAATTAACAAAATTAATATTAATAGTACCATCCTTAAACTGGTGAGATTAATAATAATAATCAGGGGCAGGGATTATAGTAATAAGGATTTTTAAAAGAATTAGTTCAATAAACAGTCAAATATTCATCATAATGATTATCTTATATTTGTAATCATTAATGTAATTTTTTAAACTATTATAAATCTCCAGATAATGGAATCTTTATACAATATATGAATATCTAATGGATTAAATTAATATCTAGAAAATAAATCAATGACATTATTTTTAATAATCCATTATCAATCAAAGTAATTCATCTTAAGCTTATTTGATTGACTAATAAGCAATGAAAAGTACCTGTTATCATATAATAAGAGTTGATTATGAATTAAATGAATGGAATAGTACAATAAACAGTTATTAAATTATTATGGAATAGTAAATAATGTTTAAATTATAGAATGTAATGAAGATGATTGTTTTAAACAAAGATTCTATGATTTTGTAAATATCAATGATTTCAATACTTAAAGGTCGCAGAAAATATAATAAATGCCAGAATTAATATTTATATGTCTAATTCAAATAATAAAGCATCTTACATAAAACCATTCCTTTTTGGAGGAATTTCAGGATGTACAGCAGTTGCAATTATTATGCCTTTGGATACATGGAAAGTTAGACTCTAGATTTATAGTGAAAGTAAAGGGATAAGTAATGGTTCAATGAAGGTTTCTCCTATTGTAGTGGCAAAAGAGATGTATAGAGTAGAAGGATTTAAAGGATTCTATTAAGGGTATTTAGAAATGCTATATCATATTAATAGATTTGGATCTGCAATGCTTAGACAATTGACTTATGCTACAGCGAGATTAGGAATATACAAGGTGATTGCAGATTAAGTTAAGATCAATTAAAAAAGTAAGAATAATTTGATAAAATGTTTAGGGGATCTAAGTTTCTTTGAGAAAGTGTGTGCATCATCATTTTCTGGTTTATGTGGAGCTTTGATTGGTAATCCTACAGATATTTGTTTGGTAAGATTTTAAGCAGATGCAACTTTGCCAGTTGCAGAACGAAGAAATTACAAAAACGCTTTTGATGCTTTATATAGAATAACAAAGGAGGAAGGAGTGCCAACATTATGGAGAGGATCAACACCAACAGTATTAAGAGCAATAGCAATAACAGTTGGTTAATTGACAACTTATGATGAAATGAAACAATGGTGTATGAAAATATTCTTAAGAAAAAAGGAAACTATGTCAGATCGTATAATGTACATATAAATATTAATAATTAGGGCTTCTGTTGGGGCTGGTGTTGTTACATCTTTTTTATCTTTACCTTTTGATAATATGAAGACTAAACTTTAGAAGATGAAAGTTTAAGAAAATGGATAGTATCCTTATTCAGGAGTGTTTGATTGTTTTATAAAGACAATATAAAGAGAGAGAATAACAGGATTATGGGTTGGATTACCTGTTTATTTTGCTAGAGTGGCTCCTTAATCAATAATCATATTATTAGTTTAAGATTTGCTTCATCATATATTTGAGAAGCATTGATTAATTATTTTCTTTATTAGTTCACATTTAAATATATCTATTAAAGAATTTTACTGATAATTATATAATAAAAACATTTATTCTTTCATATAAGAATAATATTCATACTCAAAATACTGAATATGATGATCATACCCCACATTTCATATTTAGGAGCAGTTCTAAAATTAATCTCATAGACATAAGTTCTTATTTAATGTTCACTTGGATCATCATTGGATGCATAATAATAAATTGAATAATTAGTATAATGTTTTAAACCATCAAAAGTGAAATTGAGTGAACTTGATTTATTAAATCTTTATCTTTCATAATATGTATTATTTTCTGGTTTTCTTAGAGCATTGCCTTCTCTTAAATCATAAAAAGTAGGCATCTTTGTTCTGTTATTGAAATCAATCATACAATAGACAAAACCTTCTTAATCTAAAGAGATATTTAATAATGCAATTGAATTTGTACTAATATTTAAAGTAACTTCATATTAAAATATTGGGACAGTGGTAGAGATGGCAGTTAAATCAGATAATTTAACTAAATTAGGTAATCCAGCAACTTAATCATATAAATCAGATATAAATTAAGTTTTATTTATTCCTTTTGTAAGCAAAGATGCTGTGACAGTATCTTATAATTCAAAATCTATTAAACTAACATACATTCTAACATTTTTCTCATTATAAACAATATTATTTGTTGTACTTAATATACGTCTTCTCTATAATGAACACCAAGTATTAATAGAATTACGAATAAGTCTAGCTGGAACTTTAAATTACTGAGTTAAGAAACATGTAATACTAGTAGAAAATTCTAAATCTATTTCACTATCAAAAATAAAATCAATATAAAAAGACTTTCCATTATTAGATTTTGTTGTTTGTAAAATAGTTGTAGCCATACTGAATTTTGTTTCAACATTTTTACATACACTTGTAATATTATAAGTAGTAGATGGTCTAAGTCCACTTACTACAACTGTATAATTTTTCAAAGGTACAAACACATTCTTTAATCCAAAGAATTAATGATAATAATCATTTATAGATGGTTCTGTCCATAGAAATGTTCTTTATTATATTTCTTCAGGATATAATATTTCTGATCCATTTATTGATATATAATAATAAACAACTGCATATTAATTACAAGATACTATAAATTTTACATAATTTGATCCTCGATCTACACTAAACAGACTTGATGTTGGTCTTTTTTTATTTATATCAATTATTCTATAACTTATAGGATCTACAGTTGTGTAATATTTTTAATATGATCCTTAAACTTAAAAAGTAATCAATCCTGAATCACCTACACTTATTCCACTGTCTTCAGATGCAAAAAGAAAGGCTCCCACTTTTTAATTAAGACCAAAAGTTATTGATGATTTACTTTTAAAATATATTTTATCTGTATCTGATGTTGCTTCAATACGAAGATTTGATGCAGGTTAACAATCTGTAAGATTAAATAAAATCGGAAGTGCTTAACCTCCTAGAGTCAATTAATAAAGTGTCATTTCTGTATTCAAAATACAAGATTTTTATGACAGGAATACTCTAAGAAAAGGTAATTGAGTATGCTTTTCAAAATCATCTGTTTTCGCAATTTCAATTAATTATAATCCTTATGGTGCTTTACTTGTACCTGCTATTGTGAAGGTTGTATAAGCCTATCCCATAGGAGCAACAGTAGAAGTTGGATTAGCTATAAAATATGGATTATCACAATAGATTTGGAAAGTACGTAAAAATAAACCTGCATCTGATGCTAATCCTATCACTTGATCAAAAATTCCTGTCTTTACTTATAATGTCCGAATACTTTGTCTAGTATTCATATCTATCCATTTAAGAGTCACTTGATTTGGATTTGAAATAAATGGAAATATGGGAATATTAAAATTGGGAGCATGTGATCTACCAAATACATATGTTGAATTCAGAACAGTAATTGTCCACATATTAATACCACAAACAGCATAATCGGGATTACGAACATTGGCTAAGATCAGATAATAAAACTATGAGCCTATGTAATCACTTTGTTTAATTGTAATAGTGACTCTATTTCCAAAATTTATACAAGACTTTGCATAATTGGTCTAATTATTTTGATCATAGAGGGAACAAATGGGTAGTTTATAATTTATTATCATATCCCATGCAGGTGGAAATTCTATTTATATTATATTAGACATATCAATAGCACCTGCAGGAAAAGATACTTTCAAAGTTATAGTACTGAACGCTCTGATATATTATTGAGTTGTATCAATCCATAATGTTAAAATATTATTTGGAGGAGTAGTAACCATATCCTATCCAATTAAATCATAAACCACACCATATTCACCTAATACAGTAATATCTATATTATTAGTAAAGGCCACAAAGATTTCATTTGCTTAATCATTATAAATTGCTGAATTCTGAGCACCATAAATTCTGATTTGCATTTCTTAACCTCTTGGTATTGATATATCAAAATTTTCTAATATCACTGTATTTTCTACATCAACCGAACATGCAACAAATAGATTATTTAAAGAACAATAAGTAAGATTACTTGAGACAATGAAAGGATAAGTAGTGGGAAAGACTACAAATATGGAAGTACCTAATTTTACATCTATCAAAGTAGTCGTAACATTAATAAAGAAATCAGTTGTTGAACCACATAAATTATTGAGTTTCTAAGTTAATTAAATGTTTTTTATTGGCAAAATAGTTTCAGCATATAATGAGTCTAATGATATAGTGCCTGATGATTATATGATTAAAAATGTTCCTTATAAAATAAGACTGGCATCCATGGGCTCTGGATTCAAACTAAATGGTATGACCATGCCATAACACTTTAAAGTGAAAATCTAAGATCCAATGATATCATCAATGGGATACAATTTAATTCCACTTACTGAACTTCCTCTATCAAGTGTGTAATCTGCTTATCCAAAAACATATGATGGCTATCCTTATTATTAGACTTAACAAATAATATTTTTTTGATTTCTTTGATTGTCATCAAAAAATCCACCAATATTTATCAATACATATTCCTATTTCCAAATACTACGAGTGAATTGAAAATCTAAACTGATTTATCCTTTTGCCCTTCTATTGTAAAATTGGAATCTGGGATTACCAAAGAATGCAACATAAGCTACATTTGGATTATCATCATATTCAATAGCTCCTTGAACTTTCGATACATCAATGGTATTCAAATATTCTGACATTATTCTCATATGAAATTAAGATTTCTAAACAGCACCACTGTGTAAACTATTCAATCCCCATATATTTAGTGTAAATTACCCATTAGTCCATGGACAACTATCACAATTAGTTATCTTGAATAAAAAATATACATTAGATCCTGAGGTAGATCTAGATACAGTGCAAGTATGACTTAACAATCCATATAATGCTGTTTCAATTGAACATCTAGATCCTTTGTTAATGGCATCAAAATTAATAGTTGGAATTAATTCATAAAATTCTAATCTAATAGTAGCTTAATTAGGAATTGGGTTAGTAGTATAAAATTTAATTTAGATTCTTTATTATTTCTATCCAATCTCAAGTTTTGGAGAGACCTATAATATTTTGACTACTCCCTTGAGTGTGATTAAAGTATCTACATCTACTTTAAAGACTCCTAAGCCATTAACCTTGTCACTCCAAGCATAGACAGTTCTGTAAGGTAATTTATCACCATTAATAAAAGGTAGATTACCTGCTTTAATTGTCAATGTTGTTAATGGTGAATCACTGGCTTTATCTGTAGGACAAAATATGACAAACTTAGTCAGATACTCAAAAGTCATACATCCTGAAACTTTTGATGAATCTACAGATATTGGGGCTTTAAGGGTAGAATCAATAGTATAGAAAGGTTAAGTGGAGACAAGAGTGAATCCACCACCATTTTAATTATCATTTGAAACAGTATTTATATTGATGAAACTGACATCATTGTGACCAATAAAGAATGTCAAATCTGTATTATTCTTGCCTACTGTGATGGCTGAATTAACTTATAATTAATATGGTATAGGAGTAACACCATCTGATTCTAATGCAGAAGTGACACCAGCTCTTGCAAATCCATTACCTAATCCTGCTACTGATAATGGAAATGCATATTATCCACTGTTGATGTTATCTTTTCCAGTTAATCTGAATGATGTTCTTATTTGAATTAAATTATTGATTTCAACAACAGCTGTAAGAAAGAAACTCACTTTAGTATTAGATGCAAATGTCTTCACAGGTATTAATAATTAGAAAGCATCAGCTTAGTTGGTTGGTAAAGATTCAAACTCTACATCTAATCTTTCATAATTGATATACGATTAACCATTTGCTAATAACCCTGATGAATAATATTAACAAGTAGGTTAAGTTTATCCAGTATATTTACAATATACTCTATTATCATTTTCAAAGTCAGATGAAATGTAAATTGGTTGAAGATTAGTAAAAAATAAAGAAATCTTAGTTTGAGCATTTTCTAAGTCAGTATCTTGAAAGTATCCTGATAACCTAATCAATGTGGGGAAGTAATCACAAGTGTTTCCTGAGGAAGAACTTGAAAAATAGTTGACTATGCCTAATCTTATGAATGCTGGAGAAGGAGATGTAATTGTGTAAGCATTTGTTAGGAAAGATTATTTGAATATTGGATAAGTACTTTCAATTTAATCAAATGATCCAATATAAAAGTCTAATAGATATTCATCTGGATATAATGAGGAATGGAATTTAACTTATAGATTACTTATTGCAAATTATAGAAATTTGGTTTGTAATTCATTAGTGTTATAAACAAACATATTAAGGAGACCTTAAGCATCTGTACTGGCAACAGTAATTGCTAAGAAATTAGCTAAATTAGAAGATTTGTAATCATATTTGAAGAATTCAGATCCAGATAGTGTTGCACATTCAAGAGTGGCTGGATCTGTTGATGACATTAAAATTTTATCATTGGCAATAATTACAATACCTGCACTATAAGATATCTTTTATGTTCCAAGAACAGGAGTAGTTGCTGGAGTGATAATTTTATCTATTTTAATTGCTAGATTGAATTTTAATCTTATCAATTCTATATCACCATCATCTAAATTAGGTATGATTCCAAGTGTGTTGGTGAGAGGATCATTTAAAATGGATATATCCATCTTTTAACTAGAAACAACAGTACCATCATAAGAAGGATTTAACCAATCAGGATTATTATTGGTTTGAATATATTCGACAGGATTTGATCTAGAATAGATAATGAATTGTACTCAACAATAACTGATAAAGTATCTATAATTCCATTGCTAACTGTATAAATATTCATTGATCCAAACTTTTATTCTAATGGAAGATTGAATTGATCATATGGAAATGTTGCTCTACATCCAATATAATAAATAGTTGACAAATACAATTAACCAATATTATAACAAACTATTTTTGATTGAGATAACTTATTGGAATTACTGAAGATACATTTACTTTGTTTACCTGGATAGGATGGTAGATTATGATTAATACTCATTAAATAGCTTTTGAATTTCATAGGTGTAGATACTTCAATTTACAATTCAATATCTTCAGGTAAATCAGATGCCATAGCAAATTACCATTTAAATGCATTATAAGGAGTGTATTTGCCATTAGCATCTCCCCTAAAAACTATAATTGGGAAAGGATAATAAGAGGCTGATCTAGATGAATATTCTAAACCCCAACCCAAATACAATTTATGTGTTGATAACAATACTTATTTCACTTAAAATACAGCATCTGATACTGTTCTTTCATTGATTGTATTTGCATATTATTATAATGATCTTATTTCCAAAGATGTAGGTAGTGTGACTCTTAAAGGATTTCTTACACTCACTTGAAAATAGAACCAATCATTCACTAAAATGTATTATTTGATTAAATAAACAACCATTTGAGAAGTTAAAGTACATTCATAAGGAATTTCATTTTATAAACTACAAGTACCTTCAAAATTAAAATCAGATTTAAAGATCAATTGAACTCTAGCTCCTTCATTCATTTATTTCTTAAATTGTACACCAATAGTCACATTATAGATTTAATTCATTAAATTCAGTGTTTCACTTACTTGACTTCTCATATCAGAACTAGGTTCTAGATCTAAGGCAAAGATTCCTCCAACAGGAGTGTAATCTATGATCATAGCAATTGCAGATATTGATGTAACTGTAGCCAATTGAATTGGTTCTTTCACTCCAGATGATTGTATATTCAGATTCTTGCCACTAATCTGAATTATCACATAATAGTATTCATTTGATGTCAATTCCACTCCAAATTTTACATAATAAGCATTATTCTCATCAGTGTTAACAAATACTTATGCACTCTACTCATTCTCTTCTCCACATTAATAATTTCCTTTAGCCTAATACATCCCTTTTTATAATTTACTTGTTTGAATGTGACTACAACATTATCAGGTACATTATTAGTATTTGTGTAATGTAATGCAAATGGAAATTTGATCCTCAGGTATCCAAAATCAGGTAATGGATTACTTAATTTAAATGGAATAGTAAATCGACTGGCATATCCGGCATTCGTATAATCTAACTAGATATCCCAACTTGATATATGTCTATTTTTGTTATCTCTTTATAACATACCCACAATTTGCTAAGTGAAGTAGTAATAAAATTATTAGCATATTATAATATTAAATATTTAATTAATTTTCAAATATCACTATCACTATCATCATCATTATCAATTAATCTTTAAGATCTATAAGATTGATTCTACAATTATTATTATTATAATCTATTGTATGAAGGATTTCTCATTTCTCCATGTTTTTCCACTATTATCTCCTTCATATTTGAATTCAATTATGTAATCTAATTGCTAAGATCTTTATTCTCCTTCTTTAACTTCATAATTCTCTTCTCTAAAACAATATCATTTCCCTCTAATTATTCTAATTACTATTTCAAATTCTAATTTTCAATAATCAATGACTTTTTCTCATGTTATAAACCATTAACCTAAGCTGTTAATTTATTAAATTTCCCTTCCAAATCATCTAATTATTTATCACTTAATTAAACAACTTTCTCAATCATAAATTCATTCTACTTAGCTTCTGATTGTTTCTCTTCTACCTATTATTATAATCTTTTATTCTCCTTCTGAAGTCCATTATACTCTGCACTGACTCTCTCCAATTCTTAAATTGCATTATTCAACTCCAAAGATAAATGTTAAATCTAAATTATTAGATTATATTTACTTCATAATCAGCTTGTTTCAATTAACTATTTAATTGTAGATTCTATTATCTTATCTTATCCTATTCATAATGATCCTATCTTCCCCCATTCCTTTCTGTACTCTCACTATGTACTCTACCTAATTAACTCTCCAACTATTTAGATATCCCATATAATTAATCATTTTCTGTTTATAATTTAACTCTATCCATTTTCATCTAACTATTTTCCTACTCCAACAATTTCATAGCCATCTTATATTTCTTCAACTTATCCTTGTATTATTTATGATACTTATCCTTCTCAGCCTTTAATTAAGCATTTTCTGTATCCAATCTAACCTTCAATTTTGTAAATCTCTATTCTGTCTAATTACATTCTTTTATGTATTCTTCTTGTTTCTACTTTAAACTATTGATACATTCATTTAACTCCTTACTCTTTTATTTCTCATCATCTACTCTTTTACATTATTCTTCAATCACCTTATTTAATGTTTTTACATTATCTTCAGTTGCCTATAATTATTGTTCTCTACTCTTTAATTCTACTGCAAAATAATCCAATTCTTAATATAATTACTTATTCCTTTCTTATTCCTATTATATTAAACCCATAAATTCATCCTCTCTCTTCTCATAATGTTTGATATTTGTAAATTCTTAATCCTTCATCATCTCAATTTCATTTTCTAACATTCTCACTTTCTACTTCAATAATTCACACTCTTCATTACTATGTACCAATTATAAATTTAATTAAGTAAGTGTTTAATTCTATTCTCCTACTACATTATCTTTCTATTTTTTTAATGATATTTAATTATTGTCTAATTCCATTTATCTTCTATTTTCATCAATATGATTTTCCAATTATTAAATCAACAAATCCCTATGTTTTAATGAATCTTCCAATTGATAAACTTTACTTTATAATCTTGTATTCTCATCATACAAATTTTTTAACTCTTTTTCGAACCTCAAAACTCTAACAATCTAAATTATCAAAATACTTATAATCATCCTTCTCCTTAAGTAATTCCTTTATCTCTTGAAATTATTTAGAACAATTAGCTTCCAATCTACTAGGTTGTCTTTCTATCATACTTTAACACTTTGAATAGTTTAATTGATCAGATCCAGGTTTAATAATTCGAGATTGTTATTCATCAATAACAGATAACTTTGGTGTGACTTATTATTACTATAGACCATAATCTCTACCTAATTATGCCCTAGACTAATTCTCAATTTAGGACAAGGCAATTCTTTAACTCTACTATCCCTTTGCTGATTATCTTAATTCCTCTGCAAATTGTAAAGTCATATAAGCAGTAATATGATCCTATTATACTTAAGATACACAAAAAAGTGCTGTAATATTATTAAATTTGATCTCTCTTAATGCTAGATATAATTATTAAAGTGTTTTTGTATCCAGTTCTCTTTCTTATATATCTTACTATTAGATTAATAATTATTTTAATTTTGCTTAAAAGTCTTTGGCCTCTTGGGTAACTCTTCTGAATTCATTCAAAAGAATTAAATGTAATTAAGATATCTCCTATTTGTCTTATTAAATCACAAATTTAACAAATAAATGATTATTTTTTGTTTCAGGATGTTCTTTCACATATTATTTATATTAAAATAAACTTTAATTGAACATCTTTTTAAATTCATTACCACTTTTTATCCAACTACTTTTGATTGTTTAACTTCTAGTAGATCCTATCATATCTACTGTTTCAACATTATTAACTAAAGAAATTGAGCAAAATAGTTTTCCTTTACCTTTAAGTTACTTAGATCCTTCTATTAGATTTAAAGTGTTTTCAACAACCAAAAGAGCTAATCCTTTCTCTTAGCCTTTGTCTTCCCCTTTCAAAGTATATTTCTTTCCACTTTCAGGTCCTCCAACAACAAGTAAGGTACTTGAATTTCCCAAAACCAATCCATTAACCTTACTCGCCATTATTTAATCATATATTAATTGTTAGTTGGCCTTTTCTCCAAAAACTTAATCAAATTGGAAGAGATCTGCATTTTCAATAATTGATTAACGCTATTTCATAATATCAGAATCACTCTTTAGATACTCTTAAATGATCTTTTGAGATATAGCATTTCTAGAACTAACCACAAGTGTCTAAGGAGCTATATGATAATTGTTTGTAAATACATTCATTAGATAAGACACCTGCAAAGATGTTAGTTCTTACTTCTTTTCTAGAATTGATACTGCTGGTTGAAGTATTGTTTGGTTATGGCCTCAAACGACAAACCAATTTCATAGATTGTTAAATAATAAATTTAAATTTGTATTTACCAACTATGTTATAATTACAAATAAATTAAATTAAAATAATATCACTATTATACAGATGATTATCTACTTCTCTATTATGATACTTATTTACTACGAATGATGGACAAACGAGTTGGTTACTTCATCTGAACTTGGGTATTGATAAATTCAGTTTGATTTGCATAATTATTTTCAGTGAAATAATTAGTAAATTAAAATGCCTAATCCATACCTTATAGACCTTCCTTCACTTCATATTAATTTGTATAAGTATCAAAATTAGTTTTTAAAATATTCTAAAACTTCTTAAATTCATCATCATCTAAATGTTCCTATACTTCATCAATTTCTTTCAACTTCTCCTCCATTTCCTACTTAAATCCTATTTATATATTATTCAATTCCTCTCTCTTAAAACATTCAATTCTTACAAAAGTCTACCATTTCTTCTTCTCTTTCCTTTTGAATTTCTTTCTATCCTATTTATCTTGATTATACACAATTAATTTATTCACATCCACTACCAAATGAGTCACTTCACATTCAGTACTATAATGAGCTGTAGATTAGCATGTATAACATTATCCTATAGCTGAAAAATCCTTTTAAAATTCAATTTTATCTAAAATCATCCAATACTTCTCATAATCTTCATTAAATTTAGCCAGTGTACATAAGAAATCCTCTCTACTTATCTTGTATAATTAACTATATTATAGAGCCTAAGCTGATGCTTTTCTCTCAAATCCAGTAAGAAATGAGTATTCTCCAAAGTATTCTCCCTTTCCCAACTTCTTTAATAATAATTATTTATTAAAATTATTAGGGAATATGGCTATTTATCCTAAATTGATGAAATATATTGATTGATCATCCAAAATTTAAGGATCCTCTCCTAAGAATATAATTTCATATTCTGCATAATTCATTTCTTATATGGTAGATGATAATTCTCTAAGAAATCCTCTTGAAAAATTTGTACAAAATAATGGTATTTATAGAAGTATCTTCCCACAACTAGCTAATTACAATTCAGCTTTTAATTCTGGTGCTAATTCACCTATAATCTCTTATTCTCCTTAAATATCCCTATTACCTTCTTAATACCAATGTTCATTCAAATATTATCTAACACGTTCTCTGAGTTGTTATGGTACATCTTTTACCATCATGTATCTATTAATTATTAACCTTTGTTAATATCGTTTGATATCATATATAGCATATTCTTCCAATATTTTAAATATGATATTGACCATCACAGCAAATATTAAAACTGCAAATAATATACCTCCCATACCAACCAACACTTCAAAAGTATTAAGTGGTTACATGTCTCCATATCCCATTGTTGTTGTTGTTGTACCCACACTGAAATAATAAGAGTAGAAGAATTTTTAAATCTAAGTCAGTTCACTAATAGCACCAAAATTACCTTCATGAGTCAACCAAGAATTGTATCCATTATTTGTTGCATATAAACATGCCAAATACCAAATACATGCATATACAATAAAAACAAATTATAAAACTGCTAGCACTTTAGCAATTTAATATATTGTTCTTACTCTTCTGTGTAACATTACTATCTCACCAAATTAAAATGATATTCTAGTTAATGATGGATATTTCAAATAGAAAAAGAGATACAACCATCTCTCATTATAGGTCTACATAATTGATCTAATTAATAAGGCTGAAGTTGCAATCAAATCAAATAAAAACCTTGATTATAAATATCTATGAGCTATCTTAGCTCTATCAATTATTAGATTTCCATGTGAATAGTAAGCCATATGAAATTCTATGCACATATCTATTGAAAATGTCACAACAGCCAATACAGCAATTAAGATCTTAGCCCATTCAGGTATAAACTAAAATTATATCAATCTTTACATCCCAAACTTCTTTATCAAATGAAATATAGATTGGTATTTCATAAAAAAAAAACAAAATTATAATTCCAACCCATGCCTTCCAAAATATTATACCTGATGTATTTGGATATAATATTGGAATTGTTTCATGAACTAATTATATATTGCATTTCATTTACATATTCTATAAAATCCAGGCAAAGTCATTTCAGCTTATTTAACTTCCTTGGAATCAGCACTATGTTCAACTACATCGTCATTGTATACTTTTTGTAATAATTTCAATTTTTCTTCAGGCTATATCTCATTACTCTTGTAATATTCATAAATATCCTCTACTTATTTCTTATTTCCTATTCGTAATTCAATCAGAAAATATACTTATTAATGATATTGTCATTGCTTTCTATTTAGCTGTTTGCAATTAAACACCATTATTAACATGTTCTAATTGTTGATCACTAATTTATCTCATTTCAACACTATCTACTGATGAATTAGCAGAATCCTATTCTTTATTCATATTTAAATTAATTAGATTTAATTATATATTGTGTGTCCAAATATAGTATTCAATTTATTCAAAAAACTTTAAGCTACATCTCAAAAATTATAAGAAATCGCAAATAAGAAAAAACCATTGTTTTCAATTCAACATCTACTCTTTATTATAACTTAAATTAAATTTTAAAGAATAAATTCTCAAATACTTATACATTTCAGAACAATTTGACATATATTATAATTTACTAATTTACTAATTTCCATTTTTCTTATTTAGGTAATGGTTTTTTTTATTTTTTAAGATTTTAATTTATATATATTACTCAAATTACCCAAGATTATTCTTTTTAATCTTATTATTATAAAAATATAATAGTCAAAATATTTTCATATCACTAACAGAAGTCTCATGGCTTCATCAAGACTTTGACATTGTTGGATTTACTATAAGAGAAATGTTTTAGCATTTATCTCTCTTGCATCTTCAATTTATAGCAAGACTTTCAGATAGTCAATAACACCAATTAATTCCTAAAAATTTTATAAGAATAATTTATACATTATCTTTTGCATTATCAATATAAGGTATAATAGGTATACCATTATCAATTTAAAAAGCAAAAGAATAAGCTGCATTATCAATCAAAACAACATCTTTGAGATTTCTGTTCAAAATTCTCAAATCTTTTACATATATACCCTATTATGTTTATATACAATGTTCTCTGTATAATCTACAAGTGACCCATTTTTTGGTTGGATCCAATTTATCAATAATCTTGTCTGCATATAAAGGATGAGAAGCTGTAAAAATCATAACTTCAAAATGCTTTGAGCATTCCTGAAGAAATTACTAAGCAAAAGGCCTCACACTAATTCCTGCCTTTTTAATATAGTTTAGTATACTTCGTGAGTCTATCCATTAGGCATTTAGATAGGAATCTTAAAATCAAATTTCATTTATGGTTACTCATTACAATGGATTAATGTTTCATCCAAATCTAAAACCAATGTTTTTTACTTTTCTATTTAATCAATAAATAAATTACTAATTTGTTATAATTATATGCAACGATGTTCTATTTCTTTAATATCAGGTTAAAGAAATTGTTTACTGAGTTATAAACTGTGAAATTGTTGAACAAAATGATTAATATACAATTAAGCATATAATCCTTCTAGATTTAATCCCTTAAGATATTTTCTTAAGTTATCCATATAATAAGTGCCTAAATTGATTTATTTGAATTAATTAAAAGAAGACTCTTCAGAACCTTGTGATTCTTCTTATAACCATTCAAAAGACTCTGTTCTTTTTACTCTTAGAGCTTTAAGTTCTTATTTGAACTCATAAACTTGATATTGAGGATTGATTTCTTATTGTTGATGATAATTAGTTTTTCTAATTTTATTAATTTTTGATTTATCTGATGCTTTCATTTAAGATTCTCTTTAGGTAAATTAGCTATTATTAAGTGATGCATCTTTAATCACTCTTCTTGTTGTCTGTTCTTTTTTATTGGTAGTTTAAGAATTAAAAAATGGGAGTTTAATATCTGTAAATTATTTAATAGGGGATGGACACTCTATTTCCATACTTTGTTCTTGTTTTGGTTATATAATTAGATTAGGACTCTTAACTAATTATTATCTATTTATATACCTCCTGATCATAATTGGCCCTTCCACTTTTACTCAACATTCGTGGTGTTTAATTTTTTGGAAGTGATAGTTTTTCTAACTTAAATAAAAGTAATTACATTAAAAAGAATTTCCTAATCCAAGACAATCTTTTGGGATACTTCTGCCTTTTCTTTAAAAAACACTTTCCGATATTAATTAATTGTTGTTTGATGCATTCATATAAATTTTTGGTGGTGAAGGTTTTCTATTGCTATCAATTATATTGTCTTTTGAATTATCATTTGTAAGAATTCTAGCATTACGTTTAGATCTCATAACTTATAAAATAAATATTGAATAATACAAAAAATCATTGAAAAAATTACAACATATTTTTAACTTCATATTTATTTATTTATAATTTGTATTAATAATTATTTTCCTCATCTTTTTCTTCAATGGATTTCATTAAAACTTAGACATGAAAGTTAGATCAGTTTAAACTTACGTTTCTTCTCTATTCAATATGAACTATTAAATATTTAAATATATATAAGAACCTATTTTTACTATGAATTTTTTATTTATATTCTACTCTATGATTAAAAGAATTAGTAAAAATCATCTTTATTTAATCCTCTAAAAATGATATTTTCAAAACTGTCATCTTCATCAACTAATTCAGTAAATCTAATAATAAATCCTAAAATTATAATTGCATGTTCTAATCCAAGTTAACCACCAGATTCTAATTATTAAATTAATTAATAATTACCTTTATAAATTTGAAAACCTTCTTTTTCAACTGCTCTACATATTTCTGTGAGATATAAATAAAATTCATTATTTTTCTTTTTCCTCTCAATACTAATAGAAAAGTCTTCATTCAATCTTTCAATTAATTTTTGTTTGAAATTAGTCTAATTTAAATTATAGAAAATCTTGAATAAGTGCTTAAAAATATCTTCTTCATTTTCTTTAATTTTTTTATTATACCATAAGGTTAACTTGTTACTTAAATCCTCAATACTTAATTTTGTTAAATCTGGATAACATTATTATATTGTTTATCTTATCATATCAGTAAATTTTAATATTTCAATATTTTATTTTGTTGATAAATACTATGCAATTTTAGATGAACTATTCTAATCCAAATGAACATATAAACCAAAAAATTAAGTAAATGTGTAATATAATGCATCTAAATAATAAGTGATTTATTAATTTTATTTATTTAATTTGATTTAGGATTAAGTTTAATCAATCTATCCTTAATCTGGTTTTACTCTAATTTTTGATTATCTTAGAATTAATTAAGTTTATTATGCTTCTAATGCTCTCTCTAAGAAAATTAAATAATAATACTCTCTTTGTATGTTTCTAAAGTATAATTATGTTCTTGTTATAATTTTAATAATTTCAATCTATGCTATTCTTCATCAATCCCAAGTAATTTCAATAAATATTCTAAATTTAATTATAAATTACATAATTTCTCCTACAAATATTTATTACCTGGTTCATTAATAATTACTATCATGCAACATTCTAATGCCTCCTCATATTTTTCTAATGCCAAAAATGATTCCACTTAATAATATTAATATATAAGTACTTTTATGAAGAAAATATTCTTAGTTTTAAATTTATTGATGAGCTATCTCGAAACATAGAATTGCCTAATCATGCTAATTCATTTTTTAATAAGTAATTCCTAAATTATTTAAAAATTACACCCATCAAAAAATGTATTTTTGGGGATCTGTCAAATTTTTTAATTTCATTAAGATAATTAAAGGCATTTTAATAATCCTCTTTCATCATTGATAATTTATCTAAATTCATAATTGTTCTTACATAAACTAAAAATGGTATTAACTCTTTAAGGCTTTATATCAAGTGCCTATTTTAAACATCTTTCAGCATCCCCTAAAAGCCCTAATTTCATGTAACAAAATCCTTAAAGAAGATAAACATGGATGTATTGATGTCTTAATTTTATTTCCTCTCCAATTTAGATTGCTTTCGGAGTATCATTTGTAAAACTATAAATTATCATTTTAACAAATAGTATTGCAGCATCTTTATCAATTTTTTCTAATTTTTCAATCCTTTTGTGAAAAGTAGCTAATCCTATTAATATTAATCCTAACTCCTCTTCATTTTTATTCTTTAAATGAATTATAATATCCATAAAATCTTTGTCATTTGGAACAATATTTCCCATTTAATAAATGAATTAATATATAATTTCATTGAATTCTATTACATATAAATTAACTAATCATGAGTTTATTATTATGATTTCTAATAATGAAATCTTATATTTTTAAATACTTCTGTGATATCTAAATTTAATCATATCTGAAATATAAGAATATCATTAACTTAACATATGATCAATTTATTAATATGGTCTAATTATTATAATAATTATAAAATGAATTAAACTAATTCTAATAATGATTCATAAATAGTATAGAATGAAGATGATTAGAATACATTATTGGAGTAAAATAAGTATGAATCAAGTATATTCAATTAGATTTCCTTAAATTGAAAAATCCTTTTTTATAAATCAGATTGAATATAAATATTAAGGACCTGATCATCCATAAATTGCAGAATTATTAGAATTGTTGGATGAGAAGCAAAGAAAACCTTTATCTAATTAGACTTTGGAAAGTATTAGATAAAAAATACTCTATTATGAATAAAAATTCAATCAGAATTGCACATTTATGGATAATATGTTTTAGATATCATTTTACTATATTTTGACAATTATTGTTTATATGAGCATATATTTTACATATTTAACTAGTGTGATTGTATAACTTAGTTTAATTATGATTAGTCTTTGAAATCAGATGATATAATCGTTAAGAATTCAACAAAATTAAATATAGTATAATAATTACCTGAATTTGGATTTATGATTACAAGTTTTACATTATTGTAATATATTTTTATATATATAAATAGGATAATAATAATAAAGAATTAAATACTCTTACTATTATTATTTTTATTTGGATGCATAATACCAGGATTTTATTTATTTTATGTATTTCTTGATGTATTTAATATAAATAAAAGTGCAACTGATTATGATATGGTTTTATTATTAAGTGCATTAATAGTTTCTAATTTGAATGGTATTATTGTTTCTGTACTTCAACAAATAGTAGAAAGCATGTATAATTAATTAGCAGGTGCTTTATTTTCAAGTGGATGGTGTTTATTTATTATCTATTTATTGGGATTTTTAATATTTACATATGTGATTGGTTTAGAAATAATTACTGCTGAGAAAGTAATCAATTATATTATTAATTCATTATACATTCCAATATTTGTGTCAATAATATTCTCATATTTTATGATCAATACAAGATTGTTTGATTGGCCAGCAGGAATTATCAAAACAGCTTTAGATAGAATAAAAATTAAAATATTAAAATAATAAATTTAAAAAGAAGAATAAAAATCATAAAAATTAGTTTAAATTACTACATTTATGTCTAAGTTTGTAATTTATTCTATTGGAGCAGCATATATAACAATGGAAATTCTATTTTATATATTATTAGCTTCAGAATTAAAATAAACAAAAGTTAATTATACAGCAATTATTACTTTGTCATTAGAATTAATTATAATACCATTATATTTATTTTTGGGAGTATTCATATCTGTAAGTGATAGGAAACCATAATATACATATTTAGCTGTACCTTTAGTTATAGGAGCACCAATCATTTTTGGATTCTTAAAATTGGGTGATTATTTGTAATATGAAAAAGATATAACTAATTTCACAGAAATTCTATATTATTGTCCATTATTTGTTAATATTCTTTGGTTATCATTAACATTGATGGGTTTGGATAAAAGAAGATTATTTATTAATTCATTAGGATTTGTATGTTTTTTCATTGCAATACCTATTGGAGTATTTATACCACTTTATAATCTATATCAATACTCATCATTATAGATAATAGCATATATTTTTATAGTTATAGGAATGATTGTTTTGTTAATGGTATTATGTTATTTTTTCTTTTAATCACTTAAAACTATTAAAAGAGCCAAAGAATTAGCAGATCAAATCATTCCAACATTTGATGAATTTAAATATTATAATCTAACAGATTTAGCTTTTTGTATAAATTCAGTTTGTTTTTTAATATCCTACTTTATAATAAGTTATTTCTTTTGGTATATATTTGATTAAAATAATACAGCAACAGTTACAGAAGGTGCAACTATGTTTGCTATTATGGCCATTACACCTACAATATTTGTACTTATCAACATAGCATTAGGACATCGTTCATTAGAAATTACTTATGAATTTGCATAAGATATAAAAGAATTATAAAAATTAGAAGAATTAAAAAATAGAAAGAGAATATAGAAGAGATTTTATTAAAATACTGCAGTTTGTTGTGGGATATTGGTACCATTAGGTTTATTTATTCCTATTTCATTGATAACTTCAAATGAGAGAGCTTCTATATTTTTTGAAGCCTTAGCTATTGGAGTTCCAGTTTGTTTTCTGATTTATAAATTTCTAGTGACAATTAAAAATCTTTCAATTACATTTGAAGATTTCTTTTAACCTTTTGTTAGCTCTTTATTGTGGTGTTGTGTTATATTCCCATTTGGTGTGATAGTTCCAACAATGGCAGTTTTTTTTAATAATGCTGATTCAACATTCTAATATTTTGCATAAGGAGCAGTTGGATTAGGATTATTTGTATGTATGATTGGAGTTACAGGAACATCATTATTTTTATCATTGTTATTAAATAGAGAAGAATTTGAAAGGAAGAAAAGAGAAATCTTGAAAAGGGTAATGGAAATGTTGAAAGAGAATCATGTTCTTAGTGATATAAGTGTTGTTGGAATTTTATATATGAAATATTTGAATAAGTTATAGAACATCTATACTAAATTAAATACTATTAAGAATTAGACATAAAAAAAGAAATAGAAATAAGAAGATTTTAAATAATTAAAAAAAATATTAATAGAAAATTTAATATAAGGAGAACCTATTAATGTAATAAAATATGATGGACCAGAATTAGAATATGATCATAAATTAGTAAGCAAAAATGTTTATTAAGAATATCTTACATTTTTAGAATAAGAATTACTAGATAAATAGAAGAATATAATATAAGAATAAGAATTAACTGGGTTTAAAAAGTATTTAATGGATTGTTTGTGTTGTAGATGTGGTCTAGAAGAAATGAATTAATTAGAAAACTAAAAAAATGTTGAAATCATAAAACTGAGAGATCTTTATAGTATAGATGAAGATACTGGATAAAAAATGAATGATTTAATACCATAATTCACTTCTATTTATAAAATTGCAGAAGAAACTGATACTCTTATTAAAAAGATAGAATTTCAACCTGAAGATAAATAAATTATATACAGATAAAAATATAAGCCAATTTAAGAAATTAAAAGTGAAAAGACTGACAGTCTAAATTAAATTCAAATAAAAAAATTAAATGATAAAGCATTAGGAAATATTAAATCATCAGATCAATACTATTCATTATAATCATCAGATTAAATGATTTCAGAATTTATGCATGAAGTATTTATGGAATTTGCTAATAATGATTAAGGTTTAGAACCTTCCATTTGTTTTGCTGATTTATAATAATTCTGTAGAATGACTGAATTGCACTTTGATTTGATTGATTATGAAAAATATGCTAAAACTATATGGATTAATTAAACTTATAGTTTAAATGAAGTTTAATTTGCTGGTTTGATTAAGGGAATGATCAAAGATTATGATGGTGATCTATTTGATAATTTAAAATAATTGGTACTTGATCATATATATCCTTAATTAATCACTTCAATGAAAACTTTAATGATTAATTTCAAATATTCAAATAAAAAAGTATTATAAAATAATAAAAATTAAGATAATCCATTTTTAAGATAAAATTTTATATCAAATATTGTTTAAACAGAACTCTCTAAATTTGATGCAATAAAAGTTAAATAAATATATTAGGAAGAGATTAATAATTAATCTAGAATCAATTAAAATAATACAGATAATAAAGTTGCTAAATTATCTAAAAAATAAAAAGAATAATAATATGAATAAGGTAAATAATAAATAGAAACAGCATATGCCTAAAAATTACCATGTCATAAAAGATGTTGTTATTCATGTAATGACTGGTTTAGAGTGAATATCATAGAAAAATACTTTCCTAATTTAGCTGCTGCTTAACCAAAACCAAAAATTGAAAAAAAACCTATTCTTGATCAAAAAAGATAAAAAATGCCTGATTGGAAAATTGTATCCAAACTCACCATTGATATTTTATTTGAAGCAACAGAGGAATATGAAAAAAATCTTGCTAATTTATAATAAAAATCTATTGAATTCAAACCAACATCCAGTAATATCCTAGCTTTAATATTTAAAATATATGATATGTATAGTTTAGCAAGTGTAGCATATAATCCTTAAGTAGGTTGGTTTGGTAGTACATCAGTTTCTGGATCAGATACAATTAGTGGATCTGCATTCTATGATAGCTATGCCTTCTTTTTCTATTTCTCTTTAGGAGTATCTATACTCTATGGACTTTTAGGATCTTTGAGTTTAGATGCTGTTTAAAAGAATACTTTTGGATAAGATGAAAATGGCAATGTGGCAAGATTTCCTCATATTTAATTTATACTTCCAAGAGTTATATCTATTTTGAGTGGTTTCTTTATGACAGTAATGAGAACATTTATGGATGCTTACATTTGTGATTATAGTAATTTACCTTACAAATTTGCTAGAGAAACATCTACTGAATGTTTAACATCTTATCATTACATTTATATGGGTTTAGGATTAATTGGAGTAGGTATTTATTATCCACTATCTACCTATTTATAACCTACATTCTAATTTAGTGATCATTCATTAGATTTAAAATTTAAATCCACCTATATCATTATATATGTCTAAGCCAAATTATTGATTATGGGTTTGAGTTCATTTTTCAATACATTAGATAGTTCATTTGAATATTAAATGTTATTTTCAATTGGAATATTAATTATTGTTTTAGGCTTTCATATTAAAATGGAACCTTGTTTTGTTAAATGGTTTAATATAATAGAACAAATGTTAATTTTAATAATTATATTTATTTATACTGGTGCAGTCATTATCATGATGACTGGTAACAATGTTATTGGTATTATATTCACTGCTGTTGCAATTACTATAGGATTTCTAGCCATTGCAATATATCTTAAAAGATCAGTAATTCGAAGTGTTACAATCTAAAAAGTTACACCCTAAGATAATTTACCAAGTATAAATATTATATTTAACTTTAGTTATTGAATTAAAACCAATCCCTGAAGAAGATAGACTTAATATTTATGATTTGATTGCAGAATCATAATTTGCTTAATAACAATAAAAGAAAACAAAAAAGAAAACTAATGAAAATCATGATTTTAAAGACTAATACCCTAATCTTGATATGACAGTTGGAGATAATATTAATAGAAGTAGCAATTTAGATGAATTAGTGAAGGTTAAAGATGAAATTAATATGGAACCAATTTTAGTTAATAAATCAAATTTATCAAAATTGAGATTATGAATTGATTAAACAATATTTTATATCTTTATAAATCATTTATTTACTTTATATATAAAAATATTATTTATAATGAATTATTATAATCAATTCAAATATTTTGAATATATAATTCACTTCTTATTAATTTTATTTAATGATTCTTACATAATATTAAATTATTAATCCTCAAATAATTTAAAAAACTAAAAACAAATTAATTTACTTTATATTTCTATAGTTATAATAATAATTTATATATGAAATATTTATTTGATCCCAATTTAAAATTAATTTATAATAATAGAAAAACTGAGAAAAAGTATATTAATTTATAAACATCAGATTATAGACATTCTGGCTTTACCTTTATTCCATCTTACAAGTTTCCCATCAGCCCATTCTCCTTCTTTTTCGATTCCGTTGTATCCTAAATAAATCCCAATGCCATTTTATTTATTATTTTGCCAATCTCCTTTGTAGAGCTAAAACAATAAAGATTTTTATTATTACTCTACCATCAGGCCACTCAAATTGACCTACTCCTTCTTTAATACCATTATTATATTATCCCTCATATTTCCTTCCATCTGGCCATCTAAATTACTAGAAATTAAAAATAAAATTTACTCCATTTCCATGCATACAATTGTTCTTCCAATATCCTTCATAAATTCTACCATCTTCCCATTTAAATTACCCTAGTCCTTCAAGATTACCATCAATGAATTATCCAGTATAAACTGATCCATCTGACCATTTAAATACTCCTTATCCATTTTTTAGTCCATTTTTATATTCTCCATTATAAGTAGTGCCATCATGCCATATCTCCATTCCTAAACCATTTTATACATCATTTTCCCATTCTCCTACATATTTTAATCCATCAATACTATAATATACTCCCTAAAAATGAATAATTAAAATACTTTTCCAGAAGCTTTATCATTTTTGAATTCTCCTTCATAAATATTGCCATCACTATGAACCAATCTACCTCTACCATCAAACATATTAAATGCCCAATATCCTTCGTAAAAGGTACCATTTTGCCAATATTACTTTCCACAACCATGTCTAAGACTGAATAATAAGTTTTCTTACCCATTTTTCCATTGTCCATGATAAATAGAACCATCATCTAGTTAATATATTGGAAAATTAAATTTGTTATCTTCTTCACTGTCATATTTAAAATTTGTATATAATAACAGAATCTTTCAATTAAAGTAAAATGTCATATTACCTTATTAACTCTATTGCTTAAATAGTCAGGTACTTTTGGTAATTTCTTAACTTGATATAATTATTAGTGTTGATTTTTAGTCATTTAAGTATGTTTAGTGTCTTGAAATGGAAAGGTGTCTTTGAAACTTAACTCATTAGAATAATTGTTTTATTCTTTTGATAGTATTTTCTCTTTCTTCAACTTTTATATTAGATTTTAATATCTTTTCCTTACAAGATATCCTCTAGCACATGCTTAAATATAGTTCACAATCCTACCTTAGATGAATTAAATTTGTTTATGATATTTAATATCATAATCGGATATTATAGTATTTTGTATTTATGTTTATAAGATGATTTGACAATTCTTCTCCTATCCTTAAGAACCAGTGCAGCATGATCCCATTTAAGTTCTAACTTTCAAATATAATTTATATTAAAAAATATATATTCATCAACCATATGTAAATTTACTTATCTGTATCACTCATTTTCTTCTATGATTATTGAATTCTATCCTCTTGAAGGTATGATTAAAAATAGTCTTAAATTGAATAATTAAATTAATATAATATATGAAAAAGCAATTACCCAAGAGTGCTTCTCAAACCGCCATTCAAAAACCAGAGAAATCTTAAACTATAAAAACTCCTGAAAGACATGGCATCCCTAGAAATGTTAATTACTATAGCCATTTTTTAGCTGAACCCTACATCACTGAAAAAGATATTGAGTTTGTACTCTAGTTAAGAAATATTGATCATGTAGAATCTCTATCATAACATTAGGCAGAAATGACAGCTAAATTGGCTAGAATACCAAATTAAACTTTCTCAAGAGGAGATCAAAAGATAGAATCTTAAAAGGACAAACACCTCTCAAGGGATGTGAAGTATAATGGCAATTCAACTCCTGTCCTTCATCTTCTGAAGGGTAGAATTGGTCCAACTCCTCATTTAAGTTAAGCAGAATTTGAAACTGGTCTACGATCCTATGCTAAAACAGATAAAAGTCTTCTTGAAAAAGAACGTAATTGGACTACCGTCCCAAAAACGTAACGTAAAGATGCTTTCCCTGAATTCCTGCCTAATTATAAAGAAGAGATATAGAAAAAGAAATCAATGAGTATGAGTGGAGGAAAACTTGCTAAACTTACATATAGTGGTAATCATTTACATTAACCAATTAAGCTTTTGATTCGGATTCTAATTACCCATCTTATTTAATGAAGTTTCATGACAAAAATCTACAAAATGTTAAACATATGTTTGTTCCTGCAATTAAGATGTCAACTGTTTAATGGTAAGATGGATTGAGACCTCTTGAACCCATTAAAAAAGAAAAAAAGCCAAAAAAATGATATCTAAATCTATAATAATTAAATGTACTCATATGAGTAAATGTTTATTTATAAAAATTCACATTTTTTAATTATATTTTTAATCTAATTGTTAAATAAACTTTACAATATCCTATAAATAGATTTAACTTAAATAGTAAACTAATAGGATTTATTATTAAATAACTAAATATATATGTAAAGAGTTTATTATTATTAATCATCTACATATTTTAAATAAAATAATTGATAATATTATTTAGTTTAATTCATGAATAATTTCAACTAGAAAGGGCATTAGTGCGATTTTTAATATACTAAATGAATATTGTTATATTGAAATTAACTCATAAACTTAAGCTATTTTAATAATTCTAACAATTCTATAATAAGTTACAGTTTAGCTGCTTCTAATATATGGTTTGATCTGACTATATGAAACCACGTCATATCCATTTGCCTTGCAAATTTAATTGATTCTGCAAAAGAATAAGTATATGTCTATCCAAACTGAATTGATACTAATATTAAATATTTATGGGTAATTTTTGTCCAAAGGGTGATGCACATTCTGAGAGAAGTTCTATTGCCAACATTGTAGTAGAGGAAGTAGATTAGACTAAGTTGAAAGCCACCCAACCTATGCAATCTAGCCAAAATTTAGTTACAAGTAGCAACGTATTGACAGTACCAAAACCAAAAGGTTAGGTAAGTAGAGATGATTTTGCAAAAATTGATAAATTGGGATATGTATTATAGAATTAAATTTAAAAGGGAGCTTTTGGAGTAGTTTTTAAGGTGAGATAGAAAACGACAAATAAAATATATGCGATGAAATAGATAGAGAAAGAGAAGATATTCAAAAATAAGTTATAAAACAATACAGTTTTAGAAAGAAATGTTTTAAAGTAAAGTAAGCATCCTTTTATTGTCCGTTTAAAATATGCATTTCAAACAAATTCTCATATATATTTTGTAATGGAATATATAGCAGGTGGAGAATTCTACAAGATATTGAATCAAGTGAAAACAGGATTGCCAGAGAATGTTGTGAAATTTGTGGCTGCAGAAGTAGTATTGGCACTTGAATACTTAAATACAAAATTAAAAGTGATATATAGAGATTTAAAACCAGAAAACTTATTGTTAACAACAAGTGGACATGTAAAGTTGACAGATTTTGGATTAGCTACAATGAGAAGGGAAAATGGAGAGAAATCATATACTGTAAATAAATAAATATTAAATAATTATAAAGGTTGCTGGAACTGCTGAATATCTTGCACCAGAGATAGTAAATAAGTCAGGACATTCATATGAAGTAGATATATGGACTTTGGGAATATTGATTTATGAGATGATTAATGGTTTTACACCTTTTCGTGATTCAAATAATGACTTTAAGGTGATTTCCCAGAATATAATTGAAAATCAACCTGTATTTCCTGAAAAGATGTCTTAATAAAGTGTAGATTTAATTAAATAGATCTTGTAGACTAATCCATAAGAGAGATTAGGAGTGAAGGTACAAAATTAGAATTAATAATTAGGGATAAGGATATGATGAATTAAAAAGACATCCATTTTTTAATGGTATTATATGGGATTAATTGTCAAATTTGAAAATAACATCACCTTTGAAAACATTTGCTGAAAGAAATACTCAGAAAATGAATTTGGTTAATAAATAACCTTAGAATTTTCAAAACACTCCTTGTAATCCATAGAGTCCGAAACTTAAAATTGATGGAATCACTTTTGAAGGAGAAGGTACCTTTTCTTCATATTTTTGAAATTATAATTAAAAAATAACTTGAATAGCAATAAATAAAATAATCAATCATCATCTTCAATAGGATAACCTCTAATCTTGCTCATTGGAATAAATATTTAATTTTTCCATCCATCTTCTAACTTACCCTTTTCAATGTCTTATGGAAAATTGGTCTATATGATTTTTAATTCACAACTATCTTCCCTTTCAATTAATCTGAGAGTAACATTTGAATATTGTTTCCAATTATTAAATTTCCATGTCATTTAAATTTCTTGATTTTCAACCTAATTAGAAATTCTAATCTTACTAATTTATTGAAAACACCATCAATACGCCCTTCCATTATTTTATATTATCCTCCTTCCTTTGGTTCAACAACAGCAGGTGCTCTAGTATATTACATAATTTCAAATGGATCAAGAAGAGCTTAGTAAATGACTTTAGATGGCACTCCCCAAACAATAGAAAATTCTAATTTATCCATATATTAAAATTAATATCAATTCTCTGAAATTATTCTTTATAAAAAAATATTGTTTAAGAGTGTTCCAGAAATGCATATTGTTATATATACTAATAATTCATTGAATCAATTCCAATTTAATATCGCTGAATTCTGCTTAAAAACTAGAGTCTTAAGGACTGCAAGCATAGATACCTACAGATGTCTCTTGAGTTTCTTTGTGTAAATGGCACACTCTTATTTCATGGAATTCTTTTCCGTCATAAGAAAATTCAATATTGAAATCTTACCCTTTTCTCTTTAATCTATAATAGAGTTCCTTAACTTGAGAAGACACTCTTTAATAACCCCAATCTGAGTATCCAAGATTTGTAACAACTGATCCTAAAGTTGAATAATTCTCATCATGGTACTCACTAGATGCTTTAATCCAATTTTCTTTGTCTTCAAATAAAATGATTCCAGCTTGATCATATAAGACTTTTGATGAAAAATTAACTTTGCAAGTGAATACAAAATCACCTTTGACCTTAGTAACATAAGTGGGAGCATCGTATCTTATAAATCCATAATGAGTTTTAGACCAATAGTCAGTATTGGGCTCAGTTACTATAGTGATTTTATCATTTTGATTTTTCCAATCTTTTGGTTCATTCAACCATTACCAATTCAGATTAGTTTAATCCATAATAAAATATATTGTAAATTATATATATATAAATTGAGTGATCATCCGTATCTTAGCCAATCGATGAATAGATATATGCAATATGGTATTCCAACTATTATGGCCACTCCGATCCCTAAAATAACCAGTAGGAAACAGATTGGAGATAATAAGGGACAAACTATAATGAAGAAAATAATAATAAATGTTTTTCTGCAACAACTATATTCTTCGAATTGATGATAAGGAACATAGTTCATATAAAATATTACTGGCAATCCAATTACTAAAATTATAAATCCCAACACTAGAGCTACAATAAATAAAGGAGGTCCTAATATCAATATTAATAGAATTGCTATAAATCTGTATAAATTTGGATATTTAAATGGATCTCTTTATGTAAATTACATTCCAGGACATCCAAATATATTATAATTTGAATAATGTCGATAACTGAATTTAGCTCTACATAACCAGCAAAACTCATATTTGCAGGTTTTACAAGTCATATGATTGCACCCATCATTTTTTTAAATAGGAGATTTACATTTTTAACATTTTTAAATCTTTAAATTTTTGATAGCTTTCTTAAAATCCTTATCTATTTGATCATTACAAGTTTGTCCATCATGTCTTTCTCTACCACACTTTCGACATATTTATTAACCGCATTTACATTTTAATTTTTTTGATCCATTCCTCTTTACTGTTTCCTCACATCCTATTCTTGGACACCAAATGATATCTGGATCCAATTATAATTATTTGATTTTTCTGAACTTTTTCAATTTTGCCATCACATCTGGTTCCACAATTTAATTTATATAATCATCATTTAATTGAAAATTACATCCTGATTATGGACATATCATTTAATCAACCTATCCATTCTCGATTCGATCTATTAAATAGGCTTTCATACAAGATCTATAAAATAGATTTTTGATTACAAACAAAAATTATGACCACAATCCAAGACCGGATACCTGTCATCATATATAGATTCCATACAAATCCCACATGTTATTTAAAGAAGCTGTTATGATTATCTATTACTCTTCAATCCTAGGTAACTCATCAAATTTGGATTAATAGTTCCCATCATGTCACGTAGTTCCTATCTATGTTATCTCTGTTATAATGAATCCTCATTTTAATAATTCTTATTAAAAATATGATTTGTGTTTTTACATCTATTATCAAGATAGCTGAGATCACCTTGTTTAAAATAACATTTTCATCAAGAGTTTCGAAATCTTCATCACTCATACTTTTCAAAATAGCACTTGCATAATCTTAATCAAATCCCATTGCTAATATATTTATCATTATATTTTTTTCTGCACTTAATCTTCCATAACCTGCTGACATTAGTGGAAGTGTATTTCGTCTAAATTATTACATTTGATCATCTTCAAGAAAATCATCCTCTGGGATTAAAATTTAATGTGAATTGCTTTAATATTATTCACTATTTAAATGAATTTTTGCCATCTTAATGTTTCTTTTATAATTATTATATTAACTTTTTATTTTTCAATCATCATTATCATTATGAGAAAAAGAATTCATAGTTATTAATTACCTCGACTCAACAAGATCAATCGATCCAACACTTTTGATCAACATGATACAATCAAAAGAAATAATAGTTGTTTCCTACTTCAACTTACCAAAAGATCATAATTGTTGATATCCTATTTTAAGGATCCAAAATATGATCAACTCATATAATTCTTTAATATTCCTGTAATTAACTATGATTAAGTAGGATGATATAGATTTAAATGAGATTCAAGCAAACATTCATTTAGAGTATATTGCTATAATTCTATGTTATCTAATCAAACATGATTTAACTGTTTCCTTACTCTATGGTTACAAATCTAAATTTATCAAAACAACTCTGATGCATCATCAAATGTGGATGAAATATATCAAACTAAGAGAAGAGCCATTATAGAAACTCTTAAAAGTTTAGTCCTCTTTAGATTCAATTACATCAATTATCATACAATAGTATGCTTTTATCTATCATTATACAGTCACATTGATGACTCCCATTTGAGGATTCATTTACTAGAATATTTTAGACTGAAACTTTATCAAAGCAACTTTGTTATGTATTCCAAAATCATTATCAACAAAATTATACCCCTTTTACAAACTCCAAATATAGTTGGAAATCATATCCCAATCAATTTTGAATCCTACACTCTTGTCTTAGATATGGATGAGACATTAATTTATTATGATAGTGAAAAAGTGTATTAGCGACCATTCTTATTAACTTTCTTAAAGCAAATGAGTAGAATATATGAATTGATTTTATTCACAGCAGGATTAGAATCTTATGCACATAGAATCTTGAATAAGCTTACAATGAAACAATACTTTACTTATTTTCTTTTTCGATAACATACAAATATTTATAAGGAATTCTATGGAAAAGACCTTAGAAAATTAGGAAGACTTTTATCAAAAACAATTATCATAGATAATACTCCTGAGTGTTTTAGTTTGCAACCAGAAAATGGAATACAGATTTAGACTTGGAAAGGAGACTTATCTGATACAGTTCTTTTAACTTTAATTCCTATCTTAAAAGCCATAAGATTTAGCAATAAAGATATAAGAATGAAATTAAGAGAATATAAAAATTATCCTGGTTTAATTTTCCCTAAATGATTTTTGATTATGATATATAAAAATAGTCTCTATTGATTAAGATAATTTATATATTAAAAATAAATTATAATCATAAAAAATTATATTATAAAAATATGATGATTAACTTTTTTCAATCATTATTTAAATGTTCATAACACATTAAATTTCTAGTTTAAATCCTTCTTATATGGTTTTCATTATGAAGAATCAAACCATTTGATAATTTAGATTATTTAAATTCAAAAATAATAGAAAAAATGATAAGATTTAGGTGTGTTTTTCTATCATTCTAAAATAAAATAAAAAAAAAAATAAAAATATACAAAGATTTAATGATATCGATAGTTCCTATCTTATAAAAGTTTATTCAAGAAGGATAATAATATTTTAAAGCATACAATGATTTAGAAAAGAATAAAAATGAATTGGCTTAAGTAATTTCTGAAGTGACAATATTATTGAGTGAAATTTAATATTTTGAGAGATATGAAGGCTTTTATAACTATGATGAGAAGTAACTCATACAATAATGTAAAGATAAATTACATTTGAGTGATACGGTATTGAAATAATCCCCTTCCAAAGTTAATATGTAATTTATATGACTCTTATCATTTTATAGAATATTAGACTATTTTTACATCACAGGAAACAATTATAAAGAACTTATAGATTGTTAGAATGTGTTAAATGGATATAAAATTTAAATTGATGAATTATTGAGGAAATCCTAAGAAATTTTTGTAACAGTAATAAATCCCATTAATCAATAGCCATAAAATTGTATATTATACTCTTAATCATTAGCATATATATATAATTTATAGATTAAATTAAAACTTAAAGCTCCTCGTTCAATTAAATCAATATTTGATAAATACCCTTATCATTTAAAGAATGCCTATCTATTTTAATTTTCTATGGGAGATTCTTGTGCCTCTAAAGTAGATGTACATGTATTCAAAAGAGATGAATTTACTTAACTATATGCAATTGAAAAACAATTCAAAACTTATACTATTTCAAGACGAAATCATTGCACTTTATAAATGAGAAATTAACTTCAATTTTCACCTTAAAAGAAGGTATGTTCTAATTCTTAGATGGAAACTCCAACACCTGAAGATTATTCAATTATTATTCCATAAAAGGATTTTAATAGTTTATCTAATAAATTTAAATTATATTTGATAGTAAATGGTTAGAATGGAATGAAAATTATTAGAAACTCAAAAGAAATTCTTCATATTCGTTCTGGATAAGAATGTGAATTGTAAGAGGATGATTAAATAGTGTTTTTTTAAGATTGCAATGAAAATCCATAAGTTTCATACATAGTATAATAGATTTTAATTAAATAAGAATAATGAAATATCAATTTAATTTTAGAAATTAATGATATTGATTATAACAATAATAAATATATATAAATCAAAATATACTCTAAAGATCAGTGTATTAGTTATTATTTAATTCTCCAGAATATTATTGTTATTATATTTTATCTGGAATTGGTTCTGATAAATACCCAAGATTATTAGTAATATCATTGAAAATTGGTTATTATTGGAACATGAAAGATTAATTATTTTATTGAGGATTAACATACAATTGAACCATATGACCTTCCCAATCAATATTGATTCTAGTAACTCTTGGGGCTGAAGTGTTTATTTGTCTATATACTCTTTCAATAAGAACTTATGGAGGATCATTCTCAATTAATTCTGGTTCCAAATAAGTGTTATAAACATAATACCCAACCTAATCACAATTTTAGACTAAAATATAATTACTCTAAAGAATTCTTGTTTTCTATACTTAACACTTAGGATAATGGCACTTGCGCCAAATAAATCATCTTTACTAGGAATCAGCTCAAAATTTGGACCAGAACTCATTAGAGTAAATTACATAGTTCCTTATTATAGAGGAGGCATAGAGAACTATTCAAGCACTTGATCATATCTATCACTATTTGGTGATCCAATATAAATAAGTCTAAAATTCAACTATTTTAATACTTCCATTCAATTTCTTCATCTAATTATCTCATCACTTCGAATGTGATTTACATTTGGATTGGACTATTGAATAGTGCTGTGTCTTAATCAAAAACTATATTGGTAATGTTAATCAAAGCCATTTACAAATTTAATAATAATAAACTCTCTAAATTTTGTCTCAAATTTTAATCAACATATATTACTTATCCATTTCTTTCATAAATATAATACTATGAAAATGAATAAAAAGAAATAATATAATATATGAATAACTTCAATATCTTCTCCTTTTATTATAGCTAAACCATAAAGAATCATTAAATTGAAAATATTAAATTCTAGGTTATTGCCTTAATAAAATAATCAAGATCAATCCCATAATTAATTTAAATATGTTTAAAATATAATTAGTATTTAATTAAGTCATGACTATGACAATGATGATAAAATACAGACCTGTTCTGAAACAAGTATGCTGCTAAAATTTTCATGCTAATTCTGATATATATTTTTAGTTGTTTTTATATTGAATCATATTAATTGAGTAAGTAGAGTGTATGTGTTTGTGACAGTTAACAAGAGAATTATTAATAGATGTTTAAAGTGTTAAATAATAAAAAATCATATACAAAATATACAACATTGAAAATAATGATAATTTGATAAAAAAAGAGGAAGAGAGATAAAGGAAACAAGCAAATTGTCACTCCCACATCAATATTTTTGTTAATATTGACTATGAAATCAAAATTCTTCTATTTTATCATATTGATATAATGGAGATGGAGAGGTTGAGATAATCCTTGATAATGTAATTTGATCATAAAAATGCTATTAAGATTAAGTTTAAATTAGACTTTATTAGAGCATCAATTATGTGATGAGATATGAGGAATGAAAGAGTCATTGTAATAAAATTTGGTCATTTATGAAGCATTCTTATTAAAACAAGTTAATTTAAAGAAATCCTTTATTTGGTGGTTGAAAATTTGATTAAGAAATATATTTTAAGGTTTTTGTGAGAATTGATGAGGGATTTAATGCGAGAGGAGAGAAAGCATTCAATTAAGTTTAGAATCTAGAGCAATATTTAATTGAAGAATGAATATAATCAGATATAAATAAATTGAAGTACTGATGTTGTTGAGGATGGTTTTTTATTTTAATTTAAAATTACTCATGGATTGACATTAAATTAAATATTTAATTTATGAGCACATTTTATTTATTTGAGGCAGCAGCTGGTTTAGCCTTGTTCTAATGTGATAGTGTAGATGAAACAAATGTCAAATCGAAATAGATTCAAAAGCAATTCTCTGACTTTGCTTAATTCGCAGAAATATGTCACTTGAAAGTAATCATCATTCCTTATTCAGGCTTTTTAACCTTTTATTTCTGCTGAAATTGCTTTGAACAATGCTTTAGCAATTCATACAGGTTCTGTAACTTAAGAGTTAGTCGATTTCTTATCAACCAATCTCCCTCCTGTTGGAAAGAAGAGCAAGTAATTTATATGATTTATTGTAGTTTCTAAATTGCTATCAGTGATAAAAGTTTGGCTGCAGGACTTCAATAATATTTGAATTTGAAGAGCAAAATGAATGAAGCAACAGCCTAAGTATTCAGAGGAATCAGAACACATTTCGTTGATTTTTTGAGAAATGAAGATTTCAAAGAAAGAGATTATATTTAAGCTTAACTTGGTTTGGCACATCAAGTATCCAGAAACAAGGTGAAATTAGATATCAATAGAGAAGACAAACATGTAACTTAAGCAATAAGCATCATTGAATAAATGGATAAAGATTTAAATACATTAAGTATGAGAATCAAAGAATGGTATTCATGGCATTTCCCAGAATTGGCTAAGATTGTTACAGACAATCGTTTATTTACTAGAATTGTTGATACCTATGGAGATAAGAAGAATATCAATGATGAAGCATTGGAAGCAATTGAAGAACTTACAACTGATGCTGAATTGGCTAAACAAATTGTTGAAGCAGCCAAGATATCAATGGGTTAAGACATATCAGAACTTGATTTATCTACATTAAAAGATCTATGTATTAGAGTTCTCAATCAATTCGAATTCAGAGACAATATTTAAGAATATTTGAAAAATAAAATGACAACTATTGCACCAAATCTTACAGCTTTGATAGGTGAAAATGTAGCTGCCAAATTGATAGCTCATTCTGGATCATTAATTAATCTAGCTAAATATCCTGCTTCTACCATCTAAATCTTGGGAGCTGAAAAAGCATTGTTCAGAGCATTGAAAACTAGAGGTAATACACCTAAATATGGTTTATTATATCACAGTACTTATATTGGAAGAGCTAATGGAACTGATAAAGGAAAAATCTCTAGGTAATCTATTATCATTTAATTTTATTAGAAATCTAGCTAACAAGTGTGCTATTGCTTCTAGATTGGATCATTTCTTGATCTAACCAACTGAAAAGTTTGGTATCAAATTAAAGGATCAAATGGAATAAAGATTAAAATTCTTAACTGCTGGAGGAGAATTGAACAAAAATACAGATATTATGGATGAAGTATTGACAGAATTAAAAGGAGAAGGACTCTATTTCGATAGTGAAAAATAATTAACCAAAAAAGACAAGAAGTCAAAGAAAGCCAAATCAAAAAAAGTTGTTGAAGAAGTCCAAGAAGAACCCGTAGAATAACCATAAGAAGCTCCAAAAAAGAAGAGAAAATCATCAAAATAATAATGATATAAATAGTATATTAAATAAAAATGTTACACCCAGTTCATTTTATGTTTACCTGAACCTCCATTTATTTAAGAATTAATTTCAGAATAGACTTCTTCGTTACTATAATTAATTATATCTAAAGACTATGTTATTTTAATCAAAGGTTAAATTTAGAATTGTAATTATGATTACTTTAGAGTTAAAAATAAGATAAAATTTGAATGATTTTCAATTTATAATGATTTTCTAATTTTATGGAGTATTAATGATTCTAAACTTTAATAACATTTTAATTACTTCCAAACTTTTTAGATTAAGCAACAATATCTTCTCTTTGTAAAAATAAAATCTTAATTAATATTATATATGAATTGAAAACTTAATTGCTAAATATATATTTTTCTAAAGAACCTTCAAGAATAAGTCGATATTTAATACAAAGATTAACATTATTTTGATTGTATATTAATTTAATTGATATCTTTAAAACTTTCTTTAATTATTTTATCAAATAAAGACACATTATTAGCTATTTTGATTGTTTTCTTTATATCTTTAAATTGAATATTCTTTTCATTAGATCATTAAATAATATTTCTTTATGTATAAGTTAAAAATATTTGTTATAAGTTAAGCTATTATATATTTATAAATTTAATGAAACTTCTCTTATAGATAAGGAATTTCTTCTTAGAATTTCATAATAAAAATAATAAAGATCAGAATTCAGTGTCATTATCATTATCAATCTACCATCCATTTAAACGATTGAACGTTTCTCTAAATATAGTTTCATGTCTAATTTATTTGATTTATTTACGATCAACATGAACTTTTCCAGGTCTTATCAACCAATCACACTTCTCTCTATTTACAATAAAATTCTACCTATTGTTCTTTTTTAATTTTGATTTGAATCAGAAATTGTTATATTTACACTCTTTTTACGTGAAATTATCTATTCAAGACTCTTATCTGGTTATTGTTATATTGAAGTAATACGATTTCTTTTTATAACCTATCGATTGTTAATAAAAATCTAATTCAATTATTTGGATGATTTGCTTTGAGATTTGGTTGGTAATTAATTGAGTTCACGTTTTTATTATCTTTCTTTGATATATGCATCAAATAAATTCTAAGCTGAAGCCATTGGTTAAGGAATATGAGTAGAATGTGATTTATGAAATTTTGTCTATTGAATTTCTACTTGTAATATTGTTTAATGTGTTTTTCGACGCATTTGATGTAAGTAATTCTATTAGAAAAAATAGATTAGATCTTCAGGTGATTTATTTATATGATCTGCCATTAATATTTATAATTAAATATATTACATGTAAAAGATCTTTCCATAACCATCTGATTATTTGGCTCCAATGACCGAGAAGGAAAAAGTGTAAGAGTGAGTTTATAGTTAAAAGTCTATTGGAAAAATGGAAGAGTAATGAATTGGGGAATGAAAAGAAGAATGCAATAAAGATTAGATTATTTTTGTATTTAGGATTAAGTACAACAGTATATGGATTATTGGGAATTTATTTAGTAAATTCAATTGTCAAAGATATGGAGAAATCTGGAATTTAAAGAATGGAAAAGGAAGCATCAAATATTATAGATAATATTAAGAGAGCAGATTTCAAATATGCCAGAAGTACTGAAATTAGTAATTAAATGTTGAAGATACTTAAATATAAGTAAGTAGTATAAGGATTTTGTTGTATAATGGGATTGTCTTATGGATTAGCTTAGATGAGAATGTATATTAAAGAGTATGCAGAGAATTATTAAAATTGAGTTATATAATTATTTAACGAATGCAATATAGAGTTTAATTGTAGTAGATTAATTAGAATACAAATGTTATTCCAATCTCGATTATGCAATCCCTTAAGGGTTTAAGCAAGTATTTCAAAAAGGAAAAATGTACTTAAATTTAGAGATCTTGTACATCATTATCTCCAAAACAGAATATTACTCGAAAGAATTCAAATCAAGTTGAGAATCAGCTCTTAAATTTTGTAAATAGTAATGAGAATAGATCAGTTCCAAATTTGTTTGAAAATGTACAAAAAAAGAATGTAAATGCACCTATCAATCAAAAAGTACCAAAAGGTAGAAGTTCATCAATAATTATGAATAATTTGAATTAGGAAGATTGGAAATTGAAATATATGTAATTGAAGGAAACATTAAATCAGAGAATAGTATCACTCGAATAAGAATTATAAAGAATTTATCTTATTGAAAATAATGCTACTAATATTATTGATTAATTAAATGATTAAATAAATCAATAGAATTTATAATTAGAAGCTTATAGAAATAGAGTAAGAGAAATAGAAATAGATTTAGAAAATAAGAATCAATAAATAAAAAAATTAATAATTGATAACAATTAATTCTAGATAATAATAAATGAGAAAAATAATTAAATAGATTTATGGAGATAAGATTTAAGAACTCCAAAACAACCTTTTCTAACTACTGCAATGAAATAAATTTAATAAATTTTTGAATAATTGGAAGTATAATATTTTTATAAGTATTTAGAATTCGTAAACAAATTATAAAATTCATTCACCATTAAGTCAAAATTTATCAATATCTTCCTCGTCTATGGTTGAAATGATAAATGAAATGAAAGAGTCCTCCTGATATATAAAATATATTGATTAATTTATAATGACTCAAAACATTCTATTGTTTAATTCTCTTTTAAGATTGTGAGGAAAACACGAAATGCTTGGAGTAGGTCTCACCATTTCCATTAAATGATTTGGTCTAATCTAATTATTATATTATACTTGAAGGGATCTTTTCCTTTGACAAAATCTTTTCTTTAGGTAGGTTTAAGAGGATCACCCTTATATTCTGGATATTTGCTTAAACATCCAGTTTCACCACTTTTGGTTGGATTTGAAGGTTTAAAAGGAGCTTCATGTTTCATGATATTTGGTTTAAACTCTTTGACTTATGTTGGCTAAATTGGTATATAAATTTACTTTAGGTAAGTTGGTCTCTCCAAAGACTAGTTTATCAGTGCTGAAATTATCAGTTGTGTAAATGGTGCTTTTAAATGGTTATTTATCTTTAAGCATCTTTTATTCATTAAAGATTCTCTCTCTTTCAAATTATCTATAACGATTGTATTCATCCTTTTCATGTTTTGGGAAATGACCCAAATTTTTAGAAGCAGGATTTGTGGTAACATTTTTGGGTCCAATTTTAACCCTCCCATCACCATCTTTATGATTATTGGGACCTTTTGGTATTTCATAATCAGGTTCATGAGGATAAACTCCTCCAACCAGTTCTTTGTAACCAGATGGAGGAACAAAATTCTTTTTATCATCAGATGCATATTTTTTATTATCCTCTAATTCTTGAATTCTGATTTTTCTTTCAGGATCGATATATTTGTCACCTATGGTTGTAAAACCTAATTGACTAAAGTAGGATGACTTAATTTTGCCTGATTGAGGAGCTGTGACTTTCATATTTGAAGGAGATGTGATTGGTTTTCCTTATTCATTACGAGCAGCTAAGCATTAACACAAATAGTAAAACGTCTTGGTTTATTATCATAACTATTATCACCCAAACCTAGGGGAACAGGTGATGAAAATAGTCCGAATCTTTATACTGTGGCTAATTTCTCAGTATCTGCAATAGCCTTTTTACTTATTTCCTTTAATGTTGCTTCCTTATCAGACATAATTTATATAATAATTAATTAATCAGTTAAATGGACAGCAAAGAAAACTATTTTAACATCAAATAAATGACTGAATCTTTTAAGAATGTCAAGAAATATTCATAACATTCGAATATTATTGTAGATATGTTTATAGAAATTACTTAGAAATTAGACAAGTCTTCTAAAGATTATTTATCAAAAGTCATTCCTATTGATGATGATAAATAAACACTTAACTAAGTTGATACTAAAATCATCATGAATTACTTCAAATAAATAGTCATCTATCTAATTAAAACTAAGATAGAATTAGAAGAAAAAACATAATAAATAGAATCTCAAACTTAATATGAAACATTGATTTAGAAACTAGAAGCTGATGTTCGTTAACATATTCGAATAGAATAATAATTAAGAATCTATACTGAAACATTATAATAAAAGATAGATGATTTTGTATTAGAAAGAGAATAATAAACTTAATAGATTAAAGAATATGAATAATAGATCAAATAAAAGAATAAAGATATAGTAATCTATTAAAGTGAACTTCGTAAAGCAGTCAATTAAAACTAATAAAGAAATGCTAAACTAATAACTGAACCTATCCATGAAGAATATGATACAAAATATCATCTTAATAAATTAAATTAAACTTAATATACTCATCATCGTAAAACCAGCCAAATTAATGATGAAAAATCTGCAGCAAATAGTAAGAATCATTAATATAAGAATCTCAAATCAACAGTTATAAAAATTCACCAGAAAGAATCCCAATTCGCAAGATATCAGTGACTAATTATGCTGAGACCAAAACCATAAAATAGCCAGTCTTCATTCGATAGCCATGGTAATTATCAAGTAGTATTATCCATTAGTCCAATGTCTTATTCACATTTAAAAACTGAAGTTTAACTCAGTTATAGAAGTAACAGTTAAGATAGTAAGTAGGCATCTAAAAATATAATAAAATGATTTCATACTTTAATACTTATCTATTATTATTATTATTATTATTATTAATTGAATTTCAATTTTTTTATACTCAATATAAACTTAATTATGAGTTCACATATTAATGATGTTCTTAGAAATGAAACAATCTACTATCGTAAATCTCATCTTCTTAAAAATATTAATAATTAATAGAACAAGTTATTTAAAAGAAGGTTGATTTAAGATAGTTTAAATGAACCAACTCATCCAATCAATTGCTTAATAAAAAAAAAGGAGAATGTCTTTATTCCTTATATACATGAAAGAAACAGTTTAGGTCGATTAATTAAAAAGCCTGATTTATCATCTAATATAGAAATTGCTAATAAATAATTAGTAAAATCATCAATAAAATTACCAAGTAATTAAAAGCTTTATACTTTCTTAAAGAGTGAACCTCATAATTCCAAGCTATCCTAAGAACAAAAGAATAAAACTTAATCAACTGCAGATTCATTTTATTCTTTCTTTACATTTAACAAGTATAATCCAAATATCTTACTTAAGTCCAAAAACAGTGAACCATTTAGTTTTAGAAAATCATTTTATTAAAAATAACTATGATTTATATAAATATTATCATCCTTAATTAGCTGATGACATAATAGCTTATTTCACACTTTTAGTTGTCATTATTTTCTAAGTCTAATAACTAATTAAAAATATAATTATTAATTTACTTTTTATCAGGACTTTAATAATTTTATATTTAAGATTAAGGACTTTAAATTCTTTGGGATACTTAAGATTACTTAACTTCATTTTAAGATTAAAATCTTTCAACATATTAATTGTAAGATGTAGGTATTTAAGATACTTAATTTATTCCAGATTATCTTGTTACTATTTAGACATTGGTCTTCTTAATACCTGAACTCTATTGTCCTATTAATTAATTCACAATCAATTAATCATTTTGTTTATCAGTGAAAATCTATTTTTTTACTTTAGCCTCTAATCTTGTATTTTCTTATTCTAAAATATGTAAACGTGATTCATAATCAGTTATATTTGTAATTAGAATTTGAATTTTATTCTCTTATTCTTATCTTATATTTTTCTATCTTTCAATTTCAATATTTAATGTTTATATTTCATGTTCTAGTTCTGTAATTGTTAATTATAATCTCTTAACTTATTCATTATTAATATTTGATGATTAAGATCTAATCTAAGTTATTTCTATCTTTGTTGAATTATATTATTGTTCTAATTACTAATACTTAGATCTATATTGATTTAATTCCATTTATGTTTATTATAATTGATAAGATAATTATTATATCTCTTGAATACTTTATTATTACAATCTATCCTCTAAATTCTATCTTTCAATTGTCAATCTTGAAATGAACTATTATTCTAATTCATCTCTAATTTACATATCTAAATTTCTCAATTCCAATTATAATTTGTTGATTTATTAATTTTTAGCTTGTAATTCATAATCTAATTCTCTTAATCTACTACTTAATCTATCTATTTCTAAAGAGCTACTTTTGTAAGTTTCACTTTCTCTTTAAATGATAATAAATCTTTAATTGATTTATTCATAGTCATTTTTATATTTTAGATTAAGCTCCTTCAAATTTGAAATTTCTTAATTTAATTATAAATTTATTTATCTTAATTACTACATTTGATCTCTTTAAGTTTAACTTTCAAATTGACTTTATCTAGTAACTTATTCCTTTACTAATCTTAACTCACTATTAGATTCTTAATATTTGATCTATAATTGATCATACTAATTTTGCAATTATTTATACTATAATTATAATTATTATAATTCGAATAGTCCTTACTAAGTAACCTTCTATTCAGTAAGTTACATTTCTATTCTAAGTCTCTCTTTGAAGGACTATTCAAATTGTTATTCTTGGTTTTGAATTTATATTCTTAATTATGATATTTATGTTTCATATTAGAAAACTCGTTATTCATATTGATTAATCTTTTATTTTAATATCTCAAGTTCTTTATTATTTTATTATGAATATTTTATTTCACTTTCTCTCTCTAATAATAAGAAATTTTAGTTTAAAGATTCATAATCATTTCTATATTTTCTAATTTATTCATTTAATGATTATATTTCATTCTATTACCAACTGCATCGTTCTTAAAGAGTTTAATATTCATTCTATATACTTGTGAATTAATAAGAATTTTTCTCAATTTACAATTTTTAAGATTTTAATTATTAATTTTCTTATTATAATTCTTCTTAATCATTTTGATATCTCTTTATTAGATCCTTATAAGTTTAAATCTCATTTTATATCATTTTATATTAATTTTACAAAGTCTAATATTCCTCTTTTATACTCAATAATTAATATTAATTTTATTATGATGATTATTGATTTTAAAATTATACTTATAATTGAGAATACTGATTTTAAAGTACTTAATATTAATAATTTGAATTTCTTAATTCTTATTCCAATTCTATTATTCTTTTCCTTAATGAATCAAGTTCTAAAGAATTGTTTTTATATTAATCACTTTATCTCTAAAATATTAAATATTCATTAGATAATCTTTCATAATCTTATTGATATTTTTCTTTTTCTTCTCTTAATTGTATTAATTCTTATTAATATTAAGATTGATGTTAATTTCTCAATATTCTAATTTCTTCTTAATATTAATTTTATGTAGTACTAATTCTTTAATCTCTTTCATTTAAATCTTATATTAAAATTTAAATATCTTATTCCATTTCTGCAATTTTTCTTTTTAATGCATTTACTTCTTATGTATCTGATTTTCTGCTTTCAAAACTAATTCTATATCCATTTATTTCCTATTTAGATTTATCTACCTCTAATTTTAATTAATCTATTTGTAATTCATATTATCTAATTCTTTCTTATAAAAATGCAATTTAATTATCTTTTTAAGCAACCTTTTATTCAATAGCATATGTCTATTCTTAAGTTTATGTTGCTTTGTAACGATCTTGCCATACTAAAACTTCATGTTATAAAGCAGATATTCTTTTTAAATATCCTTCAATTTCTGCATTTTAATTTTTATTTGTAGATCTCAATGAAGATTATTAAATTTCTTAAATATATGAATCACAATTAAAATTTAATCTTTTTATTTCTTATTATTGATCTTGTATCTTATCTTCTAATAATTTGATTGTTCTTTTATAATCATCTCTTTCATTTCTAAATTAATCTAAATCTTAACCATATGATAATTTTGAATTGCTTGATTAGATTTATATTTATGATTATTAGAATTATTAATTTAATAAATTTTTGGCTTTAATTAGATCTTCCTTTTCAAATGTTAATTATTTAATTTGATCTTTCAATTCATTAATTTCTTAATTTGGTATATAAGATACATATGAAGATTTCTTTTATTGTTCTTCTAATTACTTAATTTACATCTTCAATTAATTAACTTCATAATCATTTGAAATAACACTTGTATTTCTTTCCAATCTATACTTATATTCATTGTTTTCTTATCTAAGTTTATTTATCTCCTCTTTATATTAATTAATTTCATAATCATTGACCTAACTAACTGTAGTAATATGACTAATTCCTTTTTCAGCTTGTAATTATTTATACTTATATTTCCATTAATCTAATTCTTTCAAATAATCAGATATTTAATTATTCAAAGAATTCACACTCTCTCTTAAATTTGTAATTTCTAATAATAACGATTTTGTTACCTCTATTTTTTGCTTCAATAATCTTCTAAATAGATGATTAATCAGTTAAAGTTATTTATTCTTAAATGATTGGAATACTTTATACTTTATAATCATCAGACCTATATAAATCAATCTAAAATTATACCTTAATTGTGTATTTGTGTATGATTAATATTAATAATTTCTCTAAGGTTGATAAGCATCTATTCTTGAATCTGTTGTTTCTATTTTATAATGTGTAAATCCACTCATCTTGTAGATTAATAAATTATATTAATAAATGATAATCAAATTCATTCTATTTTTGATATCTTGCTAATATTTATTTCTGATTTTAACAAGTCATTCATCTTGCTATTTTGCATAATTGAATCAGATTGTTATTGTTTATTTAGCAATTAAGTAGTGCTTTTACTTTTTACAGATGGAAATTGTGTTTTTAACATAGGAGAACTTTAACATTTAGGTTTAATCTGATTAATTAATTTATACTTACTCTGGTCATATGATCACGTAATTTTTCATATCTATGTATTTATTCTTATTATTTTTCTATAAGGATTTGTTTTGTTAGTTCTAATCTCTTTTATAGTTCATTATTTTCTTCATCTATTTTTTATTATTATTTTCTTCTCAAAGGGGAATGCAACCTCTTTCCCAAAGCATTCTCACTCCATAAAGAAGTATCTGCCTTAAAGCTAAGCAATTCAACTTACATAGGCTTTCTCTCTTAAATTTTGAACAGTCCATATAGATCTAAATTGTGAGTTTTTGCCTTCTTGAATTTCTATTATATGTGAAGTTAAATATTAGTTTTATTCATCAATTCTCTTTCTTTATTCAGATTTCTGAAATCTAGATGATTGTGTTTTTAATTGTTATGTTTTATTTAGTACTGGCAAATCTTTGAAAGCATATCTTGGCTTTTTGCTAAATCTTTAAGAATGAACTTATTACTCTGTTTAAATTTGGTCCAATTTCTTTTTATGAAATTCATAATTTTGATTACGGAGCATCTTCTAAACCAAATTGGTTTCTACAAACCTAGCACCTTACATAAGTTATATATTATTTAATTATTTATTTTATAATTCATTCTTATTTTTTACGACCCACTAAAAATTCTTTATGATTATCCATCTCCTCAAAATCTTAATATGTATATTAATTTTAAGTAATCTTTTGAAATTAGAAATAACAAGTTGTATTTTTACATAATAAAATATTAGCTTTTCTATTATAATATTTTGTGGCAGCATCGGAACAAATTGCACAAAGCATATTTCAAATTATTTAATTATTTATTTATTATATATAAATTAATATTATTTTTTATCAAATTACTTTACTTCTACTAATGTCCCCTTAATCCACTAATTAAAAATACTTTCATTCTTATTATTATATATCCAATCAAACAAACAAATTCTAAATTCATCATGAAAAACATCTCCCCATTATTAATTTCATATTTCCTAATCCAAATATATTCTATTTAATTAAGATTATTATTTAATCTCATTAGGTTTAAGTTCAATTTTAATAGTAAAAATAAATTATAATTGATTATCCTAATATACATTAATGAATTATTAGCCTATCTAAAATCCTTTTTTGGTATTTCTAATATTAACATTTGAATATCAGATAATTTATTGAATTATTAATATACTAATGATATTTAATTCTAAAATCTGGATCTTTTTCTAAGTCTTAATACATAAGCATCATATAATTTTATTAGAATCCCATACAAATTGGTAATAAATAGTTTTATTGAAATTGAACCAGATTAATAACATAGCTGATCAGATAATCAATATGTAAATTATAAAGGGTAATAGCGTTTTGATAACTTGATAATAAAGGTTAAAAAGCGAAAAAATGAAATTTTTATTCATTTTTTTAATAAATAATATTGTGAAACATAAATACTCATTATTTTTATTTTTTGACTTCATTCTTGCAAGCAGATATTAAGACTTCTTCTTATAATTCTTCTTATGGAATATGTACATATTTAACAGTTGATCCTCTAATGAAACTATTTCTTAAAGTTATTAATTATGGTTATTTCAGAGGATCAGATACTTCAGGATCAACTAAGTTAAAATTTAAGTTGTCATCAACATAAGTAATTTATCCTTGTATTTATAATCCATTTTTTAATTCTATAGTTACACTAACGCAGCGTTCAATTAATCCTCTAAAATAGGTTTGAAAGAATTAACTCTACATTAATTATATTAATTAAAAATTCTATAGAATGTTTTAACTTATTTTTCTCAGTAATAAAAACAAAGAATGTATTTATATCTGTATACTATTATCATATATATAATCATAATCATGAACAAATAGAGCAAATTCCAATTGGTGATTGAGAGCATTTTAGGATTGAGGTTGATCTTATTTTTTCATCTTTAAAAATTGGATTAACCCACCCAATATTTGGTTACCCTTTTAATTTTAGAATTGTTTTTTAGATATTAGTAACATTTTGATTAGGTTTGTACATACAAACTATCAAATTTTCATTAAATGATATTTTTTAGTATTCCTAATCTAATTCCAAGTCATCAGGTTCATCTTCAATTAAAGCCAACTTATGATGAACACTTAATGGAGTCATAGGGTTCAATTTGAAATTCGGAGATTAAGTAATCATAATTAATAACTTGTAATTTATAGATTTGAAATATAAAACGATAAAAATTGAAATCTATATTAATGCGTAGCACATGGCAGCAAATAATAAATCTTTATTTTAATATTCATTATTATCAGTGATAATGTTTTATCTATAAATAATTATGTTTATTATTCTAGAAATCAATAAATATATGCATCTTCTTAAAATGAATAACTTCTCCTTACTTATACTTTTAATACACATTTTTTTTTTCTTCAATTTAAAAAAACTAAAACTGTTAGTATAAATATTTTATTTTTTCTTTTAATATATTTAAAACAAGTATTATTAAAATTAAACCTTAGAGAGATATTTAAGGAATAGGATATAAATCAAAATAAAAAAAAAATTAGTTTAATTATTTGTTTCACACAACCTCAAATACATATTTTTATTTACAATAAAAAATTTATTGCAATTATATTAGTAATTGATATCGTTTAAAAATAATATTAGTTTAGAATTATTATACATCTGTTCTCTTAGTTTAGATTATATAGAATATTATGGAATATTTTTTTTTTAATTTTTATAATATTAGATTAATAATGTATAATTATTAATATTATAGAGATGTTAATTGATGATCAAAATAAAGAATTATTGGAATTACAACAACGAAGAAGAGAATTAGAATATGAAAACTAAAAAATTAGAGCAGATTTATTCCGATTAAGACGAAATCTAGTATTTAATTGTATTGATTAATTCTATCAAAAAGTTCACAGAGAAGAAGTGAAAGAATCAGAATAAGATGATGAGTGTGAGAAAGAATAAATTAAATATATATTGACCCATTCCTCAGATCATATTCAGAAAAGAGAAGCAGAAATAACATTCTTAGACAACCCTAGAAGATTAATTCTAAAAGGATAAAGTGATTGTGCAGATAAAGATAACACCAAAGAATTTTACACTTTTTCATATTCTATATTACTTAATGAAGAATTAGAAGAAAACCCAAAAATTATTGCTACAGATTCAAAAATTGAAATTATATTTGACAAGAACCATAAAAATAGAAAATAATTGATTTAATAAAACTAATGATCTTAATTACAATTTTTTATTATAAATAAAAGAAACAAATTTAACAAAGACATATTTAGAAATATAAGAAAATTTTATATATTTATTAATAAATTTATAACGGAATGATTTCTCCAAGAATTTAAAGTTCTAGTTTCAACCCAATAAACACATCAAATGTCTTTACTTCAACTATTAATGATGATGCTTAGAATACTAGTTTCTCATCTTATCATGTAACTCCCAGATAAGGAGCTACTCCTAGATAATTGTCTAGAATTTAAGAAAACAATGAATGTGAAGATTCTAAAATAACAGATACTGATCCTGAAACATATAGAGAAGTAATTAAAGAGTTATCAACCTAACTTTAAATGGCTATATTAGAAAATAGATAATTGAAAGATAAAATTAATGTATTAGAAGAAGAACACAATGAAAGTTTTTAAATAGTCAATACATAAAATCAAATGCTTTAAGATAGTAATTTTACATTATAGGAAAAAATTAATAATTTATTTTCAGAAATTTAGCAAATGCAACTCCAATTAGAATAGAAAGATTAAAAATTAAAAGAGGTTAGAGAAAATAACTTAATTTAAAATTAATCATCTGATAAAATGACTCATTTGATAGATGAAAATTAAAAATTAATTAAAATTATCTAAACATAATAATAAGAAATTAATGATTAAAAAGATGTTATTAAATAATTTGAAAAAGCTTTATAAGATGCAAAAAGTAAATGTGAATAAGATGTTAATGAAAAATTAAATAATAAAGTTAAGGAAATAGATTAATTTAAAAGTGAAATTGAAGTATTGCATTAATAATTGCAATAATACAAAGAATAGATTATGCTTTGGAGTTAAAGATATTAATCTTTGGATCAAAATTATTAAATATAATACTAAGATTTATTTTAAAAGTTTAACATTAGTTAAAATTAACTAACTGAATTATAAAATATATATTAAACGTTATAAGATAATAGCTAAAGAAAAATCTAATAATTGGTTTAAGAATTAGATAATGCCAAAGTAGGAACTTTAAAAAAATAATAAACAATTAAAATTCAAGCTTTAGAAGAGAGAATTGATGAATTAGAAGAACAATTATAAATTAAAAAGAATTAAATTTTTAAGTTAAAAGAAGAATTAATTGAATATTAAAACATTTCAAAATTGGCTAAATAAAGGGAGACAGATAATATAACAGATAAGAGAAGTATTTAAATTTATAAAATTATTAGTTGTTGAAGATTAAAAATTAGAGAATTATGAATAAAGAATACGTTAATTAGAAGATAAACTTGTTTAATAGGAGTAATAAATTATTGTTACTTAATAAAATTAATAATAATCATATTCAAGTTTACCATAATAATAATATTAAAGTTAACCATAATAATAATAAATGGTTTTAGTTTAATAATAATAATAATAATAATAATAATAATAATAATAATAATAGTTATATGAACATAGTTATTATGCAAGAACTAATGAAAATAAAAAGTTATAATTGTTTTCTGAAAGAAAGGATAATGTAAGAATGTATTATAGTTTTGCAAAAGAGAATTAATAGATTGAAAATAAATATCCTAGAACTGCTTTAAATTATGGAAATAATTATTGATTTACTATAAAAAAATAAAAATATTATTAACTACTTATTATATCAGTTTGATTTTGATTTCTTTATTAAATGTTGCTATGATTATGTTTTACTAGTAATTAAAAGCCCTTTTTGTTTTTAGAAACTTAAAGGTTTATTTGATTTCAATTATTTTGAGTTTTATTGTGATTAATTTTCTTTATTTGATTTACTCATTTTATTGATTTTTTTAGGTACTTCAACTTAATTTAATCTTTAAAGAAGATTTGTTGTATCTAAAGTTGATTTACATCTTGAAAAAGATTCTTTAGAATTTGAAGTTTGAATTAATCTCTTTCCATTTGGTGATTATGAATTTTCTCTTATATTTGGCTCAACTGATTGATTCCTAATTTTTTATTAGTTTTCACTTTCTAAAGGATTATCTAATTATTCTGTTCTTGTAGTTTATAATGAATCTATTTTTTAAAAGGTTTATTGGAATTATTGAAGAATTTTAGTAGTTTATTGTTATTAATGATTATCTACTTAAATATCAACAATATTTTATTCTAAATAATTTTAATAGATGAGCTTATTTATAATGCCATCTTGAAAAAATTAAGTTGATTATTAATTTTATTCTTAGAATCCAAACATAGGACTTAATAAATCTGTTTTATTTTCTGATTTTTCTTTATCAAATGAATTTAATGTTTTATTCTATACTACAGAATAACTATCAGTTGAAGAATATTATTAATGAGAATGTTCAAATTATCTTGGTTGTTATTATCTATTTTCTGGTGTTATGAAAACACCTTTTCCTCTCATTTCAGCTTCATCACTTAAATTTGGAGTTAAAGTATTTTTGGATGATGTTTGAATAAAACCTTTCTTAGGGTGTGGAGTAATAAAATATTATTAAGAAGGAGATAATATTTATTTTTATTGAAGTAAGGTTGATTCAATTTTCATTAAAGAATCTTTTAATGATTTGATTTAGTTTGATACCTTAAATAGCAATTTAGATAAAATACTTCTAATTTTTAATTATTATCTACACAAAATGTTTCAAGGAGTGCCTTTAATTTAAGATTTAAAATATTCTTCATTTGTATAAATATTTATTATTATTTATATTTGGTAAGATGAATTTCTATTTATTAAGTAGCTTTAATTATATCTAAATCTTTATTGAACTATCCAAAGAATTATAATAAATTGTGTAATGATTCATAAAATTTGGCTTTAAAATCAGCAATTGATTATGTTAAATCCTAATTGCAATTTATGAAAATGATATACATCAAGCAAACGTTAAGGTTGAGAAATATATTTTATAGCGCTTGTAATAATATTTGATTCAAGTTCAGTAAGTGGAGCATTAAAAATATCACTTAATTTTTCTGCGGCATTATTCATATGTCGTTAAATTTTTATTTTAATTGAATATTATTTAATAATTAATTTTATCATACATAGAATTTACATCATACTATATAAAAATAATAAACAACATATATCACAATTGATTAACATAATTTTTTGTATTATATTATTAAGAATATCAATATATTAATTTTGTAATTAATTTTTATTATTAGAATGTAAGACTTAATTTAAAATAATCTAAGACAAGATGTTTAATCGATAGATAATTCAAATATGAGTAATTTTACAATCACTAAATTAATATAGATGATTAATTTGCAAAAAAAATGTAAGCCTTATTAGAATATGGATTATATGATTAAGCATTTGAAAGAGTGATGAAAAATAAATAATAAATTTAAGAAAGTTTTTAATTACTTATAGAACTGTAATTTCATTTAAATATAGTTAAGTGCAAGATTATTTAATACATTTAAATAACATAAATTAGCTTTAGAAATTATTAAGCTATCAAATGTTTTTGATTAATAATTAGATATGCATCAAGATCAATAAATAATCATTTTTAAATAATATTATTTAGAAACTTTGATTGAATTGGTTGATATTCAAGAAGCATTAAAAGAAACTAAAAATATTTATAATGAATAAGTAAGAAAGGTAAAATTAATAAATAAACCATAGATAATTTAAGATGAATTACATTTGATAGAATCATAAAAAAGAGTGTAAATTCATTAACATAATCATCATAACAATCAAATTAATGAACATCAACATTAATAATTAAATATAGAAATTCCAAAAGAAAAACAATAGCCTATATATAGATTAATAGGTCGGAAGACATTTATTTTATTATTTATTTTATTTTTAATGATTTATTATTCATTAAAGAAGAAAAGTGATATCAAATAAGTATTAGAAAAAGCAAAAATAATATTTAGACAATTATTAAATATATGAAACTGAAATATTATAGTATTGTAATTTATCAAAATATGTGAAACAATATTCTATTTATAATACTATTCATAATAATATGATATATGTTATCATAGAATATGTTATATCAAATTAAAATTAAGTTATGATTAAATTAATATCTAAATTTTGTACTCTGCAAAAATACTACCCTACAAAATTTGTAGCTCCTAATTTATGGGTTAATCAAAAATACATTCCAATATTTAAATAGAAAGAGTTGTCTTAAGAAGAATAAAAATAGAAGCTATATTTGCGAATGGCAAAATTAGTTCCAATTACACTTTATTCTAGTTATTGGCTATTTTTTGGATCTCTAGATGTCTTACATATATCAGCATTTTTAGGATTGTTTGTATAATTTTTATCTTATTAATAAGTTTATTTACTCAAAATAAAGATTAACATATTTACAATAAGAAGCAAAGAAACCAGAATATATTTATATGGATAAGGATGGCAAAGATTATGTTATTATTTATAAATTAAATGCTTCAGAACCTGAAAGTAAATGTCATGATAAAGAATTAAGAGAGATTTTCAAATTGAATGAGAAATAAGGATTAGTAAAATTTAATGTTAATAATTTCTAAATTGTTAATTCTGCAGTTTAACCAAAAAGTGAATATGAATTTTATAATTTATTTGTACTAGAAAATAGCGAAGAAGAATTTAGTAAAAGACCTCATAATATGTTTGAATTGGATATTAATTAGAAATTAGTCTTAATTAAATTTGGGCAAAATGAATATAGTGGCATGAATGAATATTTAACTGCTATGATGAGTAAGAAATAAATTATAATAAAATGAAAAACCATCATTACTAATTAAAATGATCACGGTATTTCTTTATTAATTTCTTAATCTCGTTTTTACTAGCAGTTTTGGTCATCATAGGTTTTAATTTTAATTTCATATTGCATTCTGAATATGTTTATATTTCCAATTTATTTTATTCAACTTACTTTATATAGTTTCCACTCATTAATAAATACGCTCTAGTTGTTGATTTAGATGATGGATTGCTAAATAATATCATCATAATATTACAAAGGTTAAAATTCATCATTTTCAATGGATTTACTAATTTCAAAAACGGTGTTTTCATCAATATATTTTGTATATTTGACAAATAAGAAATCTCTTGGATCCATAAAGAGAATCTTTTTATACCTTAAGTAATTAATTTATAATGAATCATCTGAGAAATGTGATTCAAATTAATCAATAGAAGAATCTAATTTCTTTTGTAATTCTAAATCTTTCATAAAAGCCATATATTTCTCAATAGTTGTATTAAGAGTGTATTTATATCTCATCTGATGAATCTAGAATTTTTCAGGAGTTTCTATATATTTGATCCAATAACTAAATTCATCTTGATTGTCTTCTAGTTATTCGTATCCTTCATAATCATACAGAATTGAATGATAAATTTCAATTGATTTTTATCCTAATTCAATAAGAATTTCCTTATTTTGAATATTAACATTAGGAGTTGTCTCTATAAATTATCTAACCATGCTAATATCAATAGGTTATTAGATAATTTCTATTATTTCTTATTTTTCAATTAATTATTATTTTTGTGATTGAATTTTAGTATCCAAATCAGATGTTGTCAATTCTGTCTCATAATCTAAAAAAATATTGAAAATTAATAAATACTCTCATTCTTTAACTCTTCTTTTAAATTATTCTCAATATCTTTATCTAAGTTCAATTCTACTTAATTAAATTATTGCATCTAGTAATGAGAATCAGCTGTTCTAATTTTGGTGTATTAAAATATTGATAAGCATTTCCTAAGCAAAAGCTTAATCCATATGATGCATTAATTCATATAATATTATTATGATAAATTATATTTAAAAATGTGAATCTAAATAAACTTGATTTAACAGAATTAGCAAAATTAAATTTTATATAATAAAACTATTGTCAGAAAGTATTCCTTTTCTTGTTTAAATTTGATAGATAAATCTGAATTAAGTGAAATATTTACATAAAATAAAAGTTCTCAAAATGATCTATTCTCTGGTTTTAGATATTTAAATATTATATCTGCAGTAGCAAATTAGTAATTTTCCAAGGCTACATCCATGGCTGTTTATCCTTTATACTATGAAAATATTATTAATATGTACATTTTGAATATTAACATCTGCACCATTTTTTAATAAATAATCAACAATTTATGTAGCTCCACATTTAGATGCTGATATTAACATAGTGTTTCCATCTTCATTTTAATAATTAATATCCATTGATGCTTCCAATTTTAAGATCTCTTTTAGATCTGATAAACGATGTTCTTCAACCATAATAAATATCTTTTCTATAAAAGTCTTGTCTTCATTTTTTGTTTGTTAAATCATCATATTTCTAAATAATAATGAATATGGATCCATAGATTATTATTATTATTATTATTTATTTTTTTATTGAATTTATTAAGTTTGCTTATATACTATTTATTACTCCTTTTCTTTAACAACAGATAAATTATGAACTTTAGAAATTTATGATTAAGATTATATTTTGGTTCCTCCTTAAACTTATAGATATTTCTAGGAAGGCTCTTTATAAAAATATAAATAATTACATCTGAATGCATTTCTAACTACTGTTTATTAATTTTAACTAGCATTCTTTTATGTTTTTGTTTCACTCTAAATTTAATAAGAATTAATATTATTACAATATTTGAAGGAGATTCAGATCTACTTTTTGTTGCAGGAGGCAATGATAAGGTCATTAAATTTACTTATTTTGGTATCGTTTCAATAGTTGTTTCTCTCTAATGTCTTGATTTCAACATATTCGAATATTTTATAGAAGTATTATCCATTAAACTATTACTTTATTATTAATAGCAAAATTTTATAAATTGTTTTTCTTCAGAATTTATTGGTTATTTATAATTATCTTCAAATAATCCAACACAAACTATTTCAAACTTCTTATAAAATTACTGAAGATATTTTTTTTTATCTTTTCTACGTGATCTTAGAAAAAGTCTATTTATAGCTTCAAAATCTAAAATTAAATATGAAAATAATACGAGGTTAAGATTAAAATTCATAATCTATATGGATTATGGGTTCAGTATTATTAGAAAAGTCCATTATTTATTCATGTAAAAGTATATTTTTAGAGTCATCTGAAATTGTTGATATAATAAATTTAATTAATTTCTCTTAACTAATACTTGGATTCAATAAATTAGATGATGATAGATATTTCAATTTCATTCCTTAATCATATGAATAATCCAATTAACTTTTATTTGTTAGATAGCTAAAATCTGATAACATACTTGAATTCTAGGAATCAAAAGGTTCTTAACATCTATAAATAAAGCTATTAATATCTAAAAATCTTGTTGGTTGAAAGTCTTACTTAACTATAAATAATAGTTACAATAATTGATTGATCAAAAAGAATTTTTGATATAAATAGCTATTAATCTAATTTTGAATCTTATTTCATTATATTTGGTATAGTCTCATCATCTTTTTTTTCCTTCAATTTATTTTAATTTAAACATTTTAAGATATAATTTTATAGATAATAACGAGTAAATTGAACTGCTTTGTCTGAATTGAATTCATCAATAATCTAATCATTAATATTTTGTATTTTATTTATTTTTCTAAATTATAAATATAATTACTTATTAAACATATTTTTAGAAACAAGAGAATAAATATTTGATTTTTTAGGGTTTTTTATTTCTAATACTTCATTTTATTACTATTATTATCTACTTGAATCTTCTTCCATATAATGAGGTATATAGAATTCCATCTTATTTTATTTTTATTCCTCAGGACATTCAACAAGAATTTTTATTTTCTTTTTATTATTATTTATAGGAAATTATGGAGTAGTAGCTGTTACTGATGGTTATTTTCCAGTATCAGAAGATTTCTCTTTTATTGCTTCTATTAAACTTTTCATAGGTTTTAGAGATTCATCTTAATGAGTTAAAGTTATTTGAGAACTAAATTTTGTATGTTTTTTAGGTATAGCTGATAATTATTATTGAAAGAGCATCTCTTTTGAATTAGGAAGAGATTATTAGGGAAGATATTGTGTTTAAGTTTATAAGAAAATATTTGATCTAAGCATTTAAGTGTCAATGACTGTTTTACTTTTAAGTTCTTTTTCTTCTGATCTTTCTCTATGAGTTTTCAATAATTAAATTATTTTTCTTAGAATTCTTGAACTTCTGTCTTAAAATTATTCAAGTTCATTGATCTTGATTTTACATTTAATTTGATTCTTTTCTTTTAATTCTTTGAATTTTTATCTTAATATTAATTCTTCACAAAGAACATCAACAAATTTAGGCTTTTCTGGCTTAATTTCTTTTACTTCAATAAATTCCTTTACTTCAGGTTCCCATACTTAAATTGAAGGTTAAGTTTTAATTCTTTAAGATTGAAATACTCCACTTGGTTTCCTACTTATAATAACAATAGATTTCTTTAATTCATTAATAACAGGTTGATCTTATTCAGTTTTTGCTCTTAATGATGAAGGCTATAATTCAGGTAATTTGATTGCAGTCTCATTTTTTCTTCGATGTTTAGTACGACTGAAAGTTAAATAGGACACAGGTTTTTATTCAATTGATCTTGTTATTGCAGAATTAGTACTCACTTATGAAAAGGGCTTTATTAGTGATTTTACAAAGTAATTATTCTCATGTTATTTCATTTATTATAATTTATTTGAAATGATTAACATAATGTATAATTTAAAACAAATCTGTAGTTTGATAATTTAAATTTTTGAAATGTTTTCGAATTAAAGCTATGCATTCTTAAATTTACATATTTTTAAAGCTTAATTTGAAATCAATTAAAATATTCAACAAAATAAAATTATAAATTACATTTCATAATAAAAAATGAGGATGGAAATTATTATAGAACATAAGCATTTAAACAGGATTGTCAATTAAAATGAGAAACAAATTTTGAACTTTCTGCTTTGTTTCTCTATAAAGACAAAACCTAAATTACCAAACAAGTAATCAATTTATTTAATGTCTTTAATCAAGAGAGACTAGAAATAAGTTGAAAATTTTATGTATTTTTGTCATAAATTATTAAATATGGTAAATTCAAATTCTAATGTCAAAGAGATTTTCAAATCATTCCAATAGAATTGATGACCATTAAAGCAGGTATTCAACCTTTCATTTACTCTATAAAAATCTAAAAAGAAATTTAAATAATGATTGCCCCATAGCAACATAAGTAGTTTAATGTTCAACATTAAATTAAACAAAATGAAAAATTAAAAAAAATTTATTATAAAATGTTGTTTTAAATTTGATTGTTAATAGGAGAATCTATATGGTGAATTTTAGATTTACTAATTGCATATCAATTAACATTTGTTTGGGGTTATTATTCAATGTCAAAAAGAAGAAAATCAATGTTATCATTTGTCTATACTTGAGGGTGAATTCTTAAGAAAAATACATGAGATAATTTGTTGAAATGGATACAGGGTAGAATTTTCTTTTAGAAAATGTCCAATTTAGGTTAGATCATTAAATTATTCATTAGTAATAATATGGAACCTTACCCAATGGAATTTTAATCAATCAAAGATACAGTTTCATATACTAAAAAAAATTGTTTAAAACAAAAGTATCTCAATTTAGTAAGGTGATTAAATAAGAGATCATTCTAAATCAATATATATAAGTTGTACTCTCTGTTAAAGAGAAAGTTAGAACAAGAATCTTATACATGGTTAAGGTGATTTATTATAATAAATATTTAGGAACTATAAAATTTTTAATTAACATTAATTACTAATAAGTGACTTCTTTATACAAATACTTAAGGACTTTTTTGTTATTTAATGTTTTAAATAACAAATTGAATATTATAAAAAGATTTCGAGAAAGCTTTAGATTATTAAATTTGTTATATTAATTATATCGATGATAGATTTGATGTTCCTATTACTCATTTGAAAGATATTATAAAATCAATTGAATTATAAAGCATTGATTCTAAAATATAATTAATGAAAAATTTAATGAAAAGTAATCAACAAAAGATTGAAATAGCTTAGAGTGAAAAATTATTACGTGATCTTGACTTGTATTAAAAAATATTTCTTTAAACAAAATATGAAAATAAAAAATAACAATGTTTAGCTATTAGAAGGCTTTTGCCAAATAAATAATATTCTTAACATTAATAACAATCATAATAATTATTTAGTAATCCAAGTCTGTAGTGTTTTAACACTTAATTAGATTAAGAAACTAGTTATTCTAATAATCAAAATTAAGTAAATATTCCTTAAGAATTTAGGAAAGAAAAAGAAAAAAGATAGCAATCTCGATGATTGATTGTTCAAAAATTTTCAAAATATCTAATAAAACTCAATATCCAACCTAAAATAAACCATTATAATCTTTAATGTAGAAAATTGTTATTGTAAATCATCAAGGTAGACCATAAACTTATTACATGAAGTGAATTATATATGTTTATCATATTCTTTCAAATTCATATTATTAAACTATTTACTTTTCATAATGTAATCATATAGAGATTATAATCTATATCTAAATTTAATTAAAATGTTAAATAATTCCATGAAATTTACCTAGATTTTAAGTGACATTTTAATGATTTTATATATATCATAGTTTAATAAAATTTATGATAATGTTATTAAATATTATTTGATTTAATATAATGATGTGAAATTTTAAATAGAAATAAATTTATTTATAGATAAATTGATTTTCAATTTTCTAATTCATTTTCAAATTCATCTTCATCATAATTTTCTGATTTATTAGTTCTATTTTTGATTTAATATTTAGGTTCACTTTCTGAATAATCATCATTCTAATCATTAGAATTTTAATCTAATTAATAATCATCATCATTCATATCATTATCTTCAACATAATATTTATCTTCATCTTCATCATCATCTTATGATTGTTTTCCTTTCAATTAATTATGAAAAACTTCCTAATATAATTATTCCCCATCTTCTTCATCTTCATCCTCTTAAAGTAATTATAATTCATAAAAATTAGGTTCAGAATAACTTCTAATTAATCCATGTTTCATTAAATAAGTTTAAGATGATTTATCTATTCCTTATTCTATTTAAGGATCATAGACCTTTTATTCAACTTCAAATAAATATAAGATTTATTCTTATTTTAATCTTAGTTACTTAAAGAAGAAACAATTTCGTTTTTATTATCCTCTATAATATTTTAATAATTCTTCAAGAGCATTTTCATCTTCGTTATCATTAGAATCACAAATTTCTTTTAAATATTTAAGAATTAAAGATCCATTTAATTTTCTAATATTTTGACAATCTTTAATTACCTAACTGAATAATTATATAATGTACTTTTAAAAGAAGATATTAATATTCAATTTATTAAAGACTCTATTATTTTTGTTGTTTTAAAAATGAATCCAATAAAGAGAATAAATCAAAATATTTGAAATTTTAACCATTAAGTTTTTATTCTAACATTTATATAATGTTAATAAATAATTTCGAAATAGAAATTTCTAAAATTTTGGATTCAATTTTATCATAAATAGGCCAGAAACCTATTATATTCATAAATTCTGATTTGACAATTTCATTCTATTAAGTTAAATTGATATTGATATTATAAGGATATTATTGATTATGTTTTTCTATTAAATATCTAGCAAGTAACATAGCATCTGGTTTATCTAGAAGAAATGGTTATTTAGATAATCTATCATGTAATGAACTAAAATCAATAGAAATAGAAGTCTAATTAAATAAATGACGATCTAATTTGACTATTGGTATTTATGCTGAACTTAATCTTAGTCTTAATTCCAATCCTAAATTATATTAAATAATAGATACTTATTTCTGATAGATCATTTAATTTAACAGGTTCATCAATTAAATCCATTACAGATCTATTTACACTTTAACTCAATATATTATTATTATTAGTACTGTTATTAGTATTATTATTAATTTTAAATGATTGATCTCTTTTGGTAGTACTATTAAGTGATTTATCCATAAATTTTTATGGATTAGGTTTTTTAATAGTAATTTATTTAGTTTATTTAGTGTTTAATGAAATTCTATCAATATCATTTTTAAGATCTAAAATTTATTTATCTTTAATTTTAAGTTTGTTTTTAGCTTCATTTTAATATTTATTATAAATTTTATCAAGTTCTTAATATGCTTAAACCATTTATTATAATTTTTCTGATAATGCTTTATTTTCTTCCATATAATATTCTAATTCTTATTACATTTATTTAATTAATTATTCTCTCTACATTAACATTTCTTTAAATTTATTTTATTCATTTTCAAATTACTTTTAATAAATATTATCAGTTATTAATTATTCTATAATTTATGATAGTCGTATAGTTTCATCTTAATATTATTTACATTCAATTTCTAATTCTGTAAGTTTTGTATATTTAGATGTCTTTTTCATATTTTATAGTTCTTATTTTGAATCATTTAATTGTTCATTTAATTATTTGACTTAATTTTTTAAGTTTAATATCATTTAATTATCTTATGTTGGAGTTTAATAAAATCTTTTCATATTTCCTGTCTATTCCATTTCTTCAATAATATTTGTACATTTGACTAAATCTTTCTTTGAACAATAATTAATATAGTTTTACTTCTAAATTAACATTTTTAGTCTTTAATTTAATATTCTCATCTCTTAATTAGTTCACTATCAATTTTAATTAATGACTCTCTTCATATAACTTTTCCCAATCCATTTTCTGTGTAGAACCACTTGGCTTATTAGATTTAATTCCTATTGGTAATTTATAAGGACTATAAATATATATTTATTTATATAAATACTTGGATGATTTGTTTTATTCTTTATTACTTTTCTCTTATTCTCTTGATTAACATCCAGATGCACTTGATGGTCTCATTTATTTATTATTTGTAAACTAATTTAAGTATAAAATATTATAATTTACAGATTTATCATATTGAATAATTAAAATCATCTCTTCTATTACCAATATACATTTTATTTACTCTATAACAAATTACAAATAATATAATAACGGAAACCTTAAATAATGATTTAACTACTTTATTTTTATAAAATAATAAAAATTATTATTATGAATGAAATTCATAAAGGGTAATCAAATGAAGTTCCCCAATTAAAATATATAAGTTATGAAGATAAATTAGAGTTCTATAGAAATGTTAGATAATGGCATAATAAATTTATTTATTAGTAATTTGATTTAAGTGGTTTGAAAGGTATTCATTTAGATAAAAATGAAAAATTCAATATATTAAAAGAGTAATTGACTTCATTTAATAAATAAGTAAATATTTACATTAAATTAGTTACAATAAGCAGAAATTAGCAAAATAACTCCTTAGAATTTTCCATCTCGTTATAATTTTCATTCTTAGATTTTATAATTATTAAGAGAAGCTTAACTATCTACAAATAAAGAATAATAAGAAGAATTTATATAAAAAATATATGATTGGAATAATTAAGAATAAATAAGATCTTTAAAGAGTAGATGTAAACATACATAATCAGTTGATTACAAATATGAAAGTTCTAATTTTGATGGTACAACAAATGATGAAACTAAAAGACATTTTTTAGATTTTAGTGAATAAAAATAATTGCCTAGTTAGATAATACAAGAAAATATAAGAGATTTTAAATAATAATAAAGAACTATTCATAAAGAAATAGATCCTCCTGATGTTAGGTATCAAAATTTTATATATTTCAAGATTATAATAATATTCAAGAAAAACATTAATTCAATAATAATTATAGATTTCATAATTAAAACCAGAGTCATAATCATCCTTTTTTCCTACATAAAATAATATTAATAGATTTTCTGTTTATGAAGAATAAGAATAATAAGAAAAAGATACAGAAAATGAAGAGAATAAAATGCCTATAGAACCAATAAAAGTATTTTTAAAAGATGATTAAGATTTGAGTATATAAAGATAATAAAGTAAATCATTTGAAGTCAAATAAATGTATTAATAATATTAACCATCTAATTCAGAAATTGAAGCATCATTATAATAAAGATGGATTACAAATAGATAAAAAGAATATAAAAACTAAAAAGAAGATTAAGAATTAGTAAATTCTATGTTAAAATGGTCAAAAAATAAATCAAGAATATAAAAAGAAATGGATAGAAGATAAGATTCATCTTAATTTGGAAGTAGATATTAATAATTAGATTTAATTCCAGATTCTCCTTTATAAACAAAAAAATAATATTATATTGGATATGATCCAAAAATTATTAATTTAAAATAATTACCAATTATTGTTAATACTTCAAAAAATAATTCAGTTAGAACAATGATTGAAATGGAAGAATCAGTTTCTAAATAAAAGATTGAAACTACAAAAAAGAAATATACAAGTTTATTAAATTTATCAAATATTGAAATTACTCCAATTAAATAATAATAATCATAATAATAATAATCATTATCTATTTATGGTTTAAATGATCAAAAAAATAGATCAATCTCTTAAAAAAATAAAATGGCTAGTGTAATTGATGCATTTAGTCCTGAAAAAGTTTCAGAAGAATAATTGAAAGAAGTATATGAAGTATATAAATTTTATATATATAAAATAGATTAAAAATAGAATGGCTAAACATAAAATAGTTATTCCATTAAAAAAAATAATGACTGGTTTAATTGCACCTACTGTAGATAAAAATAATCTATATGATAAAATACCAGATATTGGATCAATGATAATGAGTAATCCATTTGAAGTAGCAAAGAAAACTAAGAAAAAGAAAAAGAAAAAGAAGGAATGAATTTGTATACTTAATCTATAACACTTTTAATTGTTATACATATTAATTTTATAATAGAATATATATATGATCATAAAAATAAAGAAATTTAAATATTATCATTTTAGATCATCAAATTTCAAAATAATCTTATAATTATTATATTAAATTAAAATAGGTTCGAATGAATCAACCTATTACTTATTCATCTTTAATATCTCTATCATTAGCTAAATTCCCTCAAATTTACATGTATACAGATGGATTTATGAGCAATGACTTTCAATTAATTAGTTTTAATAGTGTTCATGGTAATCTATTTCATGATTTTCAAAATACTGTTTTTAGAATTATACCTGTCTTAAACTTTAAATGGACTTAAAAGTTATTAAAGGAAATAGTTTAAGAAGATTTCTAGAAACTAAGTGAAATTTAAAGTAATTGATTTATATATAAACAAAGTCGTAAAACAAAGAAAAGGTTAGATTTAGAGTTTAAGAACAAATTTAGATGGAGAAGTTACATCTAATATATCATTAACAAGTAAATTAACAGGAGTACCTCTAATATTTGGTTCATCTACATTTATGCTTGTTCATGTTACATCACTAAAATTTTTAACATTAAATGATGAAAATCCAGAAGATCTACATTTTTAATTAAAAGACTTTCCAGAGGAAGGTAGCATAATGAAATTCACTCCTTGTCTTAATTTCTAAAAATTACGAACTAACATAGTATATAATAAAGATGCTGTAATATTGTCAAGTACAAAAGTTGTCTGCAATAGACCACCTTCATTATATACTTTCTATAAAGGATAAGAATATAAATATAAAGAATCAAAAGACAAATAATTAAAGAAATAATTTCAATAGGAAATAAAAAAGAGTAAGATTATTGGAAGTATTGAGTATTAAACTAGATGGAGAGTTGAAGGATATCATTGTGCTAGTAATAATGAAAAACAATCTGAATTTGATGATTATTTACATGTTGGAGATGTAATTGCTCTTTATTTATCAGAATTAAAATTACATGTAAATGCATTAAAACCTTATGATCCATTTAAGAAGATATTATAAATATTAAAAATTGAAAATTTAACATCTGCTGAACCTTAAACTAAACAAAAAGATTAATTATTAAAATTAACAAAAACATAATAAAATTTAGATAAAGAATTTAATCTTAATTAATCAGATGCTAAAATCTTAAAAAAAATATTAATTGAAGATGTAATTGTTACATTTTAAAATTTCAATTATTTTAATAGTACTGAATCTTAAAAGAAATTATCAGATTTACCAAATAGTTGTTTTTGGAAAATTGAAAGTGCAGATTAAATGAGTGGAGGAAGAGTAGATTGGAATAAAATATATAGATTAAGACATTTTTAAACTGGTAGATATTTATAAATTACAAAAAATGGAAATTTAGTTGATATGGAATTAATTTCAGAGCCTAATTAAAATGCTTTATTTAAATTCTCTTAGATTTAGAATTCAGAAGATTCAGAAGTAACATATATTAAAAGAGATTCATTTTATTATTTATTACATATTGTAACTGGTCAATATTTAGGTATTAGTGATGAAGTAAATGAATTAAATCCAAAGATTGAATAATTATCAAAAGAAGCTGAAGTTGAAGTTAAATAGGCATATTTATCTGTAGTTTAGAATCATTATACTACATTTAGAGTTAAAAAGATTGATTTTTCAGATATGTGGGAAACCTATATGTTATAATATAGTTTACCATTCTTTTTAGAAGCAATTGATTATATTTAAAAATTGCATTAAAAACATATAGTAAATAGTACTATAGCTTATAATGATGAAGATATCAAAAGCAAATTACATTTCTATTAAATATTTTTAAAATTAGATAGAATGTTAGATATGTATTGTGAATTTATAAATAATAAATTAATTTCTAATATTAGTACTAAATAAGAATATTCTTATATTGTTACAAATAGATAAAATGTAGTAAGAGAATAGAATATATTTATATTATTAGTTTGGATGTTATTTAGATGTTTTCCTAATAGATAAATTATAGAAAAATATCCATAAAAATTTGAAGGAATGAAAATTGATTTTATGGATGAAAAAGATTTTATATTTCGTGTATAATCATTTCTATAGAGTAATACACTTAAACATCATCCAAGAATGCTTGTTAAATTAGAAGATGGACATAATAAAAGATAGATATATTTATCATATAAAGTATATATGACAATAAAAGATTTTTGTAAAGATAACAAAAATAATTAAAAAACTTTAATGAAACTATTAAATATATTTTATAATCATATAGGTTTAGGTGATTAGATTGTTGATACATTAGCAAATTCTATTTCTAAAACTAAATCTATTTTATAATAATTACCAAAAACTATGATAAGTATGCCTTAAAAGCCTAATTAAGATGAACATCATAATTAATCAGCATCTTAAGATAAATCTTAATTATAGATTGAATAAAATAAGATTATAGATTAATCTAATTTATCTATGACTACTCCTCATAATAAAAGTAAAGACAGAGTTTCTTAAAAGGAAATAGAATTATAAAGAGAAAAAGAAAAAGAATAATAAAAATTAAAAGAATAATAAGAAAAATAAAAAGAAAAGGAGAAATAATAAAAAAATGAAAGTAATTCTTTATAAGCAATTATTTTAAAATTACTTGAATTTCCACCTTTTTCAAAACCAGATATAATATATTTATTAGCAACTGTATGTTAATCTTTAGAATCTCCAGTATTTGTTAATTAAAATTTAATATATAGAGCATTTTTTGAAAACAAATTAATTTATAATCATGCATTTATGAAATTAACATATAAATTTGGAGATTTATTACTTACTTGTTAAGATAAGAATGATTAACCAGTAACAATAAAATTTTTAGATTTCTTTGATGATCCAAGATTAGAAACTGGATCAAATTATTAAAGATAATTTGAATATATAAAAAATGAATTAAATTTAATAGCAAATTTATGTTTAAGTAGAAATACTTTAGCTTGTAAAACATTTTAATAAACATTTTTATTTAATAAAACGTTACCATTTGTAGAAAATAGTAATTTA